ATGTCTCGTATGTACATTGATGATAACGCCTAGTTTAACTGTCTCGTTTATACAGTGATAATAGCGCCTAGTTTAACTGTATCGTATCTCGTATGTACAGTGATAATAGCGCCTAATTTAAATGTCTCGTATGTACAGTGATAATAGCGCCCAGTTTAAATGTCTCGTATGTACAGTGATAATAGCGACTAGTTTGACTGTCTCGTATGTACAGTGATAATAGCTCCTAGTTTAACTATCTCGTTTATACAGTGATAATAGCGCCTAGTTTAACTGTCTTGTATGTACAGTGATAATAGCGCCTAGTTTAACTGTATCGTATCTCGTATGTACAGTGATAATAGCGCCTAATTTAACTGTCTCGTATGTACAGTGATAATAGCGCCCAGTTTAAATGTCTCGTATGTACAGTGATAATAGCTCCTAGTTTAACTGTCTCGTTTATACAGTGATAATAGCGCCTAGTTTAACTGTATCGTATGTACAGTGATAATAGCTCCTAGTTTAACTGTCTCGTATGTACAGTGATGATAACGCCTAGTTTAACTGTCTCGTTTATACAGTGATAATAGCGCCTAGTTTAACTGTCTCGTATGTACAGTGATAATAGCGCCTAGTTTTACTGTCTCGCATGTACAGTGATAATAGCGCCTAGTTTAAATGTCTCGTATGTACAGTGATAATAGCGCATAGTTTGACTGTCTCGTATGTACAGTGATGATAGCTCCTAGTTTAACTGTCTCGTTTATACAGTGATAATAGCGCCTAGTTTAACTGTCTCGTACATTGTATGTACAGTGATAATAGCGCCTAGGTTAACTCTCTCGTATGTACAGTGATAATAGCGCCTACTTTAACTGTGTCTTATGTACAGTGATAATAACGCCTAGTTTAAATGTCTCGTATGTACAGCGATAATAGCGCCTAGTTTAAATGTCTCGTATGTACAGTGATAATAGCGCCTACTTTAACTGTCTCGTATGTACAGTGATAATAACGCCTAGTTTGACTGTCTGTAAAAGTAAAGAACGAGGTTAGCGGCTGATGTAGAGAAGTATATACCAACCTTGATTTCATGCTGGCGATCGACGTAGTCAACAAATTTCTTGTTATTGAAAAGCAAAACATCGTTGGTATATATCTGAATGTGAAATTGACGGATTTGACATGGTACATGCTACCTGTCCCGATAGCCGAGTCGGCACACGGTAAAGGGGTACTGTTTGGCCCCTTTTGTACGCCAACAGTCTGCTGGAAAATCTAGCCGCCGAAATCACCAAATGTACAGGAATTAATATATTCCCACGATTTCGTCCTCATGTATTTCGTCTTGCCCTTTGTCGCATTGTTCACAAAATATATCCATAAACTAGTTAGAAATCATTGATTACATCATCGTTCGTTTCTCCGCAAGTCCCCATTATAGTATAACAGAACGAATGCGTGCGTTCAGTTTGATATGAAATATGGAATCAAACAAAGTGGAAATGAAATAGTTCTGAAAAAGAACGATTTTTGGACGGAAAGGATGTTCAAGATTCACAAAGTTTTCATATGAGTCCTTCAAAATCCACACTTTTTTAAATATACTTCTGTGGTAAACATTTTCTTGATACAACTGTTACCCTGATTTGATTGTACTTACTCTCATAGTAAATGTTAGATTATCCAAAAGATTACTAAAACAAGTTTTGAGAATGACTTGGCAGAGAAAATTGCAGAAACAGTTAAAGAATAATGTTAATAAGGAAGTTTATGCAATTTGGAATCCAAGGTAAACGAAGCTAGTTCGTATCGCGATCATCAATCGGATAGATTTTAATGCGGAGCATGATGAGTTAGTATTTCGTCTATCGAAAAAGAAAATAAGAAAAATGTGTAAAAAGGACACTATCGAGAAGAAAACTCACTATTTACATTGTGACTTAGCAAAGAAGCTTTATACTGTATCCACTCCTACCTCTCCAACATGTCTCAAACTGCTACTCTCGTCCCTCCTCGATACTCTCGTGGAGGGAAGAGATGTTTAATTTCTTTTAAGGTATCTAGGACGCCAAAAACATATTGAGACTTTTTAACAAGACATTTTAGAACACTTAGACAGATATAGAGGTTTTACATGAGTGACCATGTCATATTGAATTTATTGAACGAGTTTAATACATTCAATATGACATGGACACGAATGTAAGATTCTATTTATCACATAACATTCATAATTTGAAGAAAACTGCAAACGCAATTAGAATTCTGTGTTATCAGCTGACTCTATATAGGAACAAACCAAAGTACTCCCATCATAGTATTGTTGTTCCTCACTGTGCAAAGGAGTTACAGATGTTGATTTTAATAATGAACAATTTAAAAAGAAATACAAATAATAATGACATTAAAACCATTTCCAATTCATTTAAAATATCAGTAAACATATCATTTGTGGCGTAGGAATTTTCTCCCATGTGAACAAAAATATCTGGAGCAGAGATAGATTGATCTACTGAGCTTTTATTTCATAATTTATACTCACGTTTACACAATCAAACTTACCGTTCATTGCCTTATTGTGGTCACCTGGACGACGAAAATGTAGATCAAACATGTAAAAATGTTGATGTAGTGTTTTCTCATTATGGCACCATTAACTATTGTATCACAAACGTGTTCTGACCATCTGGCTTCAACCTTTCCACCACTGTAAATCATATTGGACTCATCCAGATCAATGCATGCTAGAGTCTACTAAAGTTACATAGGGGTGAAAGGGTTAACAGATAACGTTGATTGCCTTATACCTCTTCGTTTACTCAGAACTCATTCCTAGTTGGTGCTTTTAACAGTATTGACATATAACAAAAGTAAGCTCAAGGATTGATGTTGTTTAATGCTTGTAACAATGGCTGCAATTTAGTTGTCATAAGTATTTTGCTCACAGCATTCACTTAGTTACAATAACGCTTCCTATTCATTCATCAAGCATTGTTAAAACAGGCCGGAAACAGTGTGTAGTTTTGCAAAAAAAAGTCCACTTGTGATTTTGGTCCCCCACTTTACCCCCTCATATCTCGGAATAATGTTTGTTAATTCTAACCATAAACATTTCTATCCATTAACATTTCTATCCATTAACATTTCTATCGATAAACATTTCTATCCATAAACATTTCTACCCGTAAACATTTGCAAATATAAAGGAACCTTTGTAAAAAAACGTTTTAGGGATAACGCGGTGTACAAATGTATCTATTGGTACATTACAAAATTATATTGCCTTTATGGAAAAGTATTTCTGATATGACAAAATAACTCAGCAGTGAATATATTTGATATTAAATTAAACAGATATCGTAAATCGCATTCCTCAAACTACTACTACACGTGTATCGAGTTAGACTTCATTTAAACATTTCAGGTAAGCGGATGTCAAGTTTACGATGACGTAAACATGGATTCTAGGATATGTCCATTGTATACCATTGGTCTCGAAGGCGACATGTTATACAGTCGTACTAGACATCCTGGGTATACTACTGGAAACATGGTTAATCGAGGGGAAACCTCCAATCGTGTTTTCCCGCACGAAGGACAGTAGAAACATGATGATATCATAAAGGCTGACTTGACATCGTAAGTAATCTCTTTGAAACAAAGAATCATGTTTCCCTTAAAATAAGGTTAATAAATGTATAATATTAAATAGATTATCCCAAGCAGATCATACATTAAATATTATTTGGCATAACATTTAAAAATAGTGTACAATGTAGATCATTATAATCGGATAGCTGGGTAAGCTTATACTATCTCCTAAACATAATTAGTAGCATGCTATACATAAACATAACAGGTTCGTCATGTACATGTATAACCATGTGTAGTATAATCTTACAACGTACAATGTGAGCACTAGATCAAGACTCATCCAAACACACCGATGTACCTCACAACACATGTACCTCACAACACATGTACCTCACAACACATGTAAATAATTTGAACATGAAAGTAAGAAGGAACACAACAATGGATATTGTAAGTGGTACACTGGGAAGTCTGCACCAAGACATAGTTATATTGACATCAGTTATCACAACTAGCCGAAACACTTTTTTCAAGAAGTAGAACGTGAGCCGCTGCAATTATCAGAAATGATATCGCTCCGAGGGTATAGTGACACAGTGACCATCTGTTTAATCTAGGAGCTCTTTTCTTTATCCCGACGAAGCCAGTATTTTCTGTTTTACGAACAGCTTCCCCTTCGTCGTTTCCGGCGGTGATATTATATGTTGGTAAATGGTTAGACATGATTATAGAGTCAATCGTCACCAAACTACAGCTGGCCATTATCATCATGAAGTACAGGCCTGGAAATATAAATTTAATAGTATCGTTACGTTAGGTTACCATACAAGGCGCATAAGTGAAAGAAACCACTGTTGGTATCCATGATTTTGACCGTTACAAGCTATGACAGGATTGAAAAAGCCAAAAGAAGTAGGAGGTATGGCACTCCTAGTCCACTAACCATGGTCAGAAATAAAATAAAATGTTTTGCTTTTCCGATTGACGAGCCTGAATATCGCTTGTGCCAAAAGAAATAATTGTTGTACTGTGAAATTCGAGAATCACTAGATTGAAAATAAAAAGTTTACAAATCATTTTTTTTAAGCAAATCGGTCCCTGATTTCTATAACAGAAGAAATTAGAGTTATTCGTACCTATAATTGGCGTAACGTCTGAGTTTTCCGGTAGATGATCCGCCATCTGAGTTTGAAATACCATAAACGTGAGTAAAATAGTCATCCCACAGCCTATCTTCTCGCCTTCCTCCGCCGGTATGAAATACACAGCCACAGTCACAACAGACAGAATTACTGAAGGAACAACTATGATGAACACAAAGTACGTCGGTTTTCGTTTCAGTACAATTTCAAAATAGAAATCGATGCCAGCATTCGTATCCGGAACTTCCAAAGACGTCGACACCAAGCTCCATACGTGACTTACGTAGGTTGGAAACGTGTTTCTGAAGTAGTCAGGGACTTTAAACTGGATGTAACCCTTTGCTTTAATTCCGTAGTTCAATTTTACAGAACATGTCTGACAGTCATAGGGAAAATTTTCTGGATTCATAACACAGGAAACCGATATAACTCCGGATGTCGAAACAGATACAGCACCACGTGACGTAATATGATATGCATCGTCAAGGATGTTGTCCAGGAAGTTTGATCCGATTCTGTGAATTATAAAATGGTTACACCTGACAAGACGACCCGCGATAGAAGACTAAAACATCTGATTAATATCATATATTTACATTTGCATGGCATTGTCACTATATAGCCTCTTTGAAAGCTGTGTCGTTGATGGGACTTTAATTACCATGCATCACGAGACACAATTCTTAGCGTATTAAAACAACACTGACCGGAACTACAATAGCCAATATTAATAAACATGACGGCTGCTGAAATATCGCTGGGCATTGTGAGATTTGACAATGTCATTGTAAATTTACGTGCAAAATAAAAAATAAAATAAAAAAAAACACTTTTATTACAACGAAAACAAGACCAATGTCTGCAATATCGTACAAAATGCACATCGGTTGAAATCACCAATGCCGGCAATGGAAACAATTTTAACACTCATGCAATTTATCAGAAATATCGTCTGTCACACTGCACTGATCAACAGGGTTCGTGACAAATGTCTGAAATACACATATTCTATAGACCTACTGACACTTATATTACAGACCTTCAGACATTTGTAACGAACCTGTGCTCCGTCGCAAGATCACTCACTTCAAACGCTATCAGTTTCACGCCTCTCTCGTCCACGGTTCCTCAGTTTCTGACGACATGTCAAATAACGAGGCTGTTATAGAATCTACCGACTGTTGTCAGGTTCCCATACAATCAACAAATAAATTTACGCCTGGATTCTTCACAAAATGAGCAAAGAGAAAAGTTCGAATTAACTTCCAAAAATAACTCCCTCGTGGAGGGCAAGGTCGGATTTACGGTGTTCACTGTATTTGTCCATACGCGAAATTTGTTCCGGGGAAAAATCGAAACAATTTCAATTCTAACTTTCAGCTCAGAGTTTTATTGATAAACTTAAATCACCCTATAAACATATCATACGCAATTGTATTGATACTGAATTGTGGAATAAAATTGAAGTGTTTGTTAAAATTTCAAAGTACTTTGTTTGCCAATCAGCACGCGACAATACGCTGTTCAAACAATTGAACGAAATTGTGTGGAATGTCGATAAGGCGGGCATTTTTAATTTTAAATATAAATTATAAGTTAAAAAAGAACAAAAGAGGCAGAGAAAATTTATAAAGATATATAAGTATTTAACTGTTTTTGTATGGTATTTATGATCTATTTGAATGACACAGCTTTGCACGCAAACAAATCATATGTTGTTTGCTTGCAAAGCTGTTTCATTCAAATAGATCATAAATACCATACAAAAACATTTCAATGCTTAAGTACAGAAACAATGTATGTCTGATGCCAAATAAAGTGCTCGCAGATAGCTAATATATTTATGTATATACAGTATATATCATCTGTAGACATTTTGCAAGGACAACTTCAAATGAAGGAATATAGTTCTTTTTTTGTCATTTTATTATGATGATGTCAAAACTATAGACATTTTTACATTAAGACTTCACAATCAATATATGACGTCACAAGAAATGTTAGTCCCACTTACAGTATATGGGATACATTAGTCAACACGTTACATGTGTGATTCAAAGATTTATTTGATTCCAGATTAAGCAGCCATGCTAATTTTGGATAAACTACCAGTACATGTACATGTAGTTTAATACGGGATTATAGTTCGTTAAGCCTTTGCACTACAAACAACATGACAATTGGAAACAAACACTTCAGTAACCAGGTTAAGCTTGTTTCAATAAGAATCCACAACCTATCCATCGGAGCTTGCTTCTCAATTGTAAAAGAAACTGCCGGTAGAGGCCGGTGTTCATTGACGTTACAAATATGGCGTCACGACTTCACCATTAACTGCGCCTAGAAGAAAGTTAATTGAACCAGTCAGTAAACTGCATTCTGTTCAGATGTATAGTTCTGTATAATAAACAGGTTCGCAGTCACATTGAATAACGGGCGTTAGGCGTTTAGCATGTTTGCCTCAGAATTGAGAGTTATAGGACTATAACCACTGTCAAAACGCAGTTTGATAATATGTCATTTTCATTTTGGTTGAATATACTTTAATGACACAATTGAAATGCCATCACGATCAGCACAATAACTCGTAGCTGCCTTAGGTATAACGGCAATACAAAGCAATTATAAATATCGTTCTGGTATCATGACCATACACGACGATCTTTGTACCCGTTCTCCTTTGGGAAATATAACTCACCTTCTGTTCAGCTGCAAAATAATCCCGCCTACGCCAGGACTACGTGCAAATCGTCATGTCACACATTGTAAATAACAATCCGGCGTGGTGGGATTTAAAAAAGTGATATGGAAAGTTACAAGCTTTTTGACACTCCATCGACTGTTATTTCCATTCAAATTGTTTTTTTCAATCAATCAAATGAAAAAAATCTAAACGTTTGATAAATGTTGTTAAACAGTTCTTCTTTACATAGGATACGAATGATATTTTACTTTGTTTTTGTTTTTTTGTCTTCTGGATTAATGACGGGAGTCTAAATGCCTGTAGATGTTTTAAAAAAGTCAAGACAATTTTAAAGAGATTGATAAATGTTAATGTTTGCGTTGAACTCTTTCACTTATATATTTATAGTCGTCATTCGAGCTAACATTTTAATTACCATTTTTGATGTGTATAATTCTAAATTCCACCAATTGGAAGTAAAACAGCTAACGCAAATATTTAAAAAGTAGCAATGGAAATTTCAAAAAGTTATCTGGATATTTTCAATGATTCATGCAAAATTGTATCAATATGTGCTTACGAGCAAATCCCGATGTTTTTATTATGATCTTGACACTAAAACAGAAATTGAGATTGATATATGTTTGATCCTTTTCTATTGTTAAGGGCGAGTCTAGGTTTTACAGGAGGAATTTTAAACACACGGGTGTCATTGATTGGGTTTAACGTGAATTACACTTACAATTGACCGTGGTATTTGCCTAGTCGATGGAATTCACACAATTTACGCAGCAGCAATTAAGCTACTGATTTCCGTCGTAAGTCATTAGTGCCTCCATTGATTTGCTTCTAACATAGTTACGTAAGTACGCTACCTCGTATCTCTACTGATAATAACCCCTAGAAACAACGCTGACTTGTCCATTAAGTGATACAAATATGAAATAGCATAACATGTAACTGTGAACAACAGGTACTTTAGGCACCGTTGATCATTTTTAAATAAGTAAATAATTGCAAAAAAATATATTTCTGTTTTATCCCAAGATGGCTGCATTTTTATTTATTTTTTACAAACAACGTAAACTTAGTATACAGGTGATTTGGGACCTCAATATCTTTTCTGTCTACTTCTGTGGGGTTTTCAAGATGGTACATAAATGATTTGGTAAAGATATACTTTCAGATTCCATTCAAAATATCTTCCTTACGAATGACGTCAGAAGACACTGATTGGATGATTCTCAAAAGCCCATGGTACATGATATGTTAATAAAAAATTTTAAAAAGAAGATAAAAACCATGTATATATGTTTATTGGCATTGCCTTATGATATTGAAATACAGAGGCACCCGGAAAAAATATACAAAAATGTCTATTTGATTATATTATATACACTGGTAAAAACTTGAATTTTAGCAAGAGTGTCATCAAGAGTCGTATACGATTACTTACGCATTAGAACCCATCAGTTTCGGCGTCCAAATGTGCTTGCCCGTTACGTAGGTTCGATTTAGTCCTCCATAATCATCCGGATTCCAGGTCAGGTATTCATCGGTCCATTCCTGTACAAACAATAGAAATATACATCAGAAAGCAAAAGTCAAGTTGTCAACATTTGACTACGTTTCGGAGGTAAGAAATGAATTTGGACATGTATCGTGATATGGAGATAATTTCGATAGAGGCTACCCTTACAGGCTCGGAGACAATTTAGACATGTTGTATTCCTATGTATGTACTTAAGAGGCGACTTCTGATGACGGGGTATGGAAGAAACCAGAGTTGATCTGGTGCCCCCCAATATTTGGGATCTACGTCTTTTCTCACTTCCCTGCGAGGATTGCAAGAAGAGACAAACGTTCAGACAAGAAAGCGGGAAGTTAAATGTACCCGTTTTTGTTCTTTGTGTGCTGTGGTGAGTTCGATGTTCAATTATTACTCAGCTTATAAGTGTGTCTTGTTTCTTTCAAAAAGCAATATTTCTTTATAAAATATCTTATAAGCTCATAACATGAAGAATCCTAGGTAATATATCTTATATCTTTATAATAAGTATATAGTAAATAAGATATATTTTATAATTCTATCAAATAACCTATATACCTTTATCCTGAATTATATTAGATATACGATATCTTTATAATTCTATAAATAAAATGTTGCTTTTTACAAAATTATTCAATTGATAAAATATCTTTTATAATTATATGAAAAACAGGAGCGATATCGGTCCTTGGATGCATGCAATTTCGGCTTTTTTGTCATTTAAAACTCTGTACCTGATTTAAGTAATTTCTTAAATGCTCTATGTTTCTTTGGATGTTGAGTGTTTTGTATACTTACAATAGTCAATGCAGCTGCATGGCATAACGTTGAATCAACTTCTGACTGTTGTACATATATGAAAGTAAAGCAAAGAAAACTGTATATCTTTCTTATTACAACACAAAGAAATGATGTGTCACGAAACGATAAACGATTGAGAAAACGTGAAAATAAAGGCAGATACTATGACACCGTGTGAGATATATTTATCAATACAGTTCGATTTGTACATATTCAATGATGCGCGGAAAATGTGTCTCTGGTTTTTACAAACCAAGGACTTACCACATTTACTATATTACACAACACACAAACCATGGACTTACCACATTTACTATATTACACAACGCGCAAACCTCGGACTAACCACACTTACTTTATTACACAACACACAGCCCATGGACTAACCACACTTACTTTATTACAAAACACGAAAACCATGGACTTACCACATTTACTATATTACACAACACATAAACCTCTGACTAACCACACTTACTTTATTTCACAACACACAGCCCATGGACTAGCCACACCTACTATATTACATAACACACAAACCATGGACTAACCACACTTACTATATTACACAACACACAAACCATGGACTAACCACACTTACTATATTACACAACACACAAACCATGGACTAACCACACTTACTATATTACACAACACACAAACCATGGACTAACCACACTTACTATATTACACAACACACAAACCATGGACTAACCACACTTACTATATTACACAACACACAAACCATGGACTAACCACACTTACTATATTACACAACACACAAACCATGGACTAACCACACTTACTATATTACACAACACACAAACCATGGACTAACCACACTTACTATATTACACAACACACAAACCATGGACTAACCACACTTACTATATTACACAACACACAAACCATGGACTAACCACACTTACTATATTACACAACACACAAACCATGGACTAACCACACTTACTATATTACACAACACACAAACCATGGACTAACCACACTTACTATATTACACAACACACAAACCATGGACTAACCACACTTACTATATTACACAACACACAAACCATGGACTAACCACACTTACTATATTACACAACACACAAACCATGGACTAACCACACTTACTATATTACACAACACACAAACCATGGACTAACCACACTTACTATATTACACAACACACAAACCATGGACTAACCACACTTACTATATTACACAACACACAAACCATGGACTAACCACACTTACTATATTACACAACACACAAACCATGGACTAACCACACTTACTATATTACACAACACACAAACCATGGACTAACCACACTTACTATATTACACAACACACAAACCATGGACTAACCTCACTTACTATATTACACAACACACAAACCATGGACTAACCACACTTACTATATTACACAACACACAAACCATGGACTAACCACACTTACTATATTACACAACACACAAACCATGGACTAACCACACTTACTATATTACACAACACACAAACCATGGACTAACCACACTTACTATATTACACAACACACAAACCATGGACTAACCACACTTACTATATTACACAACACACAAACCATGGACTAACCACACTTACTATATTACACAACACACAAACCATGGACTAACCACACTTACTATATTACACAACACACAAACCATGGACTAACCACACTTACTATATTACACAACACACAAACCATGGACTAACCACACTTACTATATTACACAACACACAAACCATGGACTAACCACACTTACTATATTACACAACACACAAACCATGGACTAACCACACTTACTATATTACACAACACACAAACCATGGACTAACCACACTTACTATATTACACAACACACAAACCATGGACTAACCACACTTACTATATTACACAACACACAAACCATGGACTAACCACACTTACTATATTACACAACACACAAACCATGGACTAACCACACTTACTATATTACACAACACACAAACCATGGACTAACCACACTTACTATATTACACAACACACAAACCATGGACTAACCACACTTACTATATTACACAACACACAAACCATGGACTAACCACACTTACTATATTACACAACACACAAACCATGGACTAACCACACTTACTATATTACACAACACACAAACCATGGACTAACCACACTTACTATATTACACAACACACAAACCATGGACTAACCACACTTACTATATTACACAACACACAAACCATGGACTAACCACACTTACTATATTACACAACACACAAACCATGGACTAACCACACTTACTATATTACACAACACACAAACCATGGACTAACCACACTTACTATATTACACAACACACAAACCATGGACTAACCACACTTACTATATTACACAACACACAAACCATGGACTAACCACACTTACTATATTACACAACACACAAACCATGGACTAACCTCACTTACTATATTACACAACACACAAACCATGGACTAACCACACTTACTATATTACACAACACACAAACCATGGACTAACCACACTTACTATATTACACAACACACAAACCATGGACTAACCACACTTACTATATTACACAACACACAAACCATGGACTAACCACACTTACTATATTACACAACACACAAACCATGGACTAACCACACTTACTATATTACACAACACACAAACCATGGACTAACCACACTTACTATATTACACAACACACAAACCATGGACTAACCACACTTACTATATTACACAACACACAAACCATGGACTAACCACACTTACTATATTACACAACACACAAACCATGGACTAACCACACTTACTATATTACACAACACACAAACCATGGACTAACCACACTTACTATATTACACAACACACAAACCATGGACTAACCACACTTACTATATTACACAACACACAAACCATGGACTAACCACACTTACTATATTACACAACACACAAACCATGGACTAACCACACTTACTATATTACACAACACACAAACCATGGACTAACCACACTTACTATATTACACAACACACAAACCATGGACTAACCACACTTACTATATTACACAACACACAAACCATGGACTAACCACACTTACTATATTACACAACACACAAACCATGGACTAACCACACTTACTATATTACACAACACACAAACCATGGACTAACCACACTTACTATATTACACAACACACAAACCATGGACTAACCACACTTACTATATTACACAACACACAAACCATGGACTAACCACACTTACTATATTACACAACACACAAACCATGGACTAACCACACTTACTATATTACACAACACACAAACCATGGACTAACCACACTTACTATATTACACAACACACAAACCATGGACTAACCACACTTACTATATTACACAACACACAAACCATGGACTAACCACACTTACTATATTACACAACACACAAACCATGGACTAACCACACTTACTATATTACACAACACACAAACCATGGACTAACCACACTTACTATATTACACAACACACAAACCATGGACTAACCACACTTACTATATTACACAACACACAAACCATGGACTAACCACACTTACTATATTACACAACACACAAACCATGGACTAACCACACTTACTATATTACACAACACACAAACCATGGACTAACCTCACTTACTATATTACACAACACACAAACCATGGACAAACCACACTTACTATATTACACAACACATAAAACTCGGACTAACCTCACTTACTATATTACACAACACATAAAACTCGGACTAACCACACTTACTTTATTACAAAACACACAAACCATGGACTTACCACATTTACTATATTACACAACACACAAACCATGGACAAACCTCACTTATTATATTACACAACACACAAACCATGGACTAACCTCACTTACTATATTACACAACACATAAAACTCGGACTAACCTCAATTACTATATTACACAACACACAAACCATGGACAAACCACACTTACTATATGGACTAACCACACTTACTATATTACACAACACAGAAACCATGGACTAACCTCACTCACTATATTACACAACACACAAACCATGGACTAATCTCACTTATTATATTATACAACACACAAACCATGGACTAACCACACTTACTATATTACACAATACACAACCCATGGACTTACCACACTTACTATATTACACAACACACAAACCGTGGACTTACCACGTGTATGAGAGCGATAAACGTCCATGTGATGAAGATCACCAGTGGTTCCGAGTGGTTTCGTTTCGGACGAACAATAGGATTGTACCGGGCCGGTGACAGGAGATTATCCTTTAGTCTAAATTCCTCATCCAGTGTTGTACCTGATAATTTATAAATAATTCAAAACACAGTTGCTTGCATGCAAGAAATTTTGATTTTATTGATTATGTATATTTGATTGTATAATTTGTCACTTTTCCCAATACATGTATGTATTTACATTTGCTCTACATTGCCACTATATAACACTACCAAAGCCAGTCCCGTGTTATGAGACCATATCATAGGCGTACTGATATCCCCTAGGGTTCGACTAACTACCGGATCGCTACTCCCCTCCGCAAAAGCAAGTAGATGAGCAAAACACATACATGTACTATTGTTCAATAATATTCACCAGTTTATGTAAGACTATTAAAAAATATGAATTGCATATTATTGATTGGTTGAATCATGGAAATAGTATCGATGTTTTTGTGTTTATTTCCACGAGCCTAGAAATGAAAATTACAAAAAAAAGGAAAATATTAATATAAGCATAAATCAGCATTCTGTTAATTTTGTCTGCATATCTATTCCGTGTTATAGGACCATTACACGGAACAAAATGCTGTTTAATTCTTAAATATTTACATATGAGAATTAAAAGCTAATGCTATTTATTCGCTTGTTAGCTTGTACCCTTTGATTGCTGTTGCGTGTACTTTTAAGTAGGTCAAATTAACCTAATTTAGTTAAACAGAATTATGTGCATATTTCTTAATCCCATGATAATTTCTGTAACTGTTTTTCAAATATTTAGAAGTAGGTCACATCGACCTGATTTGGTTGGACGATGGGCGCAATGGTACGACATGAGATCATTTTGCTACTTCAGACAAAGTAGGGGTTCGTTTTCAACGGGGTCATTTTAAACGGCCTTCACCTCTTACCGGGTCCATATTCAATGGGAAAGTCAGTTTGCAACGGCTCACCGATTCAATGTTGAAACCTGACCCCGGTTCCACTTTCAAAGTGGAGTCTTTTCAACGATTCAACGGCAGGTGCATTCCAGAATGAAATATGACAGATATGTATTACTTATCCGGATGTGAAAGACCATCTCTACAGCTGACACAGTCAGGTGAGCAGTAAAGTCATAGTTAAATTAGAATACGTAATTGTAAATTATAACCGCATTTTCAAAATCAGACTTACCATTCGTTTCATTGTTTGCCGTCACCTTGCCGATGGAAATCAGGATAACACATGTAAAAACGTTGCTGCAGAATTTTGTCATTGCGGCGGAGATCACAAAACAGGTTTTCGTGTAACTGCAGCTGCCTTTGTCAGATAAGATTGATAAGGCGTAATATCGACCCGTTCACTCGGACCTCAATCAGCAGACAACTAAACAAATCTCGAGTGTAGAGCTTCTACCGGCATAATTAAAGTTTAATAAATTATTAATTGTATATCATATGTCCCAGATTTCAAGTATGTGTAGTTCCATTTTTGAGAAGTTGTGTATAAAACTATGTTTTAATACCTACAATATTGTGATTTCACCCTCAGAAAAAACATATTGATACCAATAGTAGCATTTTGAACTATTCATTATAACATATCGATTCCCTCTTGAAAACATTTCCGACAATTGACAATGAGCACAATGGAATTGTGATTTAGTGGATAAATGAATAAAACAAATACTAATTAAAATAGCTATACTTAATATGATTGCTTACACACCCATTTCTATCATGATACTCCATCGTTATACTCATCATCAATGTACACGTGCCTTAGTAGGGATGTGCTGTTATCAAACATTAATTAATATTAAACATGATATATAACAATAGCGTCGACACACATAAAACAAATCAGTAGTGTTTCAGTGCATTTTCTATCGATGCATGATCCGTGTCGGTTCGTTCATGACACTAAAATAAATAATTAAACACAGAGGATTAAATTGTTCTCAATTGTGAAATGTCGCTACTGTTGCGTTGAACATGAATCATTTGTGTCAGATTAAGAGATAATACAAGATGGTGCTTACTGCTCTCGGCTTGTGCAATACATCACATATGATAAAAAAAAACCAAAGAGCGTTCATAACTTGGAATGCAGCGTTTTTTATTTCGTCACTATATAAATGTATAACATTGATGTGAAGTTTATCGGGCAAATATGGGCGTCATATCTAATTTATACTTGCTTGTTGATGTCATAATGAAATTAATTTACTCTTTTGGTTCCCGCCTGTATGTCAAAGGAGAGATAAACGAATCAACTCCTCGTCTAAAAAATGTTCAGGCCATTTTTTTTTTATTAAAATCCATTAAGTCGTTCTGGAAAAGAAGAATTGTAAAGAACGACGAACGCTGCGAAATGGTATAACCCCATTTCACCGTTCGAGTTAAAATATTATATATAATAAATTCTTCAAACTCGCATTATAATACATCTTGTATTATACTGTTTACAAATTGTACTCGTTATTTCTACCATGGATGTAAGAGGTTTTACATTTTTTGTTTTGCAGGGTGATGTCATTATGACCTTCTTAGTACATGGTGTGCTCCTAATGGAGGGATGTTTATACAATGTAACGTTCTTAGAGCGTTTTGGAAAGGGGTTTTGGTATCATGACCTTCATGGATTTTGTTGTGTACGTTTGGAAAACGTGTTTGTATAACTACATTCTCAATATTTGTTGGGAAGGATATTGATATTACTTCGGTCCTTTGTTATGTGTCATTTAAAAAGGTGTACCTCACAACACATGTAAACAATTTGAGCATTAAAACCAAAAAGAACACACCAACGGATATTCTGTGTGCTACACTGGGAAGTCTGCACCAAGACATAGTTATATTGATATCAGGAAGCACAACTAGCCGACACACTTTTTTCAAGAAGTAGAACGTGAGCCGCTGCAATTATCAGAAATGATATCGCTCCGAGGGTATAGTGACACAGTGACCATCTGTTTAATCTAGGAGCTCTTTTCTTTATCCCGACGAAGCCAGTATCTTCCGTTTTCTGGACACCTTCCCCTTCGTCGTTTTCGGTGGTGATATTAGATGCTGGTATATGGTTAGACATGATTATAGAGTCAATCGTCACCAAACTACAGCTGGCCATTATCATCATGAAATACAAGCCTGAAAACATACAATTAGTTGTATAGTTACGTTAGGTTACCATACAAGTCGTTGTTTTGACCGTTACAAACCATTATTGCATTAAAATTGCTAGAAAAGAGGTAGAAGGTATGGCAATACTGGTCCAATTACCATGGTAAGAAATAAAAGAAGATAAAATAAAATGTTTTGCACTTCTGATTTACGAGCCTAGATAACGCTCATGCAAAAACAGTTATACGGTGAATTCGAGTATTCCCTAGATTAAATATAAAAATTGAGTTCAAAAACTAGTTTGGTCCCTGATTTTTATTACAGAAGAAATTAGAGTTATTCGTACCTATAATTGGCGTAACGTCTGAGTTTTCCGGTAGATAATCCGCCATCTGAGTTTGAAATACCATAAACGTGAGTAAAATAGTCATCCCACAGCCTATCTTCTCGCCTTCCTCCGCCGGTATGAAATACACAGCCACAGTCACAACAGACAGAATTACTGAAGGAACAACTATGATGAACACAAAGTACGTCGGTTTTCGTTTCAGTACAATATCAAAATGGAAAGCGGTGCCTGCATTCGTATCCGGAACTTCCAAAGACGTCGACACCAAGCTCCATACGTGATTTACGTAGGTTGGAAAAGTGTTTCTGAAGTAGTCAGGGACTTTAAACTGGATATAACCCTTCGCTTTAATTCCGTAATTTAATCTTACAAAACATGTCTGACAGTCATAGGGAAAATCTTCTGGGTTCATAGAGCAGGAAACACATATAACTCCGGACGTCGAAACAGATACAGCACCACGTGACGTAATATGATATGCATCGTCAAGGATGTTGTCCAGGAAGTTTGATCCGATTCTGTGAATTATAAAATGATAACACCTGACAAGACGACCTGCGATAGAAGACTAAAACATCTGATTTAAATCATGTACAGAAACAACGGATGTCTGATGCCAAATAAAGTGCTCGCAGATAACTAATACATTTATATATTTTGTGTTGAGATTTTGCAAGGACAACTTCAAATGAAGGGCTATAACTCTGTTTTGGTCATTTTATTATGATGATGTCAAAACCATGGATTTTTTTACATTATGACGTCACAATCAATATATGACGTCACAAGAAATATTAGTCCCACTGACAGTATATGGGATTCATTAGTCAACCGGTGTTCGCTGACGTTACAAATATGGCGTCATGACTTCACCATTGAATGCATGACTTCACCATTGACTGCGCCTAGAATAAAGTTCATTAAACTGTATTCTGTTCAGATGTATAGGCCTAAACAGGCTCGCAGACAAATCGAATAAGGTGCGTTAGGCGTTAAACAGGTTTGCATCGGAATTCAGAATTATAGGACTATTACCACAGTCAAAATGCAGTTTGATTCAAAATTTCCATTGAGTTTGAATATATTTGTATTACACAATTGAAATGCCATCACGATCAGCACAACAATAACTCGTAGCTGAATTGGGCAAAGTGGCAATACAAAGCAATTATACTTATCGTTCTGGTATCGTGACCATAAAGGACGTCATAACAACCACAATAGCTAAATATGCATTCCTGACATGATATTATTATTTTGATCTCTGTTCCCGTTCTCCTTTGGGAAATATAACTCTCTGTCTATTCTGCTGCAAAAATAATCACGGCTACGCCAGGGCTTTGGGCAAGTCGTCATGTCACAACATTGTAAATAATATTCCGGCGAAGTTGGATTTCAATAAAAGTGAAATGAAAACTTATAATCTTTTGGACACTCCATCGACTATTCTTTCCATTCAAATTTTTTTTTTAATCAATTTAATGTAAGAAATCTATACGTTTGATAAATGTTGTTAAATAGTTTCTCTTAACATCCAATTGACTGTAGGTGTTTTAAGAAAATCAATAAATTTTATTTAGATTGACAAATGTAAATATTTGCATAAAACTCCTTTACTAATTTATTTATAGGCGTCATTCGAGCTAACATTTTAATTTCAAACTTTCGTGTGTATAGGTCTAAATTCCATCAATTTGAAGTAAAAAGAGCTTAAGCAAATTTCAAAAATGTAGCAATGGAAATTTCAAAAGGTAATCTGGATATTTTCAATTATCATCTCGAGTGTACTACTTTCTACCACCTACCGGCAGTATGATATAAGAAGAAGTTGAGAACTACTTGAGAACAACTTCAGAAGAACTTGAGAACGCATTTTCCCATTCCCCAGCACTTGGGAACGTATTTTCTCAAAAAAGAACGTCTGCTCGCGCCAGATGACGTCCGAAACAGGAAATAGTGTCAACACAAAAGTGATCCGCGTATAAAAATAGTCCGTCATAAACATATCAAAACAAAGTTACAGAACAATGTTGTGAGATAACAACACCATTTCAGGTGTAAATGTGCTTATGGAAAAGCCAATGCCGATAGGATTGTTTTAAAAAATAATCTCCGTAGTTCTAAGGTTCATTGTATTCCTCCAGGCAAAACTTCTATTTGTTTTTCACAGGCTATGGTTGAGCTTAGTCATTTGGAAAACATGGTGTTTAGTAGATTTTTTTAAATGGAGAAATATATAAGGTATTAGTATGTAGATGATAAATAGTTTATCATATAGTATTTTGAGTGTTGGTCGTTCGAGTAATTTTCTCATCGCTCGCACGTAGATAACATCTCTAGTCCACCTGCTGTGGCCTCTCTCGATTTTATCACGTGTTCGCGGTGAGAAAATTGTTCTCACGACAAACCCTGAAAAAATAGGGTGATAATCTATAATGATTCCTGCAAAATTTAAAAATTGTTATCATAGATCAATATGTGCTTACGAGCAAATCACTTAAACTGAAATTGATATTGATGAATGTTTGATCCTTTTCTATTGTTAACGGCAAGTATTTGTTTTACTGGAAGCATTTTAAACACACGGGTGTCATTAATTGGATTTAACGTGAATTACACTTACAGTTGACCGTGGTATTTGCCTAGTCGATGGGATTCACACAATTTACGCAGCAGCAATAAAGCTACTGATTTCCGTCGGATGCCATTACTCCCTTCCGCTAAGTTACGCTTTCTCGTAGCTCTACTTATAATCTTCCCTAGAAACGCTGACTTGTACATGAAGTGATACAAAATTAAATAGCGTGATCAACAGGTACTTTCGGTCCCATTGATAATTTTTAGATACGGAAGTAACTCAAAAAACTCTTACTTCCTTCTTTATCTGAGATGGCTGCATACAATTTTTTTCTTTTTATTGATAACGGAAATTTAGTATAAAGGTAATTTGGGACCTTCCTATCACATTTTCATCTCCTTTAGGGTTTTTTAAGGGAGTCATAAGGAGTTGGAAAATATAGACTCTTAATAGCAGAATCTGTTAGTAGTTTCAAATATATGATTTGGTAAAGATAAACTTTCAGATTCCTATTAAATTGCCCCCCTCATGTATAACTTCAGAAGACACTGATGGGAAAACTATAAATGGCTCATGGTCAGTATTTCTAAATATTAAAAAAAATGCGTAAATTGCGTATATCCCTATTATATTGAAATATGGGGACACCCGGAAAACATTATACATAAATGTCTATTTGATTAGTTTATATACACTGGTATCCATTTGAGTATTAGCAAGAGTGTCACCAAGATTCTTATAAGATTACTTACGCATTAGAACCCATCAGTTTCGGCGTCCAAATGTGCTTGCCCGTTACATAAGTTTTATTTAGTCCTCCATAATCATCCGGATTCCAGGTCAGGTATTCATCGGTCCATTCCTGTACAAACAATAGACATATACGTCAAAAAGCAAAAGTGTGATTGTCACCATTTTTCTGCTTTTTGACGGTAGAAATGAATTTGGACGTATATCGGGATTTGGAGATATTTTTCAAGGGATGCTACCCTTACAGGTTCGGAGAAAGAATAGACAAGCTGTATTCCTCTGTATGTACTTAAGAGGCGAGTCTGCTGAGGAGACAGTAAAGAAACCAGAGTTGATCTGGTGCCCCCCAACATTTGGGATATACGTCTTTTCTCACTTCCCTGCGAGGATTGCAAGGAGAGACAACAGGTAAGACAAGAATGCGGGAAGTTAAATTTACCTGTTTTTGTTCTTTGTGTGCTGTAGTGACTTCGATGATAATTGTTTTATTAAGCTCATTGGCGTGTGTTGTTTCTTTGCTTATTATTTTTAAAAAGCAATCTTTCTTTATAATATATCTCATAAGAGCATTTCATAAAGAAACTTAGTAAAGATATCTTATATATCTTTATAATAAATTATATAGTATGTAAGATAGCTGTTATAATTCTATAAAAAATAATATCATATATTTTATACTGAATTTTATTATATAAAAAAAGCTTTTACAATTCTATCAAATATCTTGTAAAATGAAATACATGTTAAGTTGGCTTGTTTGACATTTAAAACATGACACCTTATGTAAAACATTATCCAATCTCTGATATTGAAAGATTTGTATGCTTACAATCGTCGTTGAAGCAGCATGGCATAACGTAGCATCCTTTTCTGACTGTTGTACATGCATGAAAGTAAAACAACGAAAAATTTATTTATTTATCATTACAACGTTGAGAAATAATGTGTTTCAAAACAATAAGCGACGGAGGAAATTACTAATACAGACAGATAATTAGACAACGTGTGACATATATATATATGCAGTACATTCGATTCGAACATATTCTATGATGCACGGTAAATGTGTGTCTGAACTACAGCAGGAATTCGCTAATCTACATTTACCCGAGGGCAGATATCTATTTTTATATTACTCGTGTGAGTAGCTGACATACTGTCAATATTACAATAGCCATTCCAAAATACATCTAGCAATAAGATGGTGTGTTATATGATTATGACCTTTTGCAAAAAAAAAGAGCTTTTTGGATGGAATAATGAATTTCAACAAAATAATGAGACACTCTCTTCTTATAACAACTTTTTTTCTGAATACCATTGAAAATGAGAATCCAGAAGAAAAAGAAAATCATTAACAAGGCATTTTTGGCAACAACGCAAAAAAAATACAAAAAAATAACAATACGGTACATGCACACAAACCAAGGACTAACCACACTTACTATATTACACAACACACAAAACATGGACTAACCACACTTACTATATTACACAGCACACAAACCATGGACAAGTCACACTTACTATATTACACAACACACAAACCATGGACTACCCTCACTTTCTATATTACACAACACACAAACCATAGACTAGTCACACTTACTATATTACACAATAAACAAACCATGGACTAACCTCACTTACTATATTACACAACACACAAACCATGGACTTAACATACTTACTATATCACACAACACACAAACCATGGACTACCCTCACTTACTATATTACACAACACACAAACCATGGACTAACCTCACTTACTATATTACACAACAAACAAACCATGGACTAACCTCACTTACTATATTACACAACACACAAACCATGGACTAACCACACTTACTATATCACACAACACACAAAACTCGGACTAACCACACTTACTATATTACACAACACACAAACCAAGGACTAACCACACTTACTATATTACGTAACACACAAAACTCGGACTAACCACACTTACTACATGTATATTACACAACACACAAACCATGGACTTACCACACTTACTATATTACACAACACACAAACCATGAACTAACCACACTTACTATATTACACAACACACAAACCAAGGACTAACCACACTTACTGTATTACACAACACACAAACCATGGACTAACCTCACTTACTATATTACACAACAAACAAACCATGGACTAACCTCACTTACTATATTACACAACACACAAACCTCGGACTAACCCCACTTACTATATTACACAACACACAAAACTCGGACTTACCACATTTACTAAATTACACAACACACAAAACTAGGACTAACCACACTTACTATATTACACAACACACAAACCATGGACTAACCACACGTACTACATTACACAACACATAAAACTCGGACTAACCACACTTACTATATTACACAACACACAAAACTCGGACTAACCACACTTACTATATTACACAACACACAAAACTCGGACTAACCACACTTACTTTATTACACAACACACAAACCAAGGACTAACCACACTTACTATATTACACAACACACAAACCAAGAACTAACCACACTTAATATAATACACAACACACAAACCATGGACTAACCACACTTACTATATTACACAACACACAAAACTCGGACTAACCCCACTTACTATATTACACAACACACAAAACGCGGACTTACCACACTTTCTATATTACACAACACACAAAACTCGGACTTACCACATTTACTAAATTACACAACACACAAACCTCGGACTTACCACGTGTGTGAGAGTGATAAACGTCCATGTGATAAATATTACTAGTGGTTCCGAGTGGTTTCGTTTCGGACGAACAATAGGATTGTACCGGGCCGGTGACAGGAGATTATCCTTTAGTCTAAATTCCTCATCCAGTGTTGTACCTATCAATTCATAATTAGTTCATTATCCACAGCTGTTGGCATGTAAGATATTTCGATTTTATTAATATTGTATATTTGCACATATAATGTGTCACGTTTTCCATGATCAAGTATTTTTATGAGAATTGAAAGTTTACGATATTTGTTATTCGCCAGTTTGTGCCTTTTACTTGTTGTTGCATGTAGTTTACTGACTGAACAAATGTCAGTATCATAAAACAAATTCTTCTGACAAGACTTATAAGTGGAATAAAAGACAATCAAATTTTACAACAACGTTGATACGTACAACAACAAAGTCCTCCAAATATTTGACATCGATACCAAAGGTAAGTTACTGAGAGTTCCCCTTAAGTATGTATGCAAGTAAAGAACGATTTAATCAGGGAACGGAATGCATTGTTTCAATGTATATGAGCAAATTACAACATGTGGGTTGCAGGATATATTCTGGTCAATATATCCAAAATGATTTTTTTAATAACAATATTCTAAACTAGGTAGCGTCACGGCGTACGGTAAACAAACAACGCCTATATTACGCAATGCATGCCACCTGTGTAATGCAGAAATAATTGTTATTTTCGTAATGGAGTCTAAGCATACACAATATAAATATGATACGATTGATGCGTACATTATATATATGATACAATAAATGTGTCTTTAATCATCACTGAATGATTATGGCAACATTATTTGATCAAAACAACCTCGGGTAAATAGATTACTTTTAAGGCAAAGCTTTCAACTGAAGTGCATTTAGGTTACACATCGTGGCGTTGTCAGCCGGGAATACACTAGAGAGAACAAAGCATTAAATAGGCCTTCGTTGCTCCCTTGTTGTACTGCGCTGTTTGCAAACAGATAAAACATATGTGACTTTCAAAGTAGGTTGTCAATTTTTTTTTGTTCGGCGGCACTTAAAATCTTGAAAAAACAGCAATGTCATTTTTTCAAACAAACTATTGGGAAACATATTTATAAATGAGCACATCTGTCCTTAAGTATGGGTCAAGATAATCATTTTGTCCAATATGTACAATGCTCCATATCAGCAAGCTACTAACCAAACCTCATGTCTCTAGGCGTTTGGTTCGTTTGAATATATGCCAAGGCCATTTCTGTTCGCAAAGTTTGTCCTAAGTTACAGGTCAGATATCAAGACTCTAGGTTTTTGGTACCCTGAATATATGTCTTTTAAATGTTCATTTAATTGTAGAAATCATTTGAGCGTATTAAGATTTTAAATCAACGTCAAGATCATTTATGTTTACAAACTTGGTACCATTTGTCAGCAAGCTTCTGCCCAAATCGCATGACTTTGGAATTTCTGTTCTTCAGAAGAGGTTGCTTGAAGTGTTTTGGCACATATTTGACTTCTGGGACCTTGAAAATAGTTCTCGGCATGCAACTTTAATGCGATATTAATACAAACAGCCAACTTGGAGAAGATTCTTTTTATAAACCCGGTTGCGAGAGAAAACATCACTCACCTGGATGTGATAGATACATTACACACACGAATGCGATAAATGTAAACAGACAACACAGTGACATCTGACGGATACATTTGGCACCATACACTGACGGGTATGACAGACACATGTATTTCATACTTTGGTGTCCGGCAGGTGTATTCCAGAATGAAATATGACAGATATGTATTACTTATCCGGAAGTGAAAGACCATCTCTACAGCTGACACAGTCAGATGATCCGTAACGTCATGGTTAAATTAGAATACATGATTGTAAATTATAACCGCATTTTCAAAATCAGACTTACCATTGTCGTTTGCCGTCACCTGGCCGATGCAAATCATGATGAAACATGTGAAAACGTTGCTGCAGAATTTTCTCATTGCGGCACTATTAGTCCTACCAGATCGCAAAACAGGTTTTCGCGTAACTGTAGCTACCTTTGTCAGATAAGATTGATAATACCGACCCGTTCACTCGGACCTTAATAAACAGACAACGAAGCAAATCTCGAGTGTAGATCTACGCACATAATGAACATGTAATACATTTTAAATTGTATATCATGTGTCCCCCAACATATTCAATGCCTTTGTAGTTGCATGGTGATTTATTCATTTTCATGCATGGAATCCCTCTTGAAAACGTTTCAAACAATTGCCAATGAGCACAATGGGAATATGGTTAAGTAGATAAATGAATAAAACAAAATTAATTAAAACAGCTATAGTTGATATAATTGCTTACACACCTATTTATATCATGAGATTCCATCATTATTTTAATGGAGGGATGTGCTGTTATCCAAAATTGCTTTAAATTAAACATGAGATAAAACTATGGCGCCGACATACATAAACATTGATAGTGTTTCAGTGTATTTTTCTATCGATGCATGATCCATGTCGGGTCCGTCATGACACTACAAACAAATAATTAAACACAGAGGATTAATTTGTTCTTAACTGTGAAATGTCGCTACTGTTGCGTTGAACATGAATTATTTGTGTCCGATATAGAGATGATAAGAGATGGTGCTTACTGCTCTCGGCTCGTGCAATACATCACATAGTATATCAAATAATGAGCGTTCCTCACTTAGGATGTGTGTTAAGTTGCGTTTTTCATTTTGTCAACATATTGATCTATAACGATTATGTGAACTCTATCAGGCAAGTATCGGCGGATTTGCGACATCATATTCAATTCATACTTGCTTGGTGACGTCATTATGAAATAAATTTACTCTTTTGGTCCCCGCCTCTATGCCACAGGAGAGAAAACGGATGAAATTCTCTTCTAAATAATGTTCAGTGTTGGTATGGAATTCTTTGTCTTTGTCTTATCTCTAAATATAGGTAAACTTACAGAAAATGTCATGATTTATTTTTGTCCTTGTTAGGCGCCTATATTTACGGTACCGGTCTCCTGACCTTTTTGTCCTTGTTTAGTGCCTATTAATTTTAGGAGTTGGTCTCTTGGCCATTTTGTCCTTGTTAAGTGCCTATAGTTTATGGGTTCGTCTTTTGACCTTTTTGTCCTTATTGGATGATTATAGTTTAGGGGTTGATCTCTTGACCTTTTTGTCCTTGTTGGGAGCCTATATCAAAGGAGTTGGTCTCTTGAACTTTTTGTCCTTGTTGAGTATCCTTAGTTTAAACTCACAGATAGTGTTTTGATCTGTTTTTGTCCTTGTTAGGCGCCTATATGTAAAGTACCGGTCTCTTGACCTTTTTGTCCTTGTTGAGTGCCTAAATATTTGAGGAGTTAGTCTCTTGACCTTTTTGTCCTTGTTGGGTGCCTATATATTAGGAGTTGGTCTCTCGACCATTTTGTTCATTATTCAGTGCCTATATCTAAGGAAATGGTCCCTTGTCCTGTTGGTCCTTATTTAGTGTCTATATTAAAGGAGTTGGTCTCTTGACCATTTTGTCCTTGTTGAGTGCCTATATTGTAGGAGTTGGTCTCCTGACCTCTTTGTCCTTGTTGGGTGCCTATTTTTTAGGAGTTGGTCTCTTGAACTTTTTGTCCTTGTTGGGTGCCTATATTTTATGGGTTGGTCCCTTGACCTGTTTGTCCTTGTTTAGTGCCTATGTCTTGAGAGTTAGTCTCTTGACCTTTTTGTCCTTATTAAGTGCCTGTATCTTAGGAGTTGGTCCCTTGACCTTGTTGGGTGCCTATATTGTAAGAGTTGGTGTCTTGACCTTTTTGTCCTCGTGAGTGACTATATTAAAGGAGTTGGTCTCGTTTATCTTAGGTGTTGGTCTCTTGACCTTTTTGTCCTTGTTGAGTGCCTATATTGTAGGAGTTGGTCTCTTGACCTTTTTGTCCTTGTTGGGTGCCTATATTTTAGGAGTAGTTTACTTGACCTCTTTGTCCTTGTTGTGTGCCTATATCTTAAGAGTCGGTGGTCTCTTAACCTATCCGTCCTTGTTGGGTGCATTTATTGTAGGAGTTGGTCTCTTGACCTTTTCGTCCTTGTTGGGTGCCTATATTTTAGGAGTTTGTCTCTTGACCATTTTATGCTTGTTGGGTGACTATAGTCTAGGGTTTGATCTCTTGACTTTTTTGTTTTTGTATGGAGCCTATTTCATAGGTGTCCGTCTTTTGACCTTTTGATGATGTGCCATTGCGATAGGTCTTGGTAAGTTGTCTTTGTGTTTTGCCTTTTTGAATGTTAGCAGCTTGACATTATTTTGCTTTGTGAGATACATTTTTTGTATATATTTTGTACAGCTTTCATCGAGCGGTTTGAATTAATGAGTTGTTTCCGATTCCTAACCACAGATATCCTGACCTTTTAACATAGTTGTTGATGATTAAATAGCTCTTCTAAAGTTCTGCTTTCCTTTTAAATTGTGTTTTACTATCCCAGGTTTTTTTAATCCCATCTGGTGATATCACGTATTTGAATCGGTAATATCGCAGGACATAACCTACATGAGTTCTTTTTGAAGTTAATTCAATAACAAACCTTGATTTTATAGAGAAAAAAAATACACAATTATTCTTTGTTTTTATCTGAACAGAAATTTAAATTCAATGTACACATCCTGATACTCTTTCCACTACCCACAGAAATGATTAAGAATTTTGATATGGATAGAGTATGCAAAAAAAACTCTTCTAAGTCTTTCAAATTGAATCTGAACACCATTTTCCTGTACATCAATATGTTGAGGTTTGTAGATTCGTTTTCACTGAATTACGTGTGAGATCAAGGTTACCATAATGGGTTTTTTTATTATTGAATCCCAACAACTACGATAGATAAACTTTGTAAGGACAATGACTATTAAGCACGTTCCAGTTTTATGGCAGTATTTTCCCCTCATAGTCTTTGGCTGCTTCAATAGGTTTTTTTAGAAGTGAAACTCTTTGGAGGATTTTTGTGTACAATGTGTTTAATTTGAGCACGAACAATTCAAAAAACATTCCAGGACAGGTAAATTGTCTTTTTTGTTTTAATAGCTATGAAATTTACCTTATAACACTTTAGCTGACGCAGCTTAATACACTCTTTTTCTTTCTTTCTAAAGCAGTGCTAGCTAAACAAGTCATTACGTCTTTTCAAACTTATTTCCAAAACATGAATAACTACCGTTAGCTTAACTACATGGTGTCCCAAAGTTTTAACATTTCTATCGTTTAAGAGTTCACGCACGAGCTTATTCCAAACAAACTGAGGAATTCGATGTCAATGAAACATTAAAATGAAAAGAATTGTGATTCTGTAAGCTAACAATGCTTTGAAAAGTTAAAGGAAAAAGACAGACGTGGATGTTGACATAAGAATTGTCTCTACTTAATATTTGCTTTACTTAATACCAGGGCACGTAATTTGAAGCTTGAATTTCGCCTTTTTTCTCCCCTCCAATAACGAGGGCAAAACATGTTTATATTACCCGAAATGCACAGCTTACTATAAAAGAATTTCTTCTGCGAATGGCAAAATTACACTAGCCAAATTAAAACATTATCAGTGAAGAGCGAATATTTCATTGGCAAGAAATGGTATTACGAATTTGGAATATAAAATTAAATAATGCATATGTGTTTAAAAAACGCTTGGAAATATACTTAAGTCTGTCAAAGATCAAACACACAAAAAGCAACCAAGTCTGTCCTTTTACACAGTGATTTTTTTAAGACAAGAATGAAGCATACGCATTGTAAGTGATACTAAATTTATTTAATCTTAATTACAAAGACACATGTCGTAAGAATGTGTGCTCAAGTAAACAGTAACAAAGTGTTTTGTAACATGTAATAAACAGACATAACAAAATCACATGGAAAATGTACAGATCGCAATATCTCCCGAAACATAATGATCACTTATATCATAAAAAGAAGAAGATGAATTTGAACAGCACAAGATATTTTTTTTAGAATTAATTTGATTTGAGTCGATAAGTAAAAACATAAAAAAAATTGTATATTGAAATGATGTTAATAAACAGAAATATATATAAACGGAAATATACTCTTCCATGAATGACACAATCTTTTTAAATTTCTTTCAAAATCTGTTCGATGATGGTCTACTTTTCAAATTGATATCAATTTACCTAATAATAAATTTTGACTCTTTTTATAGATGACATAATATAAAATAAAATAAAACACTTTCTTTCATGAATGACATAATCTTATTAAACCATTATCACTTTAAACTAGTTTCGTTAATATTTGTTTGTTTGTTTGTTTATGTTTAACGGCCCATCGACGGCTGTGAGTTTCGTTAATAATCTGCTCTTATGAAAAAATGGGTTTGTTTTGCTGTCAAACATTTATGAGCCCCTCCCTATTTTGAGAAGAGAAAATGGGAAAATCCAAAAGAACAAAGAAAATGACGATACAATATCAATTTTAGTGAAATATTCCACGTTAAAAAACTGAAACTTTGGTACCAAGTAGAGTGCAGGAAATACATTTTTGGGGGGATTTTCAAAATGGCTGCTGAATCGGTACATTTTAACTGCTAAAACTCAGTATGAAATATCTACAATCATTACGTATTTTCTGCTGCATGCTTTCTTTTCAAATTGATCTTACTTTGTTGAATTCAAGTTAAATATCTTAAACCATACCGAAACGAAACTTAACCATGATTTAAAGCTCAGAAGGGTAGATCTTTAGTGTCAACATTTGTTTGACTACAAACCATTCATGTCTCAGGAGATCATTGCTGTAACAATCAATCAAGACACTATTTTATATAGTAGGAATTATACATATGACAGATAGACATTATATATGACTTTTGATCACAGACGTCGATGGAGGGAATCAAAGAAACAGGAAACGTGTAAAATACTGTGAGAGACAGAAAAGGTCGAACAAAAATACAAAATAGAATCTTAAATGAAATCATAATCAATCATACTTAAACATGTTATGTATGGAACATATTTCTAAATAGTTTTCTTGAATACAAGTGAATGTGAAACAATGTGCAAAAGGTTTATCTTATCAGAAAAATATATTGAATATCACAACAGACATACATGCATAAAATTACATTATTATGATACATAGTTCTGTAAATAGTTCTAAAATTATACTTTATGTAAAGATTGTAGAAAATAATATTTGAATAATGATAAAAAGCGTATCACACATTTTGATTATTAACTATTTACAATCACAATAAGTAATAAAAACAGAATAAACAAAACATTAAATAACAAATTTTGAACAAATTCTTTCTGTAATCAATATTCACTGGTATTATGTACTCGAATCATCTTTTTTCACCAATATAAGGGAAAATAATACTATTTGTAAAATTAGTATTAGCTGGAATGCCATTTAGATCAAACATGTTGTTTGCTCTGACACTTTTATTCTCAATATTGTTAATAACATTTTATATAGTCGGAAATTTATCCGAAAGTCATTGGTACTTTGGAATGCAATACATGATGAAATAGTCATATTAAGAAACAATTATAAGATTGTTTTCATTGTTAATGTGGTTGACGTCTTGGAACCAGTGAAGGAAACAAATTACATTTAACATTTGTGTCACTTTTTAGCGAAGGGATTGACAGAAAATTTCCCGAGATTGGTTGGTTCTGGTCCGCTGAGAAAATGACCTGGGCGTCGATCTACTGGACCCTCGGGTTCTGGTTCCTCTTCACAATCCTCGATTTCGGGTTTCTTAGGAGGTTTTGGAGCTGGCGGTGTTTCTTTGCCCCCGAAAAAGCCTGACGGGAGTGCCGCCGTGTTAGAAACCATTGGTTTAGATGGCGGTTTAGCTGGTGGTGAAGCCACACTAGCTGGAGGGGTTGCTCCACTTTTTGGCTTAGGTGCGTCCTTTGTGCTGGTATTACTGACACTGCTAACAGACTTGTTAAAAGTAGGTTTCGGTGCATTTGCTTTCGGCATGCGATTCACAGGTAACTTAGGTTTCTTAGAAAAGAGGGTCGACATTGCGGGAATGTTGTTGTCATCATCCATGAATTTCTGTTGTTGCATAACCAGCATTGGATTTTCAGGCAGATTTTTAAACGGATCTTTTTCTGCACTCATCATAAACTCTCCAGGAGGCCCTCTTAAAAATGGGGTTGGAGTCTCAGTGCCGTTTTCTGGAAACGACATAAGATCTGGTGTTTCTGGGATGGGCGGAGGACTACTTGGCGAAGCCATACTTTCCAGGAGATCCTCTGGTAAAATTTTCGGAACTGGTGTTTTCGCTGTTGAACTAGGGCGACTGTTTGATAATTTACTAGCACTTCTGTTTACTCTATCAGGACGAATTGCAGAGGATTTCTTCGGTGGTTTTGGGAGCATGAACGAACTAGTTTGCATTCCAGAGCCATTATCCGCACTAACAACAGTTATGGAGGAGCCACGTCTCCCATCGACTGATGGAGTTGGACTGAAACTCTTACGTGGGTCAGGGTGGAACAGATCACTGAGGCCTGTTGGAGGTCTACCGTCATAGTCTAACTGCCCAAATTGTTCTCCAAACATGATAGAGGAGGCAGAAGCAGAAGTTGAAATCGAGGTCATGGAGTGCTGCCTACTGAAGCGTCGTTCAGTGCCTGTGGGCGCTTGGCTGGGGTAGAAGTTGGCGCCACTGGAAATGCCTCCAATTCCGATGTAGTCTGATGTACAGTCGAACCCTTCATTTTCATGATCTTCATCTGACTTGTCATTGACATTTGAATTCTTCTTCTTTTTCTTCTTTATACAGATGATTATTATGATGATAAGGAGGATCAGGATAAATCCGCATGCTCCTGCAATAATTATGATCAGCATACTAGCAACGTCCTCCGTGGTCTCCTCTGTACAGTAGTCAAAGTAACCATCCAGTTCACACTCACTGACATCAAATGTTCCCTGGCAGTAGAAGATCAGGTTGTATAGGATAGTCTCATTCGTTGTCAAATTACTGAGTTTACTGTATTCATTTATACAAACTTCCACCAAGAAGTCCTTCAAGTTGTCAACACCGGTACAATGCATTGAAATCAGAGGGTCAGATAAAGCTGTTAAGCAGCTGTTCATTGTGTCATTGTCCTGAATATTAGATTTGATGTCCAAGGCAGGATAAAAGCTCGCGATGGGAGCGGATGATGGCATCCACACACTAGATGTTGACCCGCCTGATATGGTTCCAGAGACAACGCTTGTCGTTCCTGCTGGTGGATAGTACGACATAGCTGTGTTAGCTCCAACACCCTCGTCAAACTGTGCTAGGACCAATAAGCCATTCGTATCAAGGTCTGAGCTTTGGTACTTCTCCATATCTAATATCAGTTCTTGAATTGTTTTGACCCTATTCCACATTTTCAGATTTTCCACGTCTACGAATGATAAGGAGTTTCCTATGATTGATACACTATCCATGTTCACGCTATTGCCCAGATGAACGTTACTGAAGGCTTTGTACTGTAGAGCGTTGTTGCATATAGAGTACACCATCATACTTCCGTCTGTCGACTGCCAGACCAAAGCGACGTATGTCCATGTGTTGATGGTTACTGTGATTGAATCGGCAATGGATGTATTCTGCCATATCACTCGGATATTTCCATTCAATAAAACTATTTCCAGGTCGTGAGTTCCAGTGCCGCATACTATCACACTGTGACTGCTAGATGAATGGGATTCCACACGAAGCCAGAAACTTATTGTTAGAGAAGCGATATCTGATGTGGTGTGCACAGAAGTAAACGCTATTGTCTGGTCAGTGACATGCATGATATACCCTGCTGTTGTTATGTTCACCTCGTACGCTGGATCCAGAACTGTAGGAGTGAGTGTTGTTTCTCCTGCTTTAGTTTTTGATGCCGTTCCAATATACGTCTTAGTTAAAAGACTTTCCGCTACGGTTACGTTAGTTATGGCACTATCAGTACTAGATAGAAAGTCTTTCCACCATAAGCCATCACTGTTACCCAAAAGTCCTGTATTCGTGGTTGCGTCTGATGAGCTTACTTTGAACCTGCATATGAGGCCTATGCTGCTATAGGAGACAACAGCGCTGCTGCTTCCGACAGATACTCTGATGTAATATTCATTAACCCATTTCAGTGAAACGCTTCCATGACTTGTTGTGGTGGGGAATACTTGCAGGGCTCCTCCAACCTTTGGTGCCATTGTGCCATTGTTGATCGTGATACTGACCGAACTTCCAAAGGCAATCTCCTTCACCTCTCTGCACTTGATGTCTCCTGGACAGGGATTAAACAGAATCTGTACGTCTACTCCTGCTAAAGTAAGGGCTCTGTAAACTCCAACAGAGTTTATGTGGTACGATGCCCCGTCCAGTGTTGTTATATAAGGACCGTAGATAAATCCGATACGGTTTGCTGCTGTGGCACTGGCTGCTTCTACGGCTAGTGTGCATTCTTTGCCTGCCCATCCATTGGAACATAGCGAGCAAGATGGAGAAGTTCCCGACACTACTGTATTAGTGTTTTGTCCTTCCCAGTAAGCAGATGTCCTGGTAGTGCTACCAAGGAAGCGATAGGTGCACACACAACTACCACTTGAACCACAAGTTCCATGTCCGTTACAAGCTCCAGAATCCCCGAGAGGACACGTGTCTGCACAACTGGTACCATAGTGGCTCGAGTCACACACACAGGATCCAGAACTGGTCGATCCGAACATACACTGTGAGGAGCATCCAGCTCCGTAGGACACCAGGTAGTTGGTATTACTACTGAAAGAAGCGCATAAGGTTTCAAGCGGAGACTGAGTTAAATTGTTGGCTACCTGGCATAACTCGGCTGTATTAAGTGCAACTGTTTCAGCTGCAGTCTGGTCTCCAGTAGCTGTTACGAGTGCTTGGCACTGTTCAAGGGCAGACGTTAATAAATCGGTGAGTCCTGGACATGCAGTTGTCATTGCTGAACTTTGTATCAGTGTATTACAGATTGCCGTTGAGACAGTTGCCTGTGGTGAAGTTGTTGTATAATCTGGGAGTGAGATGGAAGGATCCTCAGTTAAGTCAAGATCTGATTCTACCCAAACTGGTGGGTTTGCAATATCTAAAGCATATATGTGTTGGTTCTGCTTTAATTCATATGCTTTTATACCCGTTCCATCATTGAATGACCAAGCATGCGAGAGGTCTGGCGATTTTGTTGAAACTGTCATTTTGGGGTTATTCGCTACCACCGTAGGGTTATGAACTCGATCCCATATCCTCACTTCGTCGATATATCCAGTGTATGAACCTGCAAGCGTAGTGGACATACCAGTGCCTAATTGCCCAAATGTCAGCGTTCCTCCCGAGGCTAGAACGGAGGAGTCGACAGACACAGCCTTTACATCAGACACACCGGCATTGTCAATCAGGTAGACCTCTAGCATTCCAACAGTTGGTCTGTATGCCAGACTGATCTGGTTCCAGACATTGAGTTCCAGGTTCAGGGTTGTTGGGTACACTGCACTCTGAACTTGTATCTTCAATCCAGCACTGGAATCTGCCAAGAGGAAAGTGTTTCCATTGACCCCATAGGCGAGGATGACCCCGCCAACTGCTGTAGGTTTAACATAAAACTCCAGTGTCATGTATGACGTGGGTAAAAGTAATCCCTCCACACTGTTACCATTGCCACTGTAAAGAAGACAGTTGGAATCGGTAGAAATAGTGCTGCTCATCATACTGCTGATAGTCGTGTCATTGGTAGTGAACTTTTTGGCAAAGGTAGACAAAGCTGCCGTCGTAAGTGAAGAAGCACAACCAGATGCTGATGTAAATCCTGCAGTGCCACTGCATATCTGAGATCTGGTCACCCCACATGTATCCAGTATGATAGATTCTGTGGTGTTGCATGATGACAAAAGTCCACTTAAGTCGTTAGAATGTAATACCCAGGTCTGTTGTTCGACAGAGATTGTCGTCAAAAGACGGTCGCTAATGAGGGATACTTTTACGCTGAATTGAAGATCTGTGAATTCGATTTCGGCACGGGTAGATGTAACAAGTGTTATAATCATCGTACCGATTGTTTGGGAAGTGTACACGTTAATAGGTAGACTGTTGGTGTACACTACAAGTTTGGTGGATTGGAAACTGTCCGTTTTGATACCGTAGTAGACTGAGGCATGTTCTATTCCTAATCCATTCATGCAAAGAGAGCCAAAACTGGATGCTGATGAATCACATTGAGCGAAATAACCGTAAAAGGCTTTCCCGACAGCAGCATCATTGAGAAGGTTGTAGATTCCGGTGCTGGTGATGTCAAATGCTGTTCCATCCAGTGACACAACCTGGCCCATTGTAGTTCCCTGTGCTACCAGCGTTGCTTGGCTGGTTGTTTGTCCTGTAGATAGCAGGATACATTCCTCTCCACCCCATCCTGTTGCACAACTATCACAAGTTGATCCAGTGAAATGGCCACTACACTGGCATGTTCCGCCAGTGTCACAACTACCAAAGCCATTGCAAGGGTTGATATAGCCATTGGGACATGTGCTGTCACACTGAGCTCCGTAGAATCCATAGTTGCATTTGCAGGTACTGTTGGTGTAAACGCCGAAATAGCATGTCCGATACTCGTTGGTTATCCAACTAGGGATGTTAACATTGGTCAAAGAATCAATAACACTGTACAGATTGGTCGCAGATCCACCAGTGGCAGTGCAAGTAGATATGAAACTTGCCATTGGGATGATTCCTAAGCTGAAATTTCCAGTAGTGGAAACGACGTCAATACACTTCTGTTTGAACCACCATAGACTTTGTGAAGACATTCCAGCGCAGTTGGAGGTAACTGTCCCAGATCCAAAGAACTGAGCACAGAAAGGCTCTGCAGTTGCAAGCGTTGTTGTAGAAGCAATTGCTTCATTATACGTTATTGTTCTCAGGTATAAGTCAGAAACCGTCCAAGCGGGAGACTGCCACGGTGACCTTGGCAAATCAATGGTGTTACCATGGATGCTATCGTAAACGTTGTATCCAACTCCTGCAGAGAACATATATACAGATGATACCTCACTGGTAAATCCAGACACTTTGATGTTCAAACTCTGGGCCTGGAAGATGAGTTCGGTGGGAATCATATCTTTCCAGATTGATACTTCATCGATGTAGCCATCATATGAGGCGTTCACTGTGTGCTTAGCGTCGTCCACTGAAGGTGTCCATGCGCCCAAAGCGATCGTTCCATTAGCAGAGAAGACATTTGCGCAGCTGAAGGATAAGGTTTGATAGATGATGCTTGTACTGGTGCTATAGTGGTACAGGTCAACTGTGTTTGCACTCGTGTCAAACGTTAGCACGAGTTGGTTCCAAGAACCAGTGGTTGACGATGCTGAGGTTTCGACAATGTTGGTACCACATTGTAGAGAAAGTGGGTTGGTATTCAGTATAGCGAATGTTGTATTTCTGCCATAAGACATGATGACACCGCCCTCTGCATTTGGTTTGTAGTAAGCACTGACACTGAAGTTCCTTCCACTGAGAGAGTAACTGGAACCATATTGAAGCTCTTGTGTTGAAGCTGCAGTTTTGTTGAAAGACAGTGAAAATCCTGCATCTCCAACTATGCCAGAGCCTAGTGTGTTGACAATCGGCCCTGAAGTTGTCTGATAATTGTTATTAATATGGGCCTCAAGGTCGGTGGTGTTCATACTGGTGTAGACACTGCTAGTACCACAGGCTTCTATTATTCCAGTGCTTCCTGTGCAGATGGCCGACACAGTTTTAATAGTCATGTCGATGGTATAGTCCTGCATCAGAAGAGTTATTGTTGTGGTTTCTGGTGTTTTCACTGTCAGCTCTACGGTCCGAAGAGACTTGACCTCTACTTTGAAAGTTGGACTCAGGTCCGTTAATAGCGTAGTCAAGGTCACTAATGTACTGTTGTCATAAACCAGTGGCATGGCATCAGCCCCTCCGGATAAGATAACAACTTCATCATCGGACGTTGAAATGCCAACTGCCACAATACACGAACCAATGTGGCAGCTTACCTTGTACACTTGGATGTCGATCTTTCCTGCTTGTGAGAAGGCTGTATAAAGTCCGTTCAAATCTGCTAGTGACACCTGTTTACCATTGAATCCCATAAACGCTCCTGATCCGCTGACATACGCAACAGGACTACCACTGGAAGTTAGGGCTGAGGTGACCAGCACCTGACAGTCAGGGCCTTGCATACCAGTACTACAGGATGTGCAGGAGGCTGCTCCGCCCCAGTTCCAGTCGCACGTACATGATCCCGAGGTATCACACACTCCTCTACTATTGCAAGGGTTGAACGAACTGACGGGGCATTGGTTGGAGCATGTATTACCATAGTAACCAGATGTACAGATACAGGATCCATTCAATAGTGGAGTTCCAAAGGAACAGGACTGACTGGTATCACAGAGTGTGTTTATCTTAGAATCATGGTCCAGCTGGCTGCAGATTGCTGCTTTAGCAGTTGTTATGTTCAATGTCTGGTCACAAATCTCAGCGTAAGATACAACGACGTCGTACGCAGGTATGCTCTCTCTACTACCAGTAAGTGCATGAACACATTGTAAGTAAAACACCTGTTTTGTCGAATCAGTCATGCCGCTGCAAAATCCTCCCAACTGTGATGTAGTATTGGTAATTTCAGTACATATCTCTTCTCCAAGTAACTGCTGAGCACTACTGGAATAAAATACATCAGAGATGCCGGGGTAGGATAATCTTGCATACACCAAGTCTGAGGCCACCCATGTTGGTACTGACCAGGGCGCTGTAGGCAAAGTGAATGTTTTACCCTGTAATCCATCATATGATGTAGAGCCGTAACCTTCATCAAATGTCCACATCAGATGCAGTAGATGGCTTACATCAAGTGGATGCATCCTCCAGACATCTACAATAACATTGGGCTCAATTTTGATTCTCCATACAAGGAAATCGTCCAATTCGCCTGAAAGACTCTCAGGTTGAGTTTGTAGTGTGGTCAGTTTTGCAGGAATCCAGTGTCCCAAGGACAGAGTTCCTGGGTTGGTGAATATTCCAAGTGGAAGTGTGTCTGTATATCTGTATACAAATCCGGTGCTGTTGAATTGGTAAATATCAAATTGTCCACTGGCTCCTTGGTACACCACCACCATCTTTATCCATACATCCCTCTCCAGAGTCAAATTGGAGGTGTATGTTGTACCGTCATAAATTATTTCAATGGTGTCTCTGCTTTGTACAACCAGTGACTTTTCATTGACAAATGAAAACAATACTCCGCCATAGGTACTTGTTGAATACAGTTTGACCACAAATTCGAATGTTATGTCCGTTCCGATAAGTGTGTTGAAATCAATGACCTCCGCCACAGCAATTGATTTATCATATTTCAGACTGTATCCACCATTCTTCTGTGAATCATAGGAAGGATCAGGATAGTAGATGATCCTGTCACATGTCTGGACTTCGTACCTGTTGATGTCGGTAAAAGTGTTTGAGGAGGCTGTTCGGTTGATGGACACGCTAGACCAGGTGATACTGGATCCCCCAATCGGTGTAGCGGAGGAGGCTTGGATACTGGCCACCGAGTTACACACTCCTAGCTCAGCATTTTGTGACTGTTGTAGGTGCTGTAACTTGTCACTGCTCAATGAAGATCCGGAACCACTCAGCAACCCTTGGGTGACGGAAAGAAGATTGGAGGGCATGGTAACCTGGAGGGTCAGGTACCGACTCTGAACTCGAATCAACAGGACAATGTCATTGTTTATTGTAAATTTTAAACTGTTGACTGTTACTCTCTCCATGGAAAACCCGCGGTAGTAGATTGGATCATCCAATGAATAGAGAGCATTGTTCAGATAAACAGTGGGATTTGTGAATGGCTCGACTGGTGTTTGAATGGTGGCTACCATGTAACCATTGGTGTCATCACCGATCCTGAAAGACATGAAGGTGGTGCAGGTGAAGTTGTGGTAACAGCTCACCATCTTAGCTTCTATCAGTACGTTGTCGCTAATCATCAGTAAAACGTACTCTCCGATGGTTCTGACAAGGAAACCGAGCCCGTCTAGGTTGTAAATGTATCCAAGTTGGTTAGAGGATGCAATTCGTGTATCTGTCACCATGGCAAGATTTTCAGATATTTCACAGTCAGATCCGATCCATCCAGCTGTGCATACAGAACAGTCTGTTGCTCCCTGGTAGTTGACAGGGCAGGTGCAAAGACCGGTCACGCTATCACACGTTCCATATCCTGAGCATGGATTAGAGGCCCCACCAGGGCATTCTGTGTCGCATGTTGTGTTCCAGTAGCCAGTCAGACAGGTGCAGACTGTGCCTGATTTAGTCCCAAAGTAACACTCCGGATTACAGTAACCACCAAACAGTGTGTTGAAATCTGTGTCGTTACAAAGGGTGTAGCCAGGCCAGGTACTCAGAGACAAGATGTTCTCACAGTAGGTCGAGTAGTCCAGAATAACGTCTTCCAGTTCGTCATCGTCTGTGGAGCCGGAGCACTGACCCTGATAGTAGGTCTGGACAGATGTTCCAGCTGGGGCACAGATACTGCAAAAAAGCACAACATCTTTAATAGACTGTACTTAAAAGAATCGGCGACAGTAGTGCAAATATGGAACACAAAAATAGAAAGTCTATAGTATTAGAAATCTATAGTTCATGACTTATCAACTCAAATTTCAATTTTAAAGGACAACTTTTCAGTGACAGTAAGTCCAATGAGACTGTATCCCTCACTTGTTATTCAATGTTGTTGATATGAAATACATATACCACTTTCATCCCAGCCTGCTACTACTAATAACCATTTAAGACTCTTGGTTATCAAGAAACTAAGTTTTAACTAATTTTAGTCATGTGACCATCAAAGCTGGTCAATGTTTGTTTATGAAATTCATGACAATAAGTCATCTTATCATGCTATATCACAAATATTATCACCCTAGGCTCTCCTAAGCAATTCAAAAGATTTTGTTTTAAAATTCTTAATATATAAAATAAATTGAAATGAAAAAAATTGCACTAAGTCCATTCATTAGAAAAAAAGATAGTCTATCAGCCGACAAGTTATCAATCATTTATCATCAACCTAGTCCCCATTGGATTCTCAGAAGTTATTGAAAGATTCTTGACCCTCATGACTTTGACAGTTGGTCAAGGTACTTTATTGAGAAGTTATTTCAAAGGTTGCTACACAAAATTGAAAGCCCTTCACCACGACAAGCTAATCACTCTTGGTTATCCAAAAGAATGATCTTATTTTTTTTAACAAATTTGACCTCTCTGGCCATGACAGTGGGTCAAGGTAACTTATTTGAACAAACTACCCTTCATCAGAGCATGCAACTGGACAAATATAATGTTTAAGCCTTAGCTATTGTAATGAGCCAATAATTAATGCAATGACTCATTTACTAAACAACTTAATTGCTCATTTGTGACCTCATGTCCTTGCAACTCATTCACTTTATGACCCACAAACTTACTCTCTGATCTTATTACACACTTACCTTATGTCTTTCTAACCTAATGACTCATTAATCTAACAACCCATTACCATCTTGACTCACTAACTATGTGACCCACTAACTCAAGGACATCCTTTTGAATGACTCAATAACCCAATGGCTCGCTTAACAACTCACTTTTTTATGATTCACAAACCTAATGACTCACTTACCTTGTGACTCGCTAACTTAACAACTCACTTGTTATGATTCACAAACCTAATTATTTACTAACCAGAAGACTAACTAACCTAACTAATCACTTACCTTCACACATTGACCTAATTACTCACTTACCTAGAGACCTGCTTACCTATTGACTAAGTAACTAAACAACTTTCTTTCCTATTGACCCGCTAGCTGAACTGCTTGATAACCTATTGACTCAATACACAACTTGTTTTCTTAATGACTTACTAACTTAAAGACTCACTAACCTAGCAACTCCCTTACCTAATGACTAACTAACCAGAAGACTAACTTGCCTAACTAAAAACACTTACCTTAACACACATTAACCTTCTGACTCACTAACTAAATAACTAACTGATATATAATGCTTAACCTACCTAAAGACTCACAAACCTAATGGCAATGTGTTTTATGGGCATTGCGATCTGAAATTCCAAGGTTGAAAATTGTAACTGGATTATCTACCTGGAGAATGCAGTGGAAGTGAAGACACGATCACAGAAGGTGTTGTAATTGACCGACACAGCTCGTCGCCTCCTTCTGCGTTCAGTCCCCACCACATCATAGGACGACACATAGTAAGGTATTGGCGCTGTTGATTCCACAAGTTCCCCTCCTTGGAATGGATTGGGTAGGGATTCAAAGTAGAATGTGTTATCCTCATCGTAGGTCTTCAGTTCTGTTGTGAGAAAAAATATTTTAAAGTTAAATTGAAATCGTAAACTTCCCAATAATTCAATTTGTAGACAGTAGAAAATAAATATTGCATATCCATTCTTCAATACAAATACCCATGTTTCCTATGTGTGCTGTATATGAACATTCCCATTGTAAATTTGTTAGTGTGAACATATATTAATCAATATGAAGATATCTATTGCAAATTAGCTACATTATTGTCCTCAGACTGGGAATAAAGAAATCAATATCAAATTAAAACAAATATGTCTCATAATGTTCCTTTTTATATATATTACTGAAAAATATATTAAATTACAAATAATGAATTAAGAATCAAATATATTTCTAGCAACAATAAACTCAAATTGAACCTGTTGATAATGATTAATCACTTGTTCTGAAATTTCAATAATAGCTTTCTACCTTAATACAGACTACAAGGTAATCGATCATATAAAATATTAAGTCGATACTAATTTACATATTGTCTCAAATCATCTTATGACACAGAACTTCAATGAAAATATCAGGAAATAATGGAAGGAACATGTTTTAGTACGAAGAATTCAGGTTGAAGTATATCAGGAATGAAGTACACACAATGTATATAGGAACAAAGTATTTATAAATGTTATCAGGAACACAGTAATATGTTAATAGGAACAAAGTAATGATATATGTAAATAGGAACAAAGTAATGATATATGTAAATAGGAACAAAGTAATGATATATGTAAATAGGAACAAAGTATTGATATAAGGAACAAAGCAATGATAGAATTATGTAAATTAAAACAAAGTAATGATATATGTACATATTAATCTAGTACTATCTATAAGGTAAGCATTATAAAGGCTCTGCATTCGTAAAACCGTTTTCATGCTCAGACTCAAGTTATGTGCTCAAACTAACTTTATGGCAACTCGCTTAGGTCTTGTAACAGTTCAAATACAGGAACACTTAACATGGGAAGGGTGACAGGTACAAATCTCAAATCTGTACAGAACCTCAGTCTGAGCAGAATGGTAGATGGAGGCCAGATATGAAATTCAGTTTTATTAAAGATCCAAATTAAGAACAGTTAAAAACAGTCATATGACAAACAATAAAACAAGAAAAAGATATAAGGAATATTTAAAGGTACTCTATACTTGGTTAAATTCAAAGGTATTCACAGCCACCAAACATTCAAAGATTTACAGGCACAGATTTGATTTTTTTTAAGTTTTCAAAATATGTTAAATTTTAATTAAACAAATGTCACGTAACTTTTATTCCTTCTTCATTACATGTATTATTTAAAAAACAGTCACAAGAAAACAAAGCAATGACGTCAAACTAGCACCTAATAGTTAAATTATTTAAGCCACAAGCTCAATTTTAATCAAGAGACAATCACACAACACAATTCCGTCTTTGCGTATTGCAGAGTTATCTTCTCTTGTGAGCAGGTACTGATTGTTACGTCATTTGTTTGTGAGAGTTACGTCATCAATTTTTGAGAAAACGACGTAATTTTCTCACACAAACCAATGACGTAACATTCAATACCTGCAATACGCTAAGACGGAATATGAATCAGTCAAATGAAAGATAGATATTCTCATCGTAGTTCAAATTTCCGTACAAAGAGGCCCATTTGTTCAGAGTGTAATATCACATGATATACATTTTTCATTACAAACAATTTCAAAAGAACAGACTCATCAATGTTCCTATGTTATCTATCATATGAGGACACAATCCAGTCAGATACTTGTATACTATGACTTAAATGCAATTTTAAGACACGATAAGCTTGCACCTGTGAACACTGATGCAATTGAACCCAGTTGTGAGTAAGCTATACTATTTATGTCAACTGTACAAGTCGAACCCTGATGTAACATCGAACAATAAGTCTATGAGCAAGAGTCATATCCGCGAGTAGAATAAACTATAGGTTACATGCAGGAATCAGATCTCTAAGTAGAAAGAGGGAAAAGAATAAGGTCACATAAAGGAGTCAGATTTCTAAGTAGAAAGAGGCATAGAATTTGGTCACATATAGGAGTGGAATCTCTAAGTAGAAAGAGGCATTTAATTGGGTCCCAAGTAGGAGTCAGATCTCTAGGTAAAAGAAGGTATAGAATTAGGTCACAAATAGGAGTCAGATCTCTAGGTAAAAGAAGGTATAGAATTGGGTCCCAAGTAGGAGTCAGATCTCTAGGTAAAAGAAGGTATAGAATTAGGTCACAAATAGGAGTTAGTTTCTAATGTTACTATTAACGCTTAGGATTGTCACACATAGCAGTTAGTCATAGGTATACGTAAACCTACTTTGTCCCGAAACTGAAATAAAAAGATTAAAATCTTGTTTAATCATAAATCAAAATGAAATCCCGTGCTACACAGTGACGTACGTGTCCTTCTGTACCACAAACAATATCAAAAAGTGATGGCAGGAATTATGATGTTAATAAGTTTTCACTTGTATGATTATGCTGAAAGTGACATTGTAGGTAGGACAGTCTTATTTAGTCGTTCATATTTGTGCTATTATCATCATCAATGATTTTATTTGCAATTAACTTGCTTGTTCATCCATAAATACACTTAACTGTTGTCATTTCCTGAGATCAGCACTTAAAATTTTAATTTGAAAATATCATTAGTGGCTATGTAACACCAAAGGCCTAATTAATAACACGATTTGCTTGTATATGGAGTGTGTTGAGTCGTACTGATGTATTTTCTCTTTCATGTATATATCAAAAAACATTCCTATTTATAGACTGTTGATAATACTTAAGTTTATCATGTCAGAGGTCAGAAAACTCATTTTGGTACATGACAGCACCATTACTTTTTCTACTTTATCATACCAAATATGTAATTATTCGTGAAGCAGTGGTGGAGATATGCTCCCGAAACTTGGATGAATTGGCGGACAGATGAACGATCCCATTCCTATATACCCCGACTTAGTTTTAAGCATCCACCCAAGTATAAAAACAAACAGGTGATATTCTAAAAATTCAGTGTCATTGAAACTATAAACCAAAGTGAAATTAAAGTGATTTTAATTTAAATGTAATCAAAAAGAGTGATACCATAAAAAACATTATTTTACAGTGAGTGTGATAAATTTACCTGCTTCGTTGTTGAATCTCCAGAGAACTTCTAGATTGTCCTCGAGGAGAGGGTCGTATGCTCTGTTCCAGTGGGTGAGGATGCCCAGGGTAGAGAAATATCTGTCAAGCAGAAAATGTAACAAATATTCAACAGTCAATCACTACAATAAAATTACTGAGAGTTGACAGGCAACTACCGAAAAGATTATTTCCTGTTTAATTGGTAATTTTCTCTCTTTTCATAGGTTTTTAATGAAAGCCTTTTTATGGAGTTACAAAATTTTGAAATTATTCTCAGTGATGTTCCTGAAAAGAAAAAAACCCACATCCTAACCAGTCTCATGGATAAACACGTGCCCCCTGTGAGTGTAGAGCTGATAAGGCAATTTTGTCTAAGAGTGTACAATTCCGACTCGGAACTGAGCTTTACTTCCCTTAATAAAATTTCAGGGCTTTTGATGAATGATATTTATAATATATTTGTTTCTCATTGATCTACAACCGTACATAAAACAGCAATAGAATACAAACAAAATTAAAATTTTGTATATGTTTTTGATCTTTTTTGTTTTGTTAGTTTGTTTGGTTGTTGTTTTACATCCTATCAACACCTAGTCATTTTAAGGATGTGCCAGGTTTTGGTGGAGGAAGGAAAACTAGAGTACCTGGAGAAAAAACACTGACCTGCAGCCAGTACCCATGTAGGCCTCGAACCCACGACCCAGTTGTGGAAGGATTGTGATCGAAGACGGTCAGACGCCTTGACCACTGGGACACTGCGGCCTGCTTTAGGTTCAGCATTGAACAGTTTGATATATCTTATGAATATATTTTATCAAGATTATGTTATAGTCAGCTCTATAGTCCTCCTAGTTTTGTACATTTATTAGATGAGGTGGCCGATGGGATTTAGTTGGATACCAACAGCAGATGAGTCAACAGAATATTTCAATAGAAAACTAAATTACTTACGCATTCCAAATTCGCATTTCGTCTATACATCCAACAAAGTGTTCTCCAAATGGCTGTTCACTGCCTCCTTCAGAAGATGGCTGCCAGCGCCCGAGTACCATGGTACCATCATTGATGAAGGGAGTAACTCCACTGTACACCATGGTTTTATACTGTATCATGCCCAACGAGTTAAAAACATAGATAAACAGTCTCTTCCAGATCTTTCTGTTGTCTACAACCAAAGATATCTGGTTCCATTCGTCATCCTCCAGTTCCAACCCAGTATCATAAACATTGGTGCCATATCCCAAGACCAAAGTTCCCAGGTGTTTGATGGTAAATGTCTCATATTTGGTGAAAGACATGATTGTCCCGTAGCATTCTGGGGAGGCACAGGTCTTGATTAAGAATTCAAGAGTAATGAAACTTGAATTAAACACATTCAAGTTTTTGGCGATAACTGAGGAGTCATTGAAGCACACTGCGTTTCCTCCACCCATGTTTTCTCCACTGGAACATGCCCCGGCATCAGAAACTTCAAACACACAGTCTGTGTTGGTAGCCTGAGTGTTGCTCCCCATGGGATAAGCAGTAGTTGTTGGTGGCGTTGTTGTTGTCGTCGTCGCATATACAGCGGTCGTATTGCGTATTCCGCATGTCGTTGATTCTTGACAGCCATCACAATCTCCACAAATACCCCGCTCTATGGCATTACAACAATAGTTCTCATCAATTTTGATCATTGTCAGAATGTTGTTTTTGCGTGGCATCACAATCATTCGGAAACCTACGTCGTCCAGTCGGAGGACATATTTTCGACTTTTTGGATTTCTTATCCGGAGATTGCAGGCTCCGTTGTTGACAAACATATCCTTTTTATTATTTTTTGATACCTCTGCCTTTTCTTGGTTGATATAAATGGAATTCCAAAGCTCGCTATCAGTCTCTGCTACGACTGCTGTGGTGTTGATTAGGAATACTACAGTCGTGTTGTGGACTTTTAGTGCAACTTTCTCTGTACGAATTCGGAGAAGTCCTCTAGCATTCTTAAATACTGAATAGAAGGCCTGAAACAAAGGTATTGCAAGGTTTTGTTAGCATGGTTTTATACACTGAGCTACAGCTAGAATTTGTTTGAAATTGTAAAAGTCTGTCCTCGAAGATGTGAGAAGCAGGAAACAACATTTATAGTTACTATTGTGAACATTTAATTAATGAAGTTATTGTTGTGTACAATTTATTATTGTGTAACACGATTGTACACAAGTATCTTCTGTATACAAATATCAATAATACATCATCACTTATACATAAAATTTGCTCTGAACAAACAAAAAGTGATCCGAAATTTGGCCCTTTTTTGTTACTAAGGCATTGGAGTAAATGTTTGGAAATTATTTTACAATACATCTGATTTTTATCGCCATTAACAAACAAAAATATGCTTCAGACGAAAAACATTTTGTCACAATTGAGAAGTGTCTTTATCTGGATGCCTTTAACCAAACTCTTCTAGTAAGAATTCTCTTGCAGCTTAATCAGCGAAGAATTGCATCAGTAATATCATTATGAAGTGCCAGAAAAAATGATCAGTTACATTTTGATTTAATTTCGATATTCTTCAGTAATTGCCGATGACAGAGGGTCTTTCCTGTAAGATTGAGCTTACCTAATGAATGAAGTTTGATTAACTGATTTTCAGTAATGAAGAAACTATGCTAAGTACAAGCATCGCACTCATGAAAAATATCACAATTCTGCCATACTAGTAAAATGTACATGGTATTCAATGGGAAACCATTGAGTATCCTCTATGTACGTTTCAGCTTGTGCGCCTGTACATTTATACTTACCACAACTCTCAGGTTGTCCATCACATAAAGGTCAGTAGCCCCTGTCGAGGTGATCTTGTTGTTGTAACCAGTAAAATTGAGGTATGCTCCTGCACCTTGAGTCATGCACACAGGGTCCCCTACAGGTATTGCAGGGATGAACGTGTCACAGTTATCCCCAGTGAGTCCTGTGGTACAGGTAGAACAGTCACTACTACCACTCCAGTGTTCCTCACAGCTACAACTTCCTGTTGTCTTGTCACAGATTCCGTGCTTGTTACAAGGTGTTGAGTATCCACCGGTGCATTCCTGGTCACAGGCGTCACCGTACGCACCCGGGGAACACACACACAGGTCAGTGGTATCATTGACATAGCCGAACTTACATTCTGTGGTACAAGAGGGACCCTTACCGAGAGGGAATTCTGCATCTGTGTTGGTATAAATCCCACAGAGCTGCTGTGCAGGTGGGTTCGCAAGGTTTTGCTTTATCTGACATAATTCAGACATGTCTAAAGTGCTGTCAAGTGTGGCAGAAATGTCGCCAGATGAATGGTAGTCATCCACGCATGACAGGAAGTGTGACTGTAAACTGTTGGTCATGGATGAACATGCCTGGGCCAAAGGACCTGACAGTATTAGGTTTTGACACATGTCGATGATGTCTTGTGTTGTGTTTTCTGTACTAACTACCTCCAGAGTTTTAGGGACAGAGCTGATTAAGGTCGTATTTGATTCTACCCAATTTATTCCTTTTTCGCTGATATGGATATTAACATCATTGACAAAGTCTGTTGATATTTTTCCAGATCCTTCTGCAAACTCAAATCCTAGGACTAGGTTTTCTCTATATCTGTCTACCGGTGTCTGGAAATCAATGTACACCTCTGACGGTGATAATTCTTCATTGAACAAGTGCACACTATCAATAACTCCAGAAAATGTTCCAGTGGGTAGAGTTCCGGCGTCGCCCATAGTTGGCATCCAAGCACCTACTGCTAGAGAACCTTCCCGTGTTATGGCTCCTGGGGGTATGTCTAGGAAGACTTGCTTTGAAATATACTCAGTTCTGTCTTTGGGTGGATCAGTGTGTAAGTAGCTAAATAAAATCTTGCCCGTTGCATTATTGTAAACCACAGACACTTGACTGGGGACGTCTTCCTGGACTTTCACAGAAGTGTTGAATGATAGTCTTCCATACCGAATTACAAAAAAGCCATTAACTATGGTGATTGCAAATGTCTCCTCTTCACCATAAGAAATCAGCGTGCCGTTACTTCCAGCCTCGTTAACATTTGAAAGTGTTGTCTGAATCTCCATGCTCACATAATCTGATGTTCCAGTCTCTGGCCAGGAGTCATTAGAAAGTGGTTCTGTAGCAAGGAAGCCATCCTCACTAATCTCTACAGCAAAACCAGCACTTCCCATCCCATTGGCAAACAGCACGTCTGCAGAATCTACTTTAGATTCTTCAAAGTATTCAATAACTGCTTCTGATTTGAAATCAGTCAAACTTTTACTCGCTTTTGCTATACCAACATCCTTTACAACACATAAATGGTCTGTGGGGGAGCAGGCATGATTCCTGTCCTGACAGAATCCTACATAGCCAGTACTAGACTGACAATTTGTAGTTTCTACCTCCAAATTCAAGTTGATGTAACCGTTATTGGTTGTCACGCCAAGCTCAAGGTCCCCGGACGAAGATGTGATTTTGAGTTTGTTTGTAGCATCTCTCACTAGTGTGTAGCCTGTGGACCCGATCGGCTGTGCGGTGATGACCTCTGTAGGGTTTCCATTGATGGTTATATTGCCTGTCTGTGCAGGTGATATTTCTATGACATCAGAGCCGACTTTGATTGCAGTTTTACCAATGCAGGATGAGAAATCCTTACAGGATCCAGTGAGAGTTTGAATTTCAATGCTGGAGTCTTTGTAAAAAGTGAAGGAACCGTCCAGTTTGAATGGGACACTAGCTCCATCTAATGTAGAAAGATGTCCATTTCCTGATAAACTAGCGTAATTTTTGGTACCGGAGGTGAAGGAAGTGTCTTGAACACTTATTGCACAACTGTCTCCATAGAAACCTGTTTTACAGGAGGTACACTCAGATCCCATCCAGTTAAACTGACATGAACAAGCTCCAGTTGTTTGATTGCATTTACCTCTGTTGTTGCACGGCTCATCTGTTCCTCCCGGACATATTCCATCGCAATTAGCTCCGTAGTAACCGTCTTTACAAATACAAACTCCATTGTCATCAACACCTGTTGCACTTTCGCACATGATATCACAATTAGGTCCATACCACTTTTGGAAATTCTGTTCAGGGAAGTCATTACACAATGATTTTGCTGGCCAAGTACCAATACTTGGCGCACATGTGTCTGCCATGAATACTATGGTATCAAGTATTGTTTCCTTCTTACCAGTTGAGGCCATGTCACTTCTACAAGTAAAGTAGAAGAAATCCAGAAAACCTGGGGAGTTATTTTCACATGGGGTAAATGCTGGTGCATACACAGCGTCATGGCAAGCTGTGTCTATTTCAGCCTGGATCGTACTGTTGGAATTTATGTGAGATGACTGGACTGTAAGATCTGGCAGATCTAGACTTGATATCTGTCTCACAGGAGGGTTGATCGATATGTCAGAATCCGTCATGATAAAGTTTATTTCTCCAACATTGTCTTTTACGTATTTACCCTCAACCTCGTCAAAGTTTATGTGGGTTACTAACGAAGGAGCGGGATCAGGAACACGAGACAGGGCTGTATCGAGTATCTCATTAAAAGATAATGGTTTGTTGTCAATCCTCAGCTCATCCACTTCCCCAGTATAGTATTGGCTCTCACTTTCTAACTTGGCCAGATTTGTCGATGTAGGTTGTCCTAAGCTAATGTAACCACCAGCCTGGAAGACTTCCTCATTCGTGTTGAAGAATGATTTCTGTTCCACATTTGAAGCTGTTGCTTTGTAAAAGTCAACCTTTTTAGATGACGATTCAAATGCGATGGAAATACTTTGCCATTCATCAAGTGAGACGGAAATCCCAGTGTCATACACTTCATCACCCATACGTACTTTATAAATGCCCTCATCCATGAACACAGACACTGGGGCCTTGTTTTCCATAACAATCACAGTTCCATTTCCTACATGGGGACGAATGGAAAGTCCAACTGTAAAATCCTTTTCACGATCAATGACATCATGTATGAATCGGCTTGTTAAGACAGAGTTGTTGAAGTACAAGCTGTTTCCTGCAGTGGGTGTTGTCTGCTGATATCCTTGGGATGAGGAGGACGAGGAACTACTGGTGGGCAAGACAGTAAAAGAGCTCTCAGATGCGTTGACAGCCCAGCCTGCATCGTAGGTTTGTGTTAGCTGGCCACTATTGATTCCTCCTGCAATGTATGTCTGAGTCTCGATAAGGGTATTGTCCATAGTGACCACAGCACTTAAATGTTGGTCAACTTGTCTTACATGAATGCTGGTAAAATTTCCAGTAATGCTCTCAATTACATACTCGTTTTGGGAAACTTCGGTGATTCGGACATCTGTGTGTATGCTGGTTTCATTCGAAGCAAATGAATGACTCTGTCCATTGATCCAAACCTTGATGTCATCAGTGGACGACACACCTGCCTGCAGCACTACTTTAGTGTTGGTGAATTCCGCCGAAACTGCGTCTACACATACAGATTCCTTCTGGCAGTAGACTGTGCGTATGGCGATGTCAGGAGTATTGGAGTTACCACCCTTTGTAACATAGTTTTCTCCAACTTTGTCAAAATTAAACTTGTTATTTTGGAATGTTTTCACGTGACCTTGATCCGACATTGCAAAGGTGGACCTTCCGGGGATGACGGTAGGTGATTGGGTGGTAGTGGCTCCCGGGACTGTAGTGGTAGGGGCCGCCGGAGTGGTTGTTGGAGTCGGCGGAATTACCATGATATCACAATGTGTACCTGTCCATTCAGGTAGACAAGAAGCACAGCCTGTGGTGTTGTCATGGGTAGGTTTACATGTGCAGGTACCGGTCAGTTTTTCACAATTACCATTGTTCGAGCATGGCGTTTCTACTCCTCCAGGGCACACGTTTTCACAGTATTCACCCCAGGACCCTTCACATACACACTCTCTGGTCAATGGATTGAAGTATCCAATCTTACATTGGTACCGACACAGGAACAGGTAGTGATCCGACGTCTTGTCCTCACATATTTCCTCCATAGCTGACTTGGCAGGGTTTAAGGTTTTGTCACAATAATCAGCATATGCTTGCACTACTGGAATGTAGCCTAGGGCACTTCCACTTTCCATCGTGTCACTGACACAAATGTCATAGAAATGTTCTTGCGTTTGTGTACCCAAGCTGGAACAAGACTTAACTATTGAGGACGTCATGTTTGCACAGGTTTCTTCTGCAGTTGTTCTGAAACTCGCTGGAAGGTCAGACGAGATATCATTGTCATCCTGATCACCATCATCGTCATCTGAAGGGAAATACACTGTGCTCCCAAGAAGAAACATTTTATGACCATTTTTGCTATCTATGGTCACACTTCCATCTCCTTCTCCCATTGTAAATTTGGCAGTCAGGTCTTGGTAACTGTCTTGAAAGGCATCGCTTACACTGTAAAGGGTCTCGTTAGTTTTGAGAGAGGTGTTGAAGGTCTTCAAATTATCCATTTCACCAATAAATGGCTCATTTTCTAACGATGTTGGGGGATCGTCACTCCAGCTTCCCATCTTTATAAATCCGTCGTTACTAAACACATCAGCTGTGCAGTTTTCGATGGTTTTAGTGTAGTTCAAAATGCCTTCTGTTATTACATCTAAACGGAGTGATTTTGTATCCTTATCATATGACAACGACAAATCATATGACTGATTGGTGTTGATGCTGCAGTCGGTGCTGATGACTTTCTCCCCCCAACGTATGACGACAAGAGAATTGTTCAGGTTAACAGACATCGTAGAATTACCTTTGTAACCAAGTATCATACCCTTGTCAGATTCTGTCTTGAATTCGACTTGCACAGTACCGCTGCCTCCGCTGCTGAAAGTGTCAGACATGGGGAGTGAAATGGCTCCAGATCCTTTTGTAATCATGCTGAAGCCTTTGGGTGCGACAGGTAGACTGAAACCATCTTGCTCGTAAACAAAGCCTGTTGATGATGTAGATGATATGGAAGTCATCACCTGGAAAGCATCAACCCCCTCCTGGGTAATAGCATTAAGAGCTAATGTGCCACTTGATGTTACAAAATCATTGCTGGTACTGCCGTCAAAATTGCCACATAAGCCTGATGTTTGAGAGGCATACGAAGACTTTTTCAAAGAAATTGTATTAGAAATGGAAGTGGTATCTTCTCTGAGGTAGATCAACCCGTTGGAGAAGTCAAATCGAAGGGTCTTTTTATCGTGCTTAACAACTTTGATAGATCCGGTGAAATCATACTCCTGGTCGAAACTGATTGCTGTTCCATTATGATAAAGGTTGAAGACACCTCCTTCCTTTAGTGGAGCCTGCATTGTGAAGTTTTCATTCTGTGACCCAATCCAGGTCTGCTTCACGCAGTAAGTTACAACACTTCCTCCGCACAAATCAACCTTAATGTATACATTCAAGGTGGTAGTCTCCAAAAGTTTCAGCTCTCCGGCTGCCTTCAGCTTGAATGCTTGTCCGTCAAACATGATGAAGTTTGACCTTCCAAACGTGTTGCACACTCCATCAGTAGCACTCCCAGGCAGGGTGGCTGACAAGACTGAACAGTCCAAGCCCTCAAACCCAGCCAAACACCTCTGACAGTTGTGAGCTGGGTCCAGGAATGGAGGACACTTGCACACGCCATCAGTAATGTTACATGTACCCCCTCCACATGTTTTATCTAAGAAGCTGGGGCATACTCCATCACATTGTTCTCCCCAGAATCCATCATGACACTGACAAGAACTGGTCACAGAGTCCCAAGTTCCAGATTCGCACTTCATATCACATGATGAGCCTCTCCACACGGGGAACTTGTCGACGGGGAATGAGTTACACATCGTTCTTCCAGGCCAGCTGACGTCAGTTATTTGCAGCTTACATAAAGTGCTTATTACTCTTATGTTTTTCAGAGGAGCTTCACTATCTGTCAATGATTCGAACAGGCAATTTTCCAAAAGTCCTCCAAGAACAGCATATCCAAGTTTTCCGACACACAATGACTCAAACTTACTAGAAATTTCATTACACAGGCTGCTTAGACCTGGGTCTACTGTATTGGTGTCAAGCTGGTCGTGCACGGATGTACTGGCACTTGTACATGATGTCATTGTGTAATTAACCCTGCTCCACTCAGGTGAAGAAAACTTATTAAAGAGCATATCATTGTGACCAATCACATCAGCAGATTCAAGTCCCTGGCCTTCATCAAATGTCCATCGGTTTGACAACATGGTTATTGTAGAGCACTCCAGTAGTTTGAAAGCAGTATTCCTAATTTCAAGAGAAGACAGTTGCTTTTTATACAACCTAACATCATCTATGTTTCCCTGCATAATCCATTTACCATACTGAACTGCAGACCAAGTATTTCCCAAGCGCAAAGTGCCACCATGTTCCATCGGAGTAGGATAGTTCTGATTATACACCGTGAAGTCGGTAGCCTGACTCAAATCTTCTTTAGTCAGATAGAGGGTCAGTCTCTTGGATGCATGGTTCCAAACTGAAGTGAAATGGTACCATGTATTGGCTTCAACCACGAGAGATGGGAATTCACGGTACTCATCGTTGTATTTTGTGTATAGATAGACAGCTCCATCTTTGACAAGTGCACAGAAATGATTGGTGAGAACATTTGACTCGTAAAACTCATAGGAGAAAAGTGTTTGGTATTCACTAGTGGTGGCTCTCAGACTGAACTTCATTTCTAGGGATACATCTTCTGTGAAAGAGTTCAAGTTTTCAACATAGATACTCATGCCATGAAGGCTGAGGCCGTTTCCTCCCCAGTTAGGAATAGGGGCCACATTAGATATATCCGAGTTGGATGATGAAACCTTAAATGATTCTACAAACTGCTCCTGCAGGGAAGTCTGCGTTACGGACCCTCCTGACAAGATTACTCCAGATGAAGTTTTGAAGTCATCAGTGTAGTTTCCATCACAGGAACTAGCCAGGCCTTGGGTACTACTGCAGGTACTTGAATCCAGCTCAACTGTAATAGCCGACAGCGAGAACGGGGCAATATCAATTGTGATATTAACCTCCAAATTATCAGAGCAGTCAATCTTGTAAATGGAACTTCTCGTACATGTGAGTGAGCCAACTGATAGCCCTGAGCCGATGCTCGTCTCCTCTCCATTCAGGTAGGTCTTGGTATCATCAATGTTTCCACTGCCTGCGACCACCACCAGTGTATCTGTCCCCACAGACACACTAGCCATCGATGTTGATAAAATGCCTAGTAGGCCAGGTGATGTTACAATATGAACACTCAGATCTTCACCGGTGGCAGTGAGTGTTCCTCCAGTTAGTACATACTCTCCCGGTTGTTGCATTGTCATCATGGATCCGTCAAAAGTCATGAGACCGCCACTGTCATAGAATACAGTTGAACTTGAGGTTGAGCTGGAGGTTGATCCTGCGACAACAGCGACACTGCAATCGTCCCCTGTCCACCCAGAGTGACATGTAGAACAGTTGGTACTGGCCTGGGCTCCACTCACACATACACATTCCCCAGTTGTTGCATTGCACTTCCCTTTACCAAAGCAACTGTTGCTTCCGCCACCTGGACATTCATGCTCACAGGATGCTCCCCAATAGCCTTCATCACATTTGCAATATCCAGTGGTATCAGTAAATATAGGCTGGAAAAAAACCAAGACAGAGAATCAGATTCCATGAAAAAAACTACATCTAAAAAAATATAAACAAAATATAACAAGATTTTAGACAATTAAAATCGGCAGATAAAGAATTCATAAACTTCACAATGTTTGCATCATATAGCTGAAAACTTGACTGGTGTTTCGGAGTGTGAAGAGTATGGATTTGCAACTTATATTACCTGTGTAGAATATGAATGTATAATGGATATTACCTGTAGAATATGAATGTATAACGGATATTACCTGTGTAGAGTATAAAAGCATGACTGATACTTACCTGTGTAGAGTATAAAAGCATGATTGATATTACCTGGGTATAGTAGAGTATATGCTACTGATATTACCTGAGAGTGTAGAGTGTGAATGCATTAATGCTGTTATTACCTGTGTAGAATATATGCTTACTTATATTACCTGGGTATAGTAGAGTATATGCTACTGATATTACCTGAGAGTGTAAAGTGTGAATGCATTAATGCTGTTATTACCTGTGTAAAATATATGCTACTGATATTACCTGGATATAGTAGAGTATATGCTACTGATATTACCTGAGAGTCTAGAGTGTGAATGCATTAATGCTGTTATTACCTGTGTAGAATATATGCTACTGATATTACCTGGGTATAGTAGAGTATATGCTACTGCTATTACCTGAGAGTGTAGAGTGTGAATGCATTGCTGTTATTACATGTGTAGAATATATGCTTAATTATATTACCTGTGTATAGTAGAGCATATGCTATTGATATTACCTGAGAGTGTAGAGTGTGAATGCATTGCTGTTATTTACCTGTGTTGAATATATGCTACTGATATTTCCTGTGTATAGTAGAGTATATGCTACTGATATTTCCTGTGTATATAGTAGAGTATATGCTACTGATATTACCTGAGAGTGCCGAGTGTGAATGCATTTTGGTATTACCTGTGTAGGAATAAAAGGGCAGATGGTTGCTGTTGACAGGGATACTGCAATACTGTTATCAGCATTTGCCCGAGTTGTCCTTAAAGTCCAAATGAGATCCTCTGAGGCATTGAATGGTCTGTTGAAAGAAATCAAAGTCTTATTTTTGTAACTAATCTGACATCTGAACCAAATTCAAAATTACAGTACAATTTGTAAGGTGATTTCAGCTAATATTTTTATATTGAAAAGAAACGAAAAAAAGTAGGGCCTCATATTTTCACATTTATCAGGAATTGGAAGAAATATTTTTAAGATTTTAAAATTCTTACAGTTTGCAACTTTAGAAAATTATACTTTTGGAGAAGTCTTAAATTGTTATATTTTACAACTTGCAAATCAAAACATAAAAGTTGTATACCTTTTCACTGAACTTTGTTCAAAGAATTGCTAATAATTGTAAACAATGTATTACCCTTCAGAAAAGATATAATCTGCAACGGTGTTGGCTTTGAACATTGTTGGTGGTTGGTATTTTGTCAAGTCTGACTTCATGATGTTGTTTTCGGATTCAGATGTGATGTAAACATTGTGCATATTCAAGTTGGAGTAGCCAAACCAGGCAGTTTTCATTCCACTCTCCAATGTATAACAGTTGAAGACAGGGAGAACTCCGATCGTGATACTGGTACCGTCATACTTGTCGGCATAAATACCCTGACCGGTGACACAGGTGATGTTGCAGTGGCCTGGTCCAACATAGTCTGTGAAACAAGGTTACCGCAAGCGGTATATAATACGCCCGTCACACATTGAATGAGCAGTTGTTTGTATGATTGAAATATATGAAGTATTTGTGAGTAATTGATATTGAAAGAGAAATCATTCAACATAACTGGTAGATCAATGAGTGCAATTCAACATCATGGAAGACATGCATCGCATTAATGAAACCAAGGGGAATAACTCCAATAATTACGGTCGGATAATGGCGGTTATCGAACTTGTCCGAGCTTTCATGGTAATTAACCTTGTGGTGAAGTTTGAAGTTAATCCGTTAATAATTACTTGAGATATCGAGCGGACATCGTTCGCATGCCCGCCCACCCACCCGCCCGCCCGCTCACGTGATAACATAATTCGTCCCCGTCTTCGACGGGCATATAAAAATAGAGACATGTGAATGGAAAATCTTTGTCATACTTCACATGCCTAGTGTGTATCTGTGAAAGGCAGTTCAGCCTTGCTCAACTCATTCACCCCTACATATTTAAATTGGACTTGCCCATTCTTTGATTTGGTATGGTCCAAATATGACTTTAGGGGTGAATGGGTTAATGATTTATCATGGCGGGGAAAATTAGTACACAGCATGCACTATAAAGTAAGTGTTATTGTGAAGGGCAAAATTAACAATGATCAAAGAAGGATTTCCACATTAAAGGGCAAATATTTACCTGGGTGAATGTTTCCCAGTAAACAGTGATAGAGATATGACAAGGCATTTGGTTTACTTGAAATGCCGTTGTCAATGACCATTTAAAACCACTACAACAGTTACTGAGCCTGTGACAAAATAACCGTATTATGTATATCAAGGTGACCCATATTGGTCATCTTTACAGAATATATAACAACATCTAAACTGGGTGGTGTTCATGTCATATTTTCAGTTTATCAAACTTAACAGAAAATATTTTAATTGCATGTACCGGTAAACTGAATGGCATTCAATTAAGCAGAACATATATATAATCAACAGTTGTTCAAATGGACAGAAAACATGTTTGCTGAAACTGAAAAGCACTTAATCTTGTGTAACTTTACAGAGTACATTTTAAACTATTATACTGAATCCCGTCCTCATATGACCCTGGCTGTTGTCTCCCTAGGCACCCGACCTCATATGACCCTGGCTGTTGTGTCTCCCTAGTTACCTGTCCTCATAGGACCCTGGCTGTTGTGTCCCCCTAGACACCTGTCCTCATATGAACCTGGCTGTTGTGTCTCCCTAGTTACCTGACCTCATATGACCCTGGCTGTTGTATCTCCCTAGGCACCTGACTGCATATGACCCTGGCTGTTGTATCTCCCTAGGCACCAGTCCTCATATGACCCTGGCTGTTGTATCTCCCTAGGCACCCAACCTCATATGACTCTGGCTGTTGTATCTCCCTAGGCACCCAACCTCATTTGACCCTGGCTGTTGTATCTCCCTAGGCACCCAACCTCATATGACTCTGGCTGTTGTATCTACCTAGGCACCCAACCTCATATGACTTTGGCTGTTGTTTACCTAGGCACCCGTCCTCATATGACCCTGGCTGTTGTATCTCCCTAGGCACCCAACCTCATATGACCCTGGCTGTTGTATCTACCTAGGCTCCCAACCTCATATGACCCTGGCTGTTGTCTACCTAGGCACCCGACCTCATATGACCCTGGCTGTTGTATCTCCCCAGGCACCCAACCTCATATGACCCTGGCTGTTGTATCTACCTAGGCTCCCAACCTCATATGACCCTGGCTGTTGTATCTCCCTAGGCACCCAACCTCATATGACCCTGGCTGTTGTCTACCTAGGCACCCGTCCTCATATGACCCTGGCTGTTGTATCTACCTAGGCACCCGACCTCATATGACTCTGGCTGTTGTATCTACCTAGGCACCCGACCTCATATGACCTCTGGCTGTTGCGAGGACGTTAAACCCCAAACAAACAAACTTTACTGAATCACATTCATGCTAACTTTAAGGCTAACAGAAACATTTTTATCCATTATCAACCTTTCACATAATGATATACCCACCTAGAGAACAGCTGGTGCAGGAGGGGAGAGCCCATCCGTCCTGACAAACATCACAGGCTTGACCAGTCCAGTGTCCATTCACGTCATCATCATAACATTGGCAAACATCACCACCTAAACAACAAGGTCACAATGGTCAGTTTATGAGACAAGCAGACAAGATTATAATTTTACTGTCTCATACAGCCCTGACTGAAACATTTACTTTGTTCAATTTCAATTAGATCCCTGAGATGATAACCTATTTTATCTAATTGTACCCATACACTCATGATTCAGCTGGTATACCTCAACTTCAAATTAATTTTGGCTGAAACTCATTGGTTGTGATCCATTGATCAAAACAATAAATAAACAGGAGTGAGAGTTAAAAACTTCAACACCATTTTACTGAATGTGACATTTTTCTGTCCTCAATGTAGATTTATCCCCACTGATGTTCAGTTCATGTTTTCAGGGAGCAAGTTGAAAAGTAATTTTGGATAATCATAAGCAATGTTTTGCAGAAATATGGAACTTATTACACACAAAGAACAATTGCAATAACATCATGAAAGCAATCTCTTACCACTGACAAATAAATCTTTATCAGATATTCTAGATATTTTTTTACACTGGATGTTCACTTCCACTCGGCACACATTTCAACCTTCAGTTTTTAACCTTTAGTCACTTACAGTATGATTTGAAGATCGTGTTTGTGAGAAAATTTGACAAGAGCTACATGTCCACACACACACAGATAAAATACTGCTTACACAACTCTCACGCATTTGTCACGCTGAGACGACCTTACTCACGCCACGTGAGCCATAAATCTCACGCATTCGAAAATATTCTCCCTCTATCCCACACGAAGCCATAAATCAACATTTTTTAGCTTTGGTCGTACAAAGGGGATTAACTCTTATTGCAAGTTGTGTGGTTGAGTTACAAACCTAGTTCTGTGGCATAGCCATGTTTACAGAGAGTCCCACATGTGGTATTGTAGCCGATGTAGTTGGTCTCGCAGACATCACAGTTGGGAGGTGCAAAATTTGTCAGACAAGAGGAGCAGTCCAGTGAACCAAAACCATGGTTACATGCACAGGATGGGGCCGTAGATCCAGTGGCTAGGGTACAGACGCCTGGTCAAGAAAAATTCAAAAATTAAGAAACTACACTACATCATATAAGACATGGCCAAGATGAGGTGACAAACAAGTGAAAAAAAGATATCAGAGATATTTTGTACTTGAGCTTGTCTTTTACAGAAAAGAAAAAATCTGACTATCCTATAAAGGTACATAAACGAATTATATCTATTGGTATCTATAGACAGATGGACACATGAATTGATGTCAGCTGAAATTTATTGATACAAATATAGTAAGTATAGTTCTGTGAGCACTCCTTACCATTGCCACTACAAGTTGGTGTCCCAGGACAGATGTAGTCGGAGCAGTCGGCGCCTGTAAATCCAGCGTTACAGGAACAGATTGACTGATTATTACTTCTCATACACGTGCCATGCGAGCTGCAGTCGGGTTCTCCTGTGAACATGTACCAGAAAACATTGAAACCTTGGTGCATTTCTATATTTAAATACCACATACAAACAAACTGTTATTCTCCAGCAATTTCTGCAGGATATTTTTTAAATCCATTGTTAGATTTTCGATTGTCATGTGATGTAGGTCGGTGATTAACATAAAATTTGTTGTGAGTCTGGTCTGTACAAACCATGTATATTAACACTTTTTAGCACTAGATCAACATTTAATTTAGCAATTTTGTACCTGAAACAAATCTGTTGGTCTTAAATTTCACACAACAACTAAAGGTGAACCTTCATAACGCTTAATAACCTTTACCAGAAAGGCAAACAATTCATGGGGTTTATGTTTCCTGCTTTTCATTTCTCAAGCAATAAATATAAAGTATACAAGCCCTGAATACAAAGTATAAGTGCTATACACTTCTGTAAGCTTATTTCAGCCCAGCTCTGTAACCATTGTATTTATGTCAACTCATTATGATGAGACCAATAAATTAATGTCAGGTCAATCAAAATCTAGTGTAAAGTCGAGAACATTCTTTTAAATTATAAATTAAATCTATCACTACCTGCACATTGAGACTGTTTCAATTGATGGTGAGTAAGATATTTGTGTGAATCATGAGGTTTTTTCAATATATTTAAATTAACTTTAAAACAGGTTTGAGGAATTTGAAAGTCGGTAATTACCGTAATGAGTCAAAACATTTAAAGAAGACCTGTTAAGTGGAGTCAGCACATTTGAAGGAGCAAGCTGTAAAACTTAACTGGACTCTGAATATTTGAGTTGTGTTTGGCTAAACCCTCACCTGGACAATCATAATCTTCACAGATACTGCCTTTGAAGCCAGTTTCACAGTCACAGCTGCTGGAGGTAGCATTACAGAGTCCTTGGTTGGAACACTGTATGGAGCATTCAAATCCACTGTAACAGTTGTCACACACACATACGGTACTGAAGGCGGACAGCTCACTCCCGTATAGGCAGTCTTTCTCACACTTAGGCCCAATGGAGTCATTACAGTTGACGCACTTGGGCGGCCAGTAGTTGGTGTAGTCACACGTACCTAAACATTGAAATTTCAGTAATAATAAACAACAAATATTGGTAGCAAGAATAGTTTTAAATCAAATTGTTTTTGTAGAAGAGTGTTGCGCCTATGGCTTTCCACTCAAAACATGTTTGTCAACCAAAACTACCAACTGTTGGATTCAGAATTTTAAAACAATAATAAGTGATTTTATCAACTATTCCGGTAATTCTTACTAACAACCCCTGACAGACATTTTTGAGAAGAGCTAAATAACTAGGATCTAGAAGATGATGTTACAGATTCATCATGCTGAAAAAATACAAATGTGACTGACATCATTTCCAAAACAATAACCTATAACTGGTCAGAATATTACCTACATGCATATACCACTTTGAAATACACAATGACAACATTGATTCATTGCTGTTAATTGGAATCAGAATTTAGACTTTGACTCAGTCCAGGGTTTCAGTCAATCTCAATATGGAAGCATATATGGCTTCCTTAAATGGCTTTTGACCCTCAAAATGTTATAGGCTAAAATTGCCATATATAAAGGGTTAGAATTTGTAAGTAATGTGTGATTTTACCCCCAACTTTCATGTCTTGCAAAAACACTGACCCTGACGTGTATAAATTCCCTATGCCAGGGTGCACGTGTAAACTCTCTAACTCTATAACCAAACTACGTAGTAGTGAAGTGGACGTTAAAGCAATCAATCAAACATTACAATGTAAACTTACCTCTGTTTTTACAGTCAAAGCAATCAATCGAACATTACCATGTAAACTTACCTCTGTTTTTACAGTCAAAGCAATCAATCAAAAGTTACGATGTAAACTTACCACTCTTGTTACAGTCAAAGCAATCAATCACACATTACAATGTAAACTTACCTATGTTGTTACAGTCAAAGCAAGCAATCAAACATTACAATGTAAACTTACCCCTTTTGTTACAGTCAAAGCAATCAATCACACATTACAATGTAAACTTACCTCTGGTGTTACAGTCAAAGCAATCAATCATACATTACCATGTAAACTTACCTCTGTTGTTACAGTCAAAGCAATCAATCAAACGTTACGATGTAAACTTACCCCTCTTGTTACAGTCAAAGCAATCAATCAAACATTACAATGTAAACTTACCTCTGTTGTTACAGTCATCGGTACAGTAGATCTCATCACAACCCGCTCCCTTGTAGTACTGATCACACGAACACGAGCCAGCCTGACAGGTACCATGACCCGAGCAACTGGAGCCCACTCCAGGGCATCCTTCCACAGTACAGTGATCTCCTGTTCATCACAAAACAGCATACAATCAGTAACATCTACTGGCCTTAATTTGCACCAATACAATGACAAGGAATTCTGGATACATATCTTCTAAAAAAATTGTTCAAGCTAACTCTTTTTCTACAGGAATATTCACTACAGAATTCTACGAAAATATTCCATATAAATATGTTACGATGCATTTCACAGAATAATAATTCTTCGAAATCCTATATTTGAAAATAAAAGTTTAAAAAACCTTGGGTAATCTGGAAACTACCAAAAGGCACACTATATAGTATTCATAAATGCACTTCAATATTGAAAACATAGAGGAATCCCTATATTTAGATCAACAATAACTATTTAATTTAGAATGAAAAGATATGTATTGAATGGCATTTTTTCAATGTTCATGTCTGTATGAACACATGAACATTGCGAAAAATGCTCTTCAATCCTATTATGAATTTAACCTAAAGTGAGAGTTCCAAAAACACCCAATGGTACGACTACTAATGATGATTTGAGTTTCATCAAAACTTGGCATGGGTTAACAATTTATACTTCAGATACGAAAATGATAACAGATGGAGGCACTATAAAACAATTTCCCTGATCAAAATAGGTGTGTAAAAGCATTCTAACAATGAGCTTACCCCACCATGCAGTGTCACATTCACAGGTACCGTTGGAGCTACATGTTCCATGGTCATTACAAACTTTGTCACATCCCGTGCCCGACATACAGTTGTCACAAACACAGCTGAACGTGTTTCCAGACTGGACGGCACTTCCTCCCTCACAAGGCAGCTCACATTGTAAACCCATGGTCATGTTGTTACAGAGACAGGTAGCATCGTTCTGACACACACCTTGATTACTACAGTCTGGCTGGCCGGGGCAGTCAACATCCTGGCAGCCGAGCCCAAAATACCCAGCTTTGCAGATACACATTGGTGTGGGAGGAGTTTTTATACAAAACAGTTGATTACCACTGCATGGTTGATGGCGTCCTGGACAATCAGCTTCCTCACAGTATGTGCCCCAGGCTCCCGTACTGTAGCCATCTGCATCAGTGCAAACACAGGTCTCATTTACACATGGCCTGATGTTGCTGCAAGTTAACTCACAGCTTGTGCCGTGTTGACAGGCACTGTCACAGACACAGGTGCCACTGTCCATTGGGATCTGTGTGCCGTTACATGGTATATCACAGGCGCTTCCCATCCAGCCCTTCTCGCAGTCCGTGCACACAGGCACAGTTGATGTGGTATTACAATGCCCACGGTTGTTACAATCTGACGGACAATCTGGAGTTGCGCAGTCTGTGCCTATCCACCCAGTGTTACAGCTGCAGGAACTTGTGGCTGTGTTGCATGACCCGTGACCAGAACAATCTAAATTATACAACCCTGGACATCCATTGTTCTCGCAGAGCGTGCCGCGACTACTCACACACTGACATTGGTTGTTTGTACATGTGCCTCGACCAGAGCACTCTGTTTCACACTCTAGTCCATCATAACAAGCGTTGCAATCACAGGTACCATTGGCCAGGGCACCATTTGAGCACAAATTCTCACAAGCTGAACCAAAGTAATTACTATCACAGGAACAGTATGGAGTTGTTAGAGTGAGGGTATCAATACAGGTGCCCTGTCCAGTGCAGTTGTTGGAACACGCCCCTATGTGACAACCTGTTCCAGTCCATCCAGCATCACAAATACAGGAGTGGGACCCGCCACACTGTCCGTGGCCGCTACAGTCTACGTCGTAACCAGGGCAGCCGTAGGTAGCACACAATGGTCCCCTATAACCATTGAACCCACAGTCACATGTTCCATTTGTACATGAACCCTGACCATTGCATAGCAAGCTACAGTCGACCCCACTATAGCAGGCGTCACATTCACATTGCCAGTTACCACTGCTGTCCCGAACACCAACACCATAGAGGCAGTCAAATTCACAGGCATCTCCCATCTTGTTGGAAGAGCAATTGAAGCATCGAGGTACTCCACCACCAGGCGGTTCCAGACACTGAGCATCCGGGTCATTGTTACAGTCATTGGTACATTCGGGCACAGCACATGCCGGTTGTTCCCAGTTAGAGTCACACGTGCACTCTCCAGTCACCTCGTTACATGTGCCATGTCCCATGCAGTTTTCAGGCCATCCTGGACAGCCAGGCTTGTCACACTTGTCTCCCTTATAGCCATCATTAAAGTCACAGACACAGTCACCAGTAGTATCGCACAGTCCATTTCCAGAGCACTCGAGGTGACAGTAAGGACCGGTGATGCAAGTCTTGTTACACACACATTCTCCATTGATGTTTGTGCCGTTGTAACAGGGATGTTGACAGTAGTCACCTATTCGGTCTGAATCACACATACAAGTTCCAGCAACGCAGGTACCTTTGTCTACAACAACAAAAATCATATAGATTTAACATACTTTCTAATTACAACCATTGAGCCTTCAGATTTATATCTTTATACTTTCAAGTTAAAGTCTAAATGTGTAAAAAGGTTAACAGTGTAACATGATGGCAAAGACGGATAGCGATAGCTCACACGAATCTCACGCGAGTTATAAACATTACTAGATACTTGTAAAACTGTCTTCCTGGGGACATCAATGAGGACTATTATATAATTTGTATGGTACTTTGATGGTTCTTAACTTGTATTGTCAGCTTTAACCTTTAAGTCTATGATATAACTTAACAATTTACAAAGAATTTATATAAATTCACAAATAACAAAGTATTTAACTTTTGAGGCAGGATGTTCACTTAACCCTTTCACCCCCATGTAACTTTAGTAGACTCTACCATGCGTTGAAATGGGGTTAAAGTTAAAGGGTAAAACATTAAGTTGAGGTCAATATGGGTGAGTCGTTACCTGAACATTCTGGAGTGCCTGGACAGCTTGGTTCTGAACAGTCATACCCCTTGTATCCGGGGTAACAGGTGCACTCTTGGAGGACAGAATTACAGCTGCCATGTTGGTTACAGGCACCGTCGATACCGGGACAGCCTTTTTCCTCACACAAGCTTCCAATAAACGCGTTTCCTGCAATATATGAATCGATGAGAATAAACATACAGAAGATTAATGTTATAATGACGAAAGGGAGGTAACCAATGATCCGTTACCAGATACAAATGACGAATAGCGGTTCCCCAACATGTAGTGGTTGGTTATCTTTTTTTATCTTATTTTGGTTGGTTAATTTTCAAATCTTAAAAAGACACCAAGGTTTACAAATGAGATTTACTAAACAATCTCTATGCACAAGCTTGTATAGATTCCATTTGAAAAAACTCATAACCAAATGGGAAAATACATTCCCTAATCATTCTATAGTCATTCTCAACTTCTTCTTATGACTCATGAGGACAACAGGGACCATATGCACAGACATGGATCTGTGGACCGCAGCCGCCGCTGTGACAGCCTATCCGCATCTGATCCAGCTGTCTGACCATGGGGTGTGACCTGGACAAGCCTAGGACATTTTGAATCTTAAAAGGGTCTGGTAAGCGGCAACTAATTACTTACCCCCTCACGTCAGCCGAACACATCCTACCGTCAGTGAAGGAAGACATAAAACCAGTAAACCAAACCAAACCAAACCTCATGATTGATACAGCTAAGAAAACTGGTGAAGGCTTACCTGGTAGCCTGGTACAATTACATGTTCCATTTTCACAGGTTCCTTTACCAGAGCACTCTAGGTCACAGCCTGCCCCAGTGAAGCAGGGATCACAGTCACAGCGGATATTGTCAGTTTTGTTACCATGGACACAAGGCTTGCTACAATCAAATGTCATCCAATCCTGAAAAAAAATGGAAGTTGAAATTAATTTAACCTCTATTTATTTACCTTGACTTTAAAGCAAAACACCTACAAATTACACAAGACATATCGTTTGTGAACAAGCCTGCATGTGTCTACAAAGTTTCATAAAGTTATATTATACATTTTTATGTTGTAATATGTCCTATTAAACAAGTACTGACAAACGTTAGTATTCCCTTTATATGTTCTGCCTAACAGGACATGAAGTGTTGTTTTGTATTAATATTCTCAACTTTCAATTCAGGTGAACACAAATATTGTAATTGAAACTAAAAAATGTCTGGAAGACATGAATGTGCCCATCATCACCATGTGAAATTAGTTTCGGTGTTTAATGTTATATAAAAAATTACAACCCCTTTGATCACGGGACGGGACGGGCATGGGCAACACTATATGCCCCCCACTCCCCCCCATTTTATGGCAGGGGCATAACAAAACAGGTTTTATTCCAGTAACATACCTCAAAGCAGGAGCATTCTGGGGCTACACCAGTCGTGTTACAGATTCCGTTCTGTGTACAGTTGTTTGGACAGTCTGCTTCATCACAAGCCAAGCCAGTCCATCCTTTATTGAAATAAAAATGATGATCAAAAACTTCTAGAAATACCTTGAATCTGTTCAGATTCTTTGGCATAATAACAAACAGCTAAACATTTCAAAAATGATTTGCATATTGCAGAAAAGGTGTTTACTGTTAAAAGTTTGTAATTTTTTTACACCAATATTTTTTTCAACTAAAATGGACTTAAACTTGTTAATAGCAAAACGATTTAACCACCACTTTTATGTATAGATCACCTTAAGTCAAGGTCTGTTCATAAATGAGAGAAAAATTGACTTACTTTACTGGAAGATTTGGTTGAAAGGCCATGATATAAATTGTAACGAAATTTACAAAATATAATTAGTATCAATTTTAACAAATGATTTTACAAACCTGGGAAACAAGTGCACTCCTGATTGGCACTGTTGCATTCTCCATGTTTGGAGCAGTCGTATGTTGTTCCTGGACAGCCTGACACTTCACAAAGTGAGCCTCGCCAGCTGGTGTCACATTCACATGCACCTGCCACGCACTGTCCATTTCCAGCACATTCGCTGTTGCAGCCCTTGCCGAAGTAGCAAGCGTCACACTTACAGAACCCACTGTTGGCAGGATCTTGTGTACCATTAACACATGGGTCATCACATGCCGGTCCCATCCACCCAACCTCGCAATCCATACACTTTGGTGGGTCAAAGCTGGTGTCGCACGTTCCACGACCCATACAGTCTGGATTTCCAGGACAGTCAGGAATGTCACATCCTACTCCGGTCCAGCCAGCCTGACAGGTACATATGTGTGTAGCAGTATTACAATCACCATGTCCCGAACAGTCTTCACCGACTCCAGGACATCCAGGCATCTCGCACACATCTCCACGCCAGTTCACATCGCAGATACAGATGGTGCCATTGAAGTTTCCATGCAAGGAGCACTCTGCGTCACATTCAATTCCAACCCAGCCTGGATCACACGTACAGTTATCACTGTAGGCTGGGAAGATGGTGCCGTGGTCACATGTCTGGCTGCAGTCAGCGCCAAAGTAGGGACTTGTACACCTGGCAATATACAAAGAAATGTTAGTGGTCCTACTGAATATCAATACTATATCATTAAATTTATTTGACCTCTATGACAGTTTTTCCTGATATTTTTAAGAATGTATTCATGACTTAAGGAAAGTCATGAGGGGACTAATTCCTCTCTATGGTTTTCCCCGATAGCTGTATTGTTTGAGACTGACCAGAACAAAATATTACAAATCATTAACAAACAACTAAAGGGGAAAACGTCAGCTGTAAAAAAAAGAAATAATAGGGTGACATTCTGTATAACATGAAATAATAGGGTGACATTCTGTATAACATGTTATTACAGGGTGACGTTCTATATAACATGTAACTACAGGGTGACACTTTGTATAACATGTAATTACATTTGAAGTTTATCCAGTACATATGTATATATTAATATATCAACTTCTTTATAATTTATTCATGGTTCTACTACAATGACAGCATTTGTAAAGATACAGCCAAATTTTTTAAATCATAAAATGTCTCACTTACAAAACTTTAGTACTCTTTAAAACAAAAGCATCTGGATGTCCAGTTTAAACAGAAGCTTTAAGGAGTTATTGGAGCAAGCTCCTCAGTGGCCTTAGTGATAAGCATGCCAGTATGTTAAGATATACTAACATGCACTCAGGTGGGTCGACAGTCGAGTTACAGGAGCCACGTCCATTACAATCGGGATTGCCTGGACAGTCTGCATCCTCACATCCAATGTTCATCCAGCCCGGATTACAGTCGCAGGTGTGCAAGGCATTGTTACAAGTTCCTATGATAAACAAGTCATGAAGAAAATGAATCTGTGTGTGTAATGGCAATTAAACTGGAAAAGACAGTATTTATATAACTGTGCCGTAGTATTTACAGGTTCTTAAGATAAATAAGACAAAAAGATAGATCTGCATGTAATGACAATTAAATTGACAAAGACTGTTATATGACTATGTAGTAGTATTAAACAAGCTAAGGTTTAACTATGTAGAAAAGAACCAGACAAAAGCATGTAGTTGCTTTTCTTTTCTTTTAAGTGGGGCAGAATATAATCCTATAGCTTTCAATGCTTTTTAAATTATGCAAACAGACACACTCTAAAAGTGACTATATTATAAATTCTTAGAATATTCTTCTCGGTACAGTCCCAACACTCTTTAAGCAGGGAAAATTAGATAGATGTAGTGCATCTGATTTTATGTGTATAAGGGCCAGCTAATTTGTATGAGTGTCTTCAGAAGATTTTGCTAAATCATTTGGACATTGGCATTTGAAGGAGGTACCCATCTTATACAACCATGAATGTACAGTGCCAATTTTTTTATTATTTTTTCTATTGAAACTATGACCTTTAACCTGTATATTTTGTATAAACAAGATTGAGATGGGGTGAGTAGGAATGTGGTGGTATCAAAGGGGTATGCAACTACTAACACATGTAATGTTGATTTAAATTGGTTGGACTTTCAGTCACTGGATACGTATATCCTGAAAGTCTAATAAAATCAATATTATTAGTAGTTGCGTGCCCCTGTGATGGAATGGGGTTGGGTGAGTGTGGTTTTTCCTCTGTGCATGCCATATTACCAGTATATCATGGTACATATGTAACTGAATGAATTTATTCCTTAAAAGTAAAAGGTCAACAAAATACTAAGGTCAATCAATTTTATAACCAATGAGGTGCATACCTCTGTTGGAGCAGTCAAGTTTGTTGAGTCCAGGGCAGCCCGGCATGTCACATAATGCTCCCTTCCATCCGGTGACATAGTCACAGTCACAGACTCCAGCCGTAACAAGTCCGTGACCAGAGCACTCAGAGTCACACCCAACACCAGCAAATCCAGCATCACAGAGACAAAAGTCTGAATTGAGTGGGGTTTCTGTGCCGTTCACACATGGCTCGTCGCAGCCTACGCCCATCCAGTTGCCTGTACAGTTGATACATCGTGGGGTGTTCAGCGTGTCATCACAATGTCCCCGGCCTTGGCAATCAGGCTCTCCCTGGCAGTCTGCTATGTGACATGCAGCACCTTTCCATGCAGCGTCACATTCACAGATGTGATCAAAACTGTTACATGTGCCGTGGTTGCTGCACTCCGCAAGGGTTACTGGATGTCTGGGACAGCCGGGAATTTCACAAAGGGTGCCCGACCAGCCGCTGAATGGCTCGCAGTAACAGTCATAGTTTACGTCACATGTGCCGTGATCGGAGCACTGGATGTTGCAGCCTTTGCCATGGTAACAGGTACTGTTGCAAGTACAGTTAGTGTTATCTGCATTTGGTGAACCATGGATGCAGGGATCATCACACGCCGGTCCCATCCATCCCACATCACAGTCCGTACAGCGTGGGGGCTCATATGCGGTGTTACAGGTTCCCCTACCATTACAGTTGATATCGCCTGGGCAGTCAGGGTTCTCACAAACAGAGCCTGAAAATTGACCAAACCAATTCCTTTAATACACTAATCCCTTAAAAATGTCCAGGGTATAAATTCCTTATCTTTGAGTCAAATAAATTTCAGTGTCATATTTGATGCAGTCTTAGCTATGGTAGGTTTGATATGACATAATCTGATCAAAATCATATAAAAATAAGCGATCAAAATCATATAAAAATAAGCACAATTAATGCTATTACTGATCCAGTCAATCATGTAAATGAAGTTGTTTTACTTAATATTTAACCTGCAAAAACCAGTACAATTTGTCTAAAAAAAATCACTTCAAATTTCATAACTTTTTCGATTTTAAGTAATTTCAATAAAATTATTTAGTTAACTGTAATTGTATTGTACAACATTTTTAACTTGTATATATATACTGCACTTGTATTGGTCAGATGCAAAATTTGCCTGTTTGTAGCTTCAGAGTACAGTACTGTTCATACCCGGTATACAATGAATGATAAAATAATTGAATTTTTTGTATCATGAAACTAATCACTACTATTAAAACAGCTAGCTATTTATTACAGAACAGGAACAGCTTCTTTTTTATTACCTTCCCATCCTGGGTCACAGAAACACTGCTGGCTGGCTGCATGGCAACTTCCGTGTCCAGAGCAGGGCAAATTGTTAAGGCCGCCACAGGACTTGATGGTACATTTTGCACCATACCATCCTGAATCGCAAATACATGCAGTACCATTACAGCTTCCATGTCCATTACACTCCGACTCGCAATACTCTCCAAGGTGGCAGGCATCACATAGACATGCATCAGCATCACAAGTTCCTTGACCGCTACAAAGGGTGGCGCAATCACTTCCATGGTAACAGGCATCACAGAGACATGACCCACATGTGGTGCAATGTCCTTTCCCACTACAAGTGGTATTGTCATCGCACATGCTCTCACAGTGGAAGCCGATATAACCAGGATCACACACACAGGTGCCGTCGCTATCACATGCACCATGTGATCCACATTCACAGCCGTACTGGCAGTCGTCACCAGAGTAGCCTGCATCACACATGCACACTCCACCTGTCCTATTTCCGTGGCCACTACACAGATCATCATGGTGATCACAGAGAGAGCCAACACCACCTGAACCTCCGCTGCCAGAACCTGCTGCTGAGTCACGGTTGTAATAGAGCACCTTTTGAGTGTAGTTGCCCGTCACAGTTCTGATTCTCCCTCCAGCTCCACCACCTCCACTGTTGTAACAACAGCAATTATTATTCCAGCATCGCGATTGACAGTATGACCCTGCTGATCCACCATCTGTGTCGATCGACCCCCAACCTTCTATGATATTGCTGTCAACCCAAACTGACCCTCCACTGCCTCCACCAGCTGCATTGGTCCCAGAAGCACCATTGCTGGAAATAGCACCTTCAATGAAGGCTGCATGGCTCGCAATGACTCGGATAGCTGAGCCGCCAGCACCACCAGTACCCGACACTGAATTACCACCACCACTTCCTGCTTGCCATGGTGTACAGGCTTCACCATATGCTGGCCCCCTCACACAGGAACCACAGGAACAGCCACATGAACCACTACCACCAGATCCACCATGACCGCCACCTGTACCAGGGCCACATTGCCTGCCAGCCCCAGGTCCAGAGGCAGCTTCATTTCCATATTCGTTTCCAGTCAGTGTTGAGCTTTTCTCCATATCGAACACACCAGCAATAATTTCTACACCCCCTTCCACTTCCACTGTAGCAGAATCTTCTAGATGAACATGATAGGCTCTGAAGGACAATCCAGAGACTGTTGTCATATCATCGTCAGTTAGCTTGAGAAGTCCACCGTCCATAACAGTAAGGGAGTAGAAGTTAAATTCAGAGTTCAGTGTAGTACTGGTTGAGCAGATGCTGTATCCTGTTTTCATGATGTTTGCCACTCCTCTGACGTACAAGTGCTCTACCCCGATGAGTCCACCCTCTGCCGTCAAAGTCTCCTCAACAAACACTGTAGGTGGCATCACCGCTCTGGACCCAGAAACAGAATGTAAACTGGCCCTCAAGTGTGATCGCTCCTCTTGATCCATTTTGATCTCATTTTCCAGGTAAAACAAACCAGAACCACCATCCAGGTAGCTGACGGTAATAGTGGACTAAAAACACAAGAAATAACTTAAATCTTCAAATATACTCAAAAACATATGTAAAAACCACTGCACATCGCTGCATAAATATCTTGATTTTCATAATTACCAATAACACTAAACAGGTTCACTTGTTAAAGTTTAAAAAACAATGTCTAAGTTACTACCTGTTCGTTATCTTAATTACAACTAAGTTGGTTGTTGATTCAGAGGCAGATCTCCACAGAGCTATCTACATTGAGGTAGATATCTCACCAGAAAACCCTCCATTGAGGAAGATATCTCCCAAGAGAATCTTCCGTTGAGGAAGGTATCACCCAAGAGAAATCTCCATTGAAGTTGATATCTCCCAAGTAAAACCTCAGTATAGGAAGGTATCTCCAGGAGAAATATCTCCATTGAGGTAGATATCACCAAAGAGAAATCTCCATTGAGGTAGATATCTCCCCAGAGAAACTTTCATCGAGGTAGATATCTTCCCAGAGAAACTTTCATCCAGGTAGATATCTTCCCAGAGAAACTTTCATCGAGGTAGATATCTTCCCAGAGAAACCTCAATTGAGGTAGATATCTCCCAAGAGAAACCTCAAAATGCAGCTCTCATTTGATGACTGGTCTGTTAACATTGTTTTCTAAGCCATCAGATGTTCCAAACAAAAATAAATATTGATTATTTTCTGTAACACAAAATGACTGTGAAAGATTTTTGTTTTTGATGACAAATTCTGCGTAAATGTGAAAAGGAAAGTCTAAGTCACCTGAGAAGGTCGGGCGCAGGCTCTATTCTTTAGGTTCAAAGTATGTAGGATGCTTGAGTTGATGTAGGTCGGGAAGGAACACGACAGAAGTGTGCCTCTATCCTGATTATCTATCCAGAGATACTGGGACACAGTGTCTCCAATTGTAGATCGAATATACACGGTCCCTGGACCACCATGCTGATTGGTTGACCCACCATTGCTGGCAAGGCCGCCGTCTGCCACCAGTGATCCTCGGAAGTTAGGCAGCTCACCCAGGTGAATAGCTATTCTACCACCAGACCCAGCACCGTTTTCTGAAAAACATTGAAACTTTTTTATTAAGAAAGATACATAATCTATAATGCACATCGATGTTGTTCGGCGAAAAACAAGTAATATGTGTCTACTGAGCAGGAGCGTTCACAAAGTCATATACAGTATTTACAGTTTGTTCATTAGAGGTTTTATGTCCTTGCATGGAGCATTTACAGTGCATACAGTATAGTATAGGCACTGGGTTTCGGCATAATATACATAATTGCAAAAATTCCTAAAAAAAATTGCAGGCATTGCAAAGTCAGCAAATTTTTATCTAACGGGAGCTTTATCTGCGAGATCTGAATTTTGAAAGATTTCAATTCTAGTATAATATACAATTAAGAACCTTAGAAAATGTAAAGCTTTATTCTCATAAGTTAAAAAAAAACTTGGGTGCAAATTATTGTGCAATTCATCACATTTGAGTCCTTAAATTACAAAACTAGCAAAAATTAGCAATGAATATGTACCTTAATTTACCAGATATTATAATATTTTGTGCAAAAAAAATGCTAAGTTACTTACGGTAGTACGTGTAATGGCTGGAGTAGTAGCCACGGTATGATGTGCCCCCACTGGTAGAGATGGTACCATATCCTTGTAGCTTGTTTGCAGTGATGAGGATACTTCCTCCCGCCCCTGTTCCAGCATACGTTGTAGATGTACCATCTAAACCATCACTCTGAATGGTCCCATCCACATTGAAGGTCTACAAATACAACCAAAATGTTGTATTTTTTATTAAAAATAATTCAGGAAGTTTCGTATATTTCATCAGCCTGAAAACTGTAGCAGCTGGTTATGTTTGGAGGGATGATATTCTTACTATTTTCAGGGCATTTATGTGATTGGGAAAAGTTGACCTATATTTACTGCAATGCAGCTGACTATAACTACTGTATTGGTTTGTCATTAGCAATTATGCATGTTGACTGAAATAATCCAGTAATGTTGCAGGTATAATTGTTTTAAATAAACGGTACTACGTCGTATGAAAGGTGTACAGTAAAACACAAAAACAAGTTCATAAGTGGGTACAGGTGATGGTACATGGACGTAAATAAATAAACATTATTAAAAGTTTACACAATGTATTGTCATTATTTTTAAACAGATTGTAATTATTTTTTCTGAACATCTGGAAAAGTGAAGTCAGCATCTGGGACAATTAGTGAAAAATTTGATAATTAATCATAACTTCAGATTAGAAAAATGTTCATCTGTGCACATTTGATTTCCTCCTTTTGAGTAAAATCACAAAAAATATAAACTAATGGCATTATGGCTATACAGTAGTTCCTTCAAAAGACAATACTAACATCTTTCATTGTTGATCAACCCGAGACATTAACTGATAGTCTTGTTGATTTAAACACAGGACTTAGCTACCATTCTCCTTTGTTCACTGAACAAAGACAGTACTAACACTATTCAGTGTTGATCTATTTAAGATTTTACCGAAATCCTCCAATATTGATTATGCAAACACAATACTAACTTTCTCCATTGTTGATCAAACAAAGACATTTATAAACTGATGACTTTCAGTGTTGGTCTAAAAAGTATTTAGTACTATAAATACTATTCCTCTTTTTTGATTAAACAACGACAATACTAGCGCTCTTCAATGTGGAAGATATTACCGAGATATGCAAAGACAATATTGACCTCCTCCAATGTTGAATGAACAACGACCATAGCAAAGTTCTATTAAATACAATAAGTGACTGCCGGTTACCTGGCCAACGTTGATTGATATATGACTGCCACCAGCGGTCCCTGAGCTTCCCCCGCCACCACTTCCTGGATCTGTGGTCATCATCTCCTCACCGTAGTAAGAGCCGCCTCCGCCACTCGACTGACTGGCACCACCTGGTGTCGACATATGACAATATTAAATATTACATGTACATAAAATAACTCTATAGAGAAAAATAAACGTACTGAAAAACTAGCACTGTAGTATATAATTATATTTAACAAAAACATTTTTTTTCAATCAAAAGATTTGATTACAGGTAATGAAAAAAGTCAATATAAAAATTGTAGATTTTTAAGTATGGTATTTCACTTAATTTTTTTATATACTGTGTACTGGGGAATTTTGCCCTTTGCCCATGAAATCAATTTTGGCGCTGTGTTAATTTCGCGTTTAATATTTAATTACTATGTTTATTATGCTGTTAACTTATCTTTGCTGTAATGATAAATTCGTTCTCATTACGAAGGGTAAAAAAGGGGAAAATAAAACTGCAGCCAAAATTTCCCAGTATACAGTATCTAGTAGTATATGTATTCAAATTTATTTGCAAGGCAAGTTAATTGCGAATTCAACAAAATAATTTTCTAAAGCCTGAAATGACATCAGGTTTCATGTTCCTCATGTGGTATTGGTTACAGTGTACAGGGACCTGAGAGTTTATTACATTAATGTTGTTAATCTTAAATATTAGAACCTAGTTAAAAACAATCATTACAGTAATTACCTGTATTGTGTATTAAAGCTCTTACCTGTGCTGGCATGGCCTCCTCCAGATCCATCATAGCTGCCCTGAGCACCTGCTCCAGTGCCTGTATTTTTAGGAAAGCCAAAGCCACTTCCGGTAATCAGACCGTTCTTCTCCACTATCAGGTTTGTGCTGTTCATCATTATCCGTAGACTCTCTGCTGATATAATTCCTCCGTTTTTGACAGTCAAATCTCCTGTAGCTATTTCTGGAAACAAAGGATCAAGGAATATGGTCAGTTTGCCCAAATTGTTGATGTTGAGCGTGCCGAATGAGATGTCACCCGGGGTATAGGATGAACTGGCCCGAGTGTTGAGGTACGACAGCTGAAGAGACTGAATGCCCTTGGTGTGGGCCTCATCTTGAAGTAATAGTTCAGCATTTCTTTCAATGGTTAGCTTTTCTACCCCTATTAATCTACCTCCTAAAATGACCTTTTCTGTCGTCAGGAAAACCTCTGTTGGTAAAACAAGTTCGCCTGAAGGATCTACGTGGAAGCCACATGGCGCATCCAAGTAGGTGTGAGTGGAGGCCACAAAGTCTACCATCACTTGTTGCCTACTCTGCACTCTGACAAAGCCCATTTTGTTACCAGTCAATTCGCGAATGATGACTGTGACATTGTCTGCATTAGTTGGATGGTAAAAATGGACATACGAGTGGCCCTCAACCTGGACTTCATCAAATTCGTAGTACACTGTATTGTCCTCCATGACCACTGCTGGTTGTTCTGTCAGTAAAGCAGCATTGTCAACGGTAAGTTTGGAATGCTCTGGCTTAAGAGCTGTGACATTCAGACGTGGATTGTATTTAATCTCCCTGTATGTTGGCCCACGACGAGACTCATACTTGTAGATAGTACCCGGCCCTCCATCACAGGCTACATTAGAAGAACTTGACCCGCGACTTCCACCCTGGGAACTGTATGTACCTCCGTAGTTGTTGACTGCATCCACAAGCATAGCTATACGTCCACCACCTCCACCACATCCTAAAATATAGCCATCACCACCACTGGCATCAAACAGGCCATGGCCAGAAACATTGTAAGCTTCAATCATTATCGAACCTCCACTTCCTCCACCAGAGTAACCAGAGGTGGGCGTGGCACCATTGGCTTTCACATCCCCATCAACATGAAGTAGACTTCCAATCTTGAAATTGATAAACCCACCACCTGCTCCACCGTTTGTTCCCCCACCTCCACTTCCAAGTTCTTTAGGTTGAAAGACTGATCCATAAGTGTTTCCACTTTGACCACCAGCGATGCCACCATGGCTGCCACCATTATAGCTAGAGGGTGGAGCACCAATTCCTGTTTGAGCAGGATGACCTCTTCCTTGAAGGTCAAACAAACTCTCTGACTCTATGTCTGCATTTCCTGCTACCAATGTGCCATAGTTCATCAACAACTCTCCCTTGTATTTTAAGTCCATTCTTCCCAAATCTAAATTGAACAGGTTACTTGATATATGCCTAAATTCAATACTTCCATATGAGTTGACTTTCAAGGATGGGAGGGAGAAATTTCCTTCTGTTGTAATGTCGGTTCTAATTCCGCTGGAGAGTTGTGCAGTCTGTGCTGTTGCAAATACCGAAACAGCCCCATTCTCTTCTAGGTACAGATGGTGAACACCGACCAACAAACCTGACAGATTTGTACGAATACCGTGGATATGAACCTCTGTTGGCATGACGATTGTTGCTGCGTAGTCAATGTAGTAGCTAACAGGAGCTTCTGTAACATTCGACTCCGATTCCACATACTCTGCGTAGACCGTCTGGTTTGCTCTCATGTGGATCTGTCCTGTCTTGTCGCCTAAGATTCTGTGAATGGTTACATGGACATCAGAGTCTTGTGGATGGTAGATCTGTACTACAGATGCACCGGTCACTTCTACTTCATCAAACTCGTAAGTAATTGTTTCATTCTCCATGACAACAGTGGCACCTGGAACATAGTTGCCAATGTTGTCCATGTGCAGGTACCTGTGATCTACTTGGAAGTAACTTGTATTTGTACTAGGCATGTATTTCAGTATTCTGTACTCTAATGGACGCATATTGTTCTCGACAAATGTAGTTCCTGCTGGGGCCCCTGTTCCACTAGAACTTCCACCAGTGCCTCCATGGTTGGTGTATTTCCCTCCGTAAGTGTATCTATATCGACAATGGATGCCAACTCTACCTCCTGCAGCTCCGCTTCCAGTTCCTACTCCTTTGCCGCCTTCGACATTCACCTCACCATGGCCCGTGAAGTTAGTTGTTTTTATGAGAAGACTTCCACCTGAGCCACCACCTGAGTTTGTTCCTGTACCATCATTTCCTTGTAAAGCCAGTAAGCCATTGAGCTCAAAATGAACAGCGACCTCCCAAACCATCCGACCTCCTCCATTTCCTCCTGTACCTTGGCCATTGCCTCCGCCACTACCGAGCTCATTTGGAGAGTACACAGAGCCGTAAGGACTTGTAGCCTGAGTCTGGTCAGAGCAGCCTCCAACACCCCCATGACTAGCACCACAGCCAGCAGAACTGACGGTCCGTCCTGCTCCAAGGCCACTCTCAGCTGTATATCCATGCCCATTCAGGTGGAATGTTCCTTGACTCTCTATCTCTGCAAATCCTGAATCCAATTCTGCATCATTCATGTACAATTCACCCTGGTAACGCACTTCAATCTTTCCTGCTTCGAAATGCATAATGTCACTGATTTTTGAGAAACCAGCCAATCCACCTTGTTTGACTGTGAGAGTTCCAAAGAAGAAGTAACTAGGTTCTTGTACATTGAATTTGACTCCATCCTTCAGACCAGCAGTGTTAGCTGTAGACATGAACTCCACAAAAGCATCCCTCTCAATACTCAGGTCCTGAACTCCTGTGAGTTCCCCTGCTATTGTACTGTTGGTACCCTGCATGTGGAACTCCATGGGTGTGATGATTTCACTATACTGCTCAATGATAAAGCTACACACAGCCTCAGTTCTGTTTGAAATTGATTCAACATATTCCACATACACTTGCTGGTTAGCTCTGAGGTGCAGCTGACCTGTTTTGTCACCAAGGAACTTATGACCGATTACTGTGACGTTTTTGTCCGTAGTATTTGGATGATAGATCATCATTCTGGAGCTTCCCGTCAGGTCAATTTCGTCAAATTCATAATCGTAGGTGTCATTAGCCATGAGAAGAGTTGGTACAGGACTATATTTGAGCAAGTTGTCAGAGTGGACATACTTGTGGTCTACATCCAAAAATGTTGTGTTGTGTACCTTGTCATACTTCTTAAACCTGTACTCCAGTTCACGAAGGTTCTCTTCCTTGTAGGAGGTGCCTGCTGCGCCAGTGTGTGCCTGTTTTTGAGTGACTCCGCCATCGCCCCCAAAGTTGTTGAATGCTCCTCCATATTGATATCTCCACTGACAGTGAATGGCAATCCGTCCACCAGATCCTCCACCTCCGGAACCAACACCATTGCCACCCTCTACAGATATGTTTCCGTGTCCAGATATATTCATGGTTTTTATCAACACACTTCCACCACTTCCACCACCGGCATCGCCGCCTACTCCATCAGAACCTTTGAGCGACAATACACCATTAAGTTCCAGGAGATCGCCGACCTCCCAGAGAAGGAATCCTCCCCCTGAGCCACCTACACCACTCCCGTTACCTCCACCACTTCCTGAAAATTCCTTCGTCGCCAACAAAACTCCATTTCCAGGTGACAAGACTGAGTTGAAAGGCTCACCACCATAGTCTGGTGCAGGGCATCCTCCCCAGCCTCCGTGTCCACCACCACAACCGATACCGTTCTTGGTGATCCCTTTACCATAACCCTCCTCAGGCCCATTCCCTCTGTAGTCGAAGGAAAGTATTGCCTCACTCTCAATGTGAGCATAGCTTGAGTAAATATTTGCATAGTTCATGAAAAATAGGCCTTGATGTTTGACGAGGAGCTCAGCACTTGTTAATGTCATAGAAGTTGTGATGTGTTGGAATTCTGCTTCAGAGAATCTCCCTACAATCATTATAGGGAACTCGAAGTTACCAGGAGTAGTCATGGTGGTGTATATACCATTCTCAATCTTGGCAGTGTGACCAGTGGAGTAGAAAAGGAGGTCAGCTCCTCTCCGCACCATTAACCTCTCAATTCCTGTCACCAGTCCAGCAATGAATGATCTTGATCCAAACATGTTAGTCCATTCTGGGAACAAAGTTTCTGAACCACTGTCGCATTTGAAGCTGCAAGGTGCATATGTCTCATTAGTGACAGACTCAACGACTTCCACATACAGTGTCTGGTTACCACGTATATTTATAAGGCCTGTATTGTCGCCATACATTCGATGTACAACAACAGTGACGTTTGGTGAGATTGAAGGATCTGGATACCCAATCTGTAGATTGGAGTGACCGCGCAATTCAAGTTCATCATATGTATATTCAGCTTTTTTATCTTCCTCAATAACTGTGAAGATCCAGGGAACTCCATGATTGGCATAGAGTTCTTTATCAGTATCAAAGTTATCAACTAATACCCGTCTGTTTTCTGCAGTTTCGATATTTGTATTAGACGCTGCATCATATTTGATCTCTGCATACTGAGGTCCACGATTATTTTCCTGGATGTAAGTAGTGCCTGAAGCACCTGCCGGGTGTGTTCCTGAGCCAATGCCTCCACCAGTAGTTATTAATCCAGCGAACTTGTTAGCGAAGTCAATGTGGACGGAAACTCTTCCACCAGCACCACCTCCACCATTACCAATGCCAGATGCACTTCCACCGGCTGCATTGACCAGACCATATCCAGTAAAGTTGAGTGTTTTCACGAAGATTCCGCCTCCGCTTCCTCCTCCAGCGTTATTCCCAGATCCAGATTGGCCCGCAATGGACAGCTCCCCATCAATCCACAGGTTTTTACCGTTATTCCACACCATGTATCCACCTCCACTGCCACCGGTGCCCAAGCCATTTCCTCCACCACTGCCAGCTTCCAGTGCTTGTATCGTTGAGTCATAGGGTTCTCCACCAGTGTCTGGGTAGGGAGCACCACCATGGCCACCGTGGGCAGCTCCAGTACCAAAATTGTTCACTGTGGTGCCTTTGCCAGGTCCTTGTTCTGCTTTATGGCCTTCATGAGCCAGACTGAGTAGTGCCAGACTCTCTATGACACCTACATCGGAGACAATTGTGCCGGTATTCATCCACAACCTGCCCTCATACTGGAGCAGCAGTTTAGTGATGGTAATAACAAGGTTTGTCTGCGTTTCTTGTAGATAAGCTTGTGAACCTCTCTGTATCTTGAACATTGTCAGACTGATGTTGCCTGGCTGGGTCACATGTGTGAATGTTCCAGCCTCGATCAGTGCTGTTCTGGCTGTAGAATAGAACACTGTGCTTGCTCCATCTGCAATGGTGAGGTTCTGGACATTGGTCATCAGCCCCTTCATTTCTGATCTCGTACCGAGCATGATGACTGTGGACGGGAGACGTATTTCAGCACCAGATTCCACATTGAAACTCACAGGTGCTACTGTATAACCAGCTGTGGATTCCACATATTCCACGTGAACTTTTTGCTGTGACTTTAAATACATAAGACCTGTCTGATCTCCTTCAAAGTCATGAACTATCAACTCAGATGTATGACCTTGTATCTCAAGCACTGCATGATTATTTGCTTCCAGCTGGTCAAACTCGAATTCTGAAGAAACTCCACCATCAACCATGATGACACTTGGCAAGTGAAGATTCCTGTTATCATTGTCGATGATAAGTTTTCGGAACCCATCCTTGTATACTATTGTCCCATTTGTGCTATTGAGAACCTCTCTACCTGTAAGCCCTTGGTCAGATCCTGTGAAATATACTGTCCCGGAAGCACCATTAGCATCATCATCAGACCGTAATGAGCCTCCCAAACCTCCATATGTCAGATAGTCACCGTTGTATTCCCGGTTCCACTTAACATGGGCACATGCTCGACCTCCTGTGCCGCCAAATCCCCAGTCGTTACCATCTCCTCCTTCCACGCTCACTTGGCCGTGCCCCGAGAAGTTGACCGCTCGCAGGTAGACACTGCCACCACTTCCACCGCCACTGTTGTCTATTGAGGCATTGCCACCCTGACTGGTGATGATGCCATCAAGGTGAATGGACCTGGTGATTTCTAGGTCGATGACCCCACCTCCCTGACCACCATTACTTCCTCCACCCTTGCTACCATGATGTTCTGGTGCCTTGTAAGACCCATATGCTGCACCTGCAAGATAAATAACATTATTGATAGACCTACAATAGTGAGAACTACTAGAAAACAGAATATACTCAACAGAATTTTAAGTTTATGAAAAATGAGATGAATTTAAAATTGTTATAGGGCTACCTCCGCTTGTGTAGTTGACAGTGTTGGCACCGCCTCCGTAACCTCCGTGCCCTCCACCTAAACCATATCCTGAGGAGTCCACACCACCGTCCCCTGTGCTTGTCCAAACAAGGCCACGACCTCCTGTGTCCAGACGTGCCTCACCCTCTAGATGCATCTTGCCGGCGGTCATTGTGATAGAGTCTCCGTAGATCCCGGAACTGTACCGCATCATCAGATCGGACACTTCCAGATTGATATCCTTACTGTGCAAGATTTCTGCCTGAGCCTGGAGGGACAGGTAATCAAACGCCAGAACGCCTGTTATAATAAAAACAGAAATGGAAAGTTAGTTAGTTATTGGATCCTTAACGGCCCCTCACCACGAAAGAGGTCTGTAGGGCCAATAAAAGTAAATTGAACATATATGGGGCAATGATCACGACATCAAACGTATGTAAAACTAAAAAACAAAGGTCATCTAGGGAGGTAAAAGAGGCTATGGTTTGTTATATTTTTTTGAACAGACCCAAAGTTAATTGGAAGTTAGGTTTTGGCAATAGTAAGGATGAATTATACACACACCCTCTAGAGATGCCAGTCTGCTGCTTTTGCTATCATGCTTGAAGGCATTTAAATATTGTAGGTTTAAAGCTCATACATAAGGCCACTTAATTGTCACATTTAGAAAGTAGTCACATTAATTTTATAAATTGCCTTATGACATTGAAGTGGTCATCATTAAGAAAGAATTCAAAGATGTCGTACATTTAAGACATTATTTCTTGCAGTGAAGAAATATCACAGTTGTGTTAGGGGTTGAATAACTGAAAACATTTATTAAATAGAAAAAGATCTTGGTTATGAACATTTTGCAAAAATAAATCAAGGTCATAAATGCAGAACTGCAATCATTATCTGGATGATTTACCATTAGTGAGAGCAAGGTAGGCCCCATTGATATATCGGCTATTTTTGGCTGTTGTGGCTATACTCATGCTACGGCTGTACTCCAGTGTTAGATTCATAACTCCAACCAGATGTCCGAGTAACTCAAGAGTAGGCGTGGCCGTCCCAATCAGTCGTAGGTCAGTCGATACATACATGTTGGCTTTTTCGTCCACTTTGAAGTTAGTTGGAGGAATGGACCTGATGATACTGTAGATATCATATTCCACAAAGAAGTCTTGGTCATCCTGCATGTGTAGGTACCCTGACATATCTCCCAGAACGAGGCCAATGTTGATAGAGTCTACACCAGATCCTCCTTGGTTAGCAATCTGGAGCATGGCCTGTTGAAAAATATACATATATTAAATATAGAAATAAGTAACCTTTGTTTAGGCAGACAGAGGACAATGAATATACCCTTTGTTTAGACGTCTGACAAAGGACAACTACTGTACCCTATATAAAAGGCTAAAATTATTATGTTTACAGGTTTCTTTTGCAGATTTCAAGCCTATAGTGGCCATGACATGAAAATGCAATGGTAAGGATCTATGTATTAATTTACTTTTAATGTCACATGTTTTCTATTCCACGAAAAATTGTTACAGCGAAAATCACCACAATAAGAACCAAGCCCTTTTACAGTATTCCCCAGTCACTTTCAGGTTGGAGACATAACAAGTTAATCTGACATCAGCGTGTCCACGTGTGTGGATGTGAGTATAGTTGTGAGGAGTAGCTAGGTATATACTATCCAAAGAGAATTAAACATTGTAAAACCTAAAGTTAATTTTAATTCAATTAAAAATTACTAGGTATGATTTAAAAAACAACAAAGCCAAACCTTTCTATTCAACATGAGATGGTCAAAGTTGAGGTCCGCGTTGTTGTCTATGGTGTCGTTGGTACTGACGACTCTGGGGTTGCGTTCCCAAACCACCAGTGGTTTAGGTGTGGCCAGATCATTGCCGTCCACATAGAGACGACTCTCATAGGTGTAGGCTGTCACTTTGTCCTCGATGAACACCGAACCAGGTCCACCCATGTCCCCAGTGGTGGTACCACCCTTCCCAACGGCCAGCAGTTGACCACGGTATTGGTTGTAATCAACGGTGTGGGCAGCGATGCGTCCACCAGCACCTCCCCCAGCAGTCTCGTGACCAGAACCTCCTGATGTACTCACGGTTCCATGACCTCGGAATTGTCCTAAAAAAGAATTACCCAATACAAAATTATTAATATTTTTTCTGATCAGCGATTTTAACTTAATGACCATTTATTGTGTGACAGTCAACACGGAAATCATTCTTAGAGGTGAAAGAAGTAAACTCCATTCCTGCTTACCTACCGTACATGTATAAGTGGTGCCATAGTGTCCATGGATGCCATTAAGTAAATACATATTCAAAGTATACTATCAGTGACCTCTGAGTTTATTTACAAATTAATTTACAGAACGATCTCTTATTTCTCTGTACAATTAAGTAAATTTTTCAAATAGTTCATACAAACTTCTTACTGTAAGAAAATGTTATTATAGAGCTTTTTCCTTGATTTCTCCATAAACAATTATATTGATTTTATTACTAACTTTTCAAAATATGTCATATAATAACTAGTATCAAATCTAATTACAATTTTAATAAATGGATAGAATAATTGTTTTCATACTTTTAAATACTATGTAACCTAACTACAAGTGACAAGTAACTAACAAAGTGCCCTATTCATGAGAGGGAATAGCTGTAAGTGCCCAATGAAACTTTTCTAATACATCATACTGGAAAATGTATGACAGACATAAAGGCCATGTAAAATCAACTCTATTACTTGGAAGGTTATATAAATTGCAAGGTGACATTGGTCTTCAATTTCTGACCATGATATACAAATTCATCAACAGGGATTTTTATACTTAAACTTTGAACTTAACACACTCTCACCAACTTACCAGCGATCACCCAGACAGAACCTCCACTACCACCACCACTGCTGGCTGTACCATCAGCACCCTCTGCAATAACAGAGCCATCCAGGAGGAAGAGAGTACCAACTGAAATCTTAGCCTTGCCTCCGCCCCGACCGCCTGCGACTCCACCAACACTAGCGCCACCACTGCTTCCTGTTTCTCTCGGCTCATACAGGGACCCGTAAGCTATACCGCCAATTTCAGTAGCAGCATCTGGTAACATAAAAGTATTGTGCTCAGGAGAAATATATCACACATGTCTGAAATTTCTATTGGTTGAAATAATCAATAATTACACATTAATTTTTGAAGATTAAAACATCTGTCTCCCCTTATCAGCCAACATGTGTATTTTCTTAACACTTCTTTAACTCATTCACCCCAGAAATTTCAAAATACACTATTTCAACCTGTGATCTGGAAGAGTTGTAATGTACGTGTCTTCAGGGGTGAATGAGTTAACCTTTTACCTCAGAGAAGGGAATGTCCCTGTGACACTGCCAATCAAAAAACAGTTCAATGGAGGAGTAATCTTGTATAACATTTCAACCAGAAGTTCATTAAAAAATATTTAGATCACACTTTATGTTTTCCTTTAAATTGTTAATTTAAAGACTTACTGTTGCCACCTCGTGATGCATGGCCACCACCTGTAGAGGAATTTGTCGGATGACCTGTACCACCAACCACAGCTGTGCCACTACATAGGAAGGTAGCTAATGGCTCCAGCATGAAGTCAGAAGCTTCAATCTCAAAGAAATCTGCTTTGAACAGCGCTTCGTATTTCACATCCTGAGAAAAAAATGTACAAATGTACAGAGATATTGCTCAATTCATTCTCTTTTTTCTTTACGAAACACTGTGTATTTATGTTATATTGACTGCAAACAGGAAATAATATAATTAATTATGTTCATCAATCTTTCAATCCTTGAAATAAAATATCAATTTTGAGATCACGTAAAAGCTTGATTTTAATGCCATGAGATTCAACATTGATATGTGACAAAAAGCCCAATAATCATACACATGGATACTATGCCAAAAAATAGGTCCACTAAGGACGAGGGGAGCTAATAGATTAAGGTAATGACAACCAATTTTTTCTACATAACTTACCAAATAACCAACTGTCAGTTTGAGTCCCATGGGAGGTGGCAGTTCCATTATTGATCCTGACCCCTGCTCCAGACTGCCAAACAAGAACCATCCGGGAACACCAGCCGTGTACACCCCACTAGTGAAAAAGCTTGTCTGGGCCATTGGTCCTATGCTGATGATACGTCCGGGAACTATTCTCATGTGCTGCACACCTATGATCTCACCATTCCACTTAAAGGCTATCTCACCCTGACCCAGCATGTAGACAAGCTGTGACAAGAACACTTTTGCCCCACTGTCAACCCACAGGTTAACGGGTGTCTTGGTCAGTGTCTGTGTTTCTTCAAGGTAGCATGTCTGGTTTGCCTTCATGTGAAGTCTCGCAGTTTTGTCGCCGTAGATTTTGATAATTCTCAGTGTTTTTGTTACGTTGGTATCCTCTTTCATTGATAAGGAAGCGTTGCCATACATATGAACATCATTAAATTCATACGAGGTTACATTTTCCTCGTCAAGTTCGAGGTAATGGTCCCAGTGCCTCTCATGGTTGTCCACAAACAGTTGTTTGTAGGGCCGTTTGAAGCGTGTGTCTTGTATAAAAACTGTTCCAGGACCACCTTCGTCCATGTGTGCCCATTGCCCAGCACCTCCAGTGCTATTGAATTTGCCAAAGAAATAGATCTCGGAGTCAAGGTAAAGTGCCATTCTGCCACCAGCGCCACCTGTGAAACCTGATCCACCCCTGTTGGAAAATAAGCCATGACCTTCAAGGTTTGGTGATGATACGTAAATTGTGCCGCCACTTCCACCACCAGCATTGGACGAATCTCCTTCACCGCCGTCTGTTGTTACGGACCCATCAACGTAGAGACTTCTTGCGACGTGGAGGTCGATGATGCCACCGCCCATGCCGGGTGAACTGGAGTTGGTGCTACCACCAGCACTGCCTCTCATGTTGGGTTTGTAGAGACTGCCGTAGTATGATCCGCCCTCCAGGATTGGCAGTTTGGTGGATTGGTCATATATTCCACCCCCTCGACTAGCAAAACCACCGCCAGTGCCGTAGCTGCCATGCAAAGATCCAGTGCCCAACGCTTCATCCAGTGTGTCTAGTGGTCTGTCCATAGATGAAGTGGTCATTGTGGACCCAGCTTCGATGTTAAGTGTTGAGACGATCAAAAAGATACTTTCTGCCGAGACCACAGTCTTGTACCGTAAATCAAACTGACCAAAAGTGGCATTCATCGGAACATCAGGAGCATATTTCAAAGTGGAATAGGCTCGGAGATCAATTGTGCCAAAACGTGCATTACCACTGATATCTCTATATAGATATGCACTATTTGCAAGCATAGCTGTGTTGGCATTAGGGCCAAGGTACATCAATGTTTCAAATCCCAGGACAAGATCCAGGACTCCAGTCAGAGTACCAAATACTTGAATAGACCGGTCCTCTGGGTAAGCACCCAGCATGTTGATACCCGAGCCATAGATGTAGACAATGCCTGGCAAATGCAGTTCTCCATCTTCATCTATAATGAAGTTAACACCGGACGTAAATGCTTTTCTCGTAGCCTCCACAAACTCAAGAACGAATTTCTGGTCCCCATGAACATGCAAGAGGCCAGTTCTGTCGCCCACCATTTTCCGAACATCAAGATTGACTGTAGCCCCATTACCAATGATTTGTAGCGCCGCCTTATTCAAGAGATGAAGTTCATCAAAGTTGTAATCAGTCATGCTGGCCTCCTTGATAGTGGCATATTTGTCAATGGGTCGCATCTTGTTATCAATTATTAGTCGTCTATAGGCTCTGAAGCTTCTAATGTCCTCCAGGTAAACAGTTCCAGCACCCCCAGCATCCCCATCTGTGAATCCTGAGCCACCATTGGCTAAATATTCACCTTCAAATGCTATTTCTTTTGTACAGTTGATTGATATTCTGCCTGCAGAGCCACCACCGACATCCTGGGCAAGTCCATTTCCTCCTACTGCAGAGAACGTACCAAAACCATCGATCTCCACTGTCTCAATCCAGATACTACCTGCACTACCTCCTCCTTCTGAACTATCACTGCCACTCACAGAGACCTCCCCGTCATTATACAGCTGGCTTCCGGCTTTCAGGTATATCTTACCGCCTCCCTTTCCGCCTGATGATCTAGCTCTACTGCCTGGTTCAATGGGATTGTATAAGGATCCATAATAGCCACCAGAAACAGCCGGTGATCCTCCACCATTGCCAGCATGACCAGCACCGCCCTTCTTGCCATTTGCCTCTGTGGCGTTTCCAACGTCCGTGTCAATGGTTGTTGATAGCGGTCTATCAAAGCTGGCAGAAGACAGGCAAGCTTCCTGCTCTATAAGGATATAGGATGATGAGATGTTGAAGTAATCAGCCTTTATGCAAGCCTGGTACTTGACATCAAGTATACTCACTAACATATCAGCTCCAGTGTTTTTTTCGTATTCCAAGCCACTGGCTGGGTCCATCTGAAAAGTGCCAAAGGTCACTCTGGCCTGGGAGGATAGAGCTGTTGCCTGGAAAGGCACAATCATGGCGTTTGCACCCATTCTCATAAATCTACCTGCTCCTAGGATCAAGTTTACTACACCTCTTAAGATTCCATCCAAATCCAAGGCAATTGGTGCCTTACCAAGAATTGTTGATGTCTCGGATAACACAAATTCACCTCCGTCATGGAGCTCCAAGTTGATTTCAAGCTTAGAGACTGTTGATGTTGCTGTTCTCTCTATGGTACCTTTCTGATTAGTCTGGAGTCGCAGTAGTCCTGTTCCATCACCGTTAACTTTGAGGATATTAATGGTTTTATTGACAGATGAGTCTTTAGAAATTTGTAGTTTAGCATAGTTATATAAGTTAACTATGTCAAATTCAAGGTCCAAACTGGTTTCAGCAAGAGTCATGTAGTAATCCTGCTGACCATTGCTGTTATCAACGGTCAAGGTCTCCACAATGGTGTTGGCAGTAGAACTTCCAATTTTCTGATAAATAGACCCAGGGCCTCCTTTTCCATTTGGAGCTGGTGAGTTGCCTCCCTTGGCACTAAAGGTCCCTGTTTGAGAGAAGGTTTCAGCGAGAGATTCCACAGCGATACGTCCAGCACTTCCACCTCCAGCATCCATTCCTGTTGCTTCCCCTCCATTGACAGACATGGTACCGAAGCCAGTGATACTGCCAAGACACTGTACATATATACTGCCTCCACTACCTCCACCCCCTGTGGTAGAATCATCACCAATGGCCGACAGTAAACCATTTAGAGTTAAGGTCACAGCTGTGATTTGTATTACACTTCCACCGTAACCGCCGTCTCCTCCTTGTGTTCCTGAAGTAAGAGGTTGGTAAATGGTACCAAATGCCTCTGGTGTATCGCTGATTGTAAAATTGGCACCTACTCCCCCGGAACTGGCGTAGGCTCCTCCTGATTTATTCCTGCCTTGTCCAGCAGCTGGAGCATCCTCTACTAGTCCCTTTCCATCCACACTGAGTACTGCTTCCCTTTCAACGGTCAAAGTGCCTACATTTAATTTTATAGAGTTGGCGTACAACTTAACAAAACGCTTCATATCCACAGTGGCGGCAGTAAGGTCAAGCTTTACTACAGGTATGAATTGCGAATTTTTCTTCAGACCAAGGTAGGCCAGATTGTAGCTTCCCGGACTACTTGTTGGTTGGTATACACCTTGTTCAAAGTTGGCAGTGTAGGATGAGTTGTGCAAGTGAACTTGACCATTCTCTTCCACAATCATATTCTTGCAGGTCACTTGTCCCCGCAGGACTGTCGTGACACCCGCAACAGTCATGTTAATCGGTGCGTGAAGCGTAGCATTTTCCCCGATGTCCATGTTAATGATTAATACCAGACTTGTTTCTACTCCCTCTATGTACTCTGCCTTTAACACCTGTTCCTCTTCAACAAAAAGCCAGCCGGTCTTGTCTCCATAAAACTTCTTCACACTCAGGACTGTAGAGGTTGATCCGAACTCACAGTTGGCATAGCCTGAAAGTCAAAACTGCTTATTAGCAAATTAATCATTCATAATATCTACAACTGTATACTTTCTACAAAACATATCCACGATATGGTCATCTATCATCATTTCACTGAAGACATGTTTAAGTATAAGGAAATGGTGGCACTAGTGTCTCATGAGCAATTCTATGTTTAGCAAACTTCGAAGTATACTCGATCCCCTAGACACCTGCGTTAAGTACCGTACTTGTCAAAAACCCCAGGAGACCTAAGACACAGTCTTGCCATTGGTATAAGTTCTTATAGAATTTGATGTTTATATAGTGCATACATAACATGGGGTTAAAAATCAAGTTTTGTTGTAGGTCCAGTACACCCTATATGATTTCTCATTAGTGGTCAAGTACACCCTATATGATTTCTCATTAGTGGTCCAGTACACCCTATATGAGTTCTCATTAGTGGTCCAGTAAACCCTATATGAGTTCTCATTAGTGAGTCTTATGGAAAATCAAAAAAGTGTTGTCTTAATATTACTAATCGAAGGGTAAACACCATAAGCATGTTTCATTGGTTAGTTAACTTTCTGTACAAGGGGAGACAAATATAATCTTGTGTTAGGTTCAAAATCTTGTAATGATTGGTTTTCATTTGGTTTTACTTATATGTAATGTTAAAATCAACAACAAAAACACTTGGTAAAACCTAAGCTTGCATTTTAATAATAAAGGCAACTTAAAAATTTGCCCTAAAGAATAAACATACCACTGAGAGTCATTTCATCAAAGATGTAATGGTCGGCTGAATCACCCTGGACCTTAGTCCTTGTCTGTTTTTGTAGCGGGTCGGTTGTATCTCCTGTCACCATCAATCTGCGATTAGGACTTGATAGGGTAGTCGTACCATCATAGATAAATACAGTGCCAGGGCCAGCCTTCACTGTGTTAAAGTTGTCATCGTTGCCAGCTCCGTAAGCCATCATCGTACCATCAAACGTGTACCTGTAATGCAAAATCAATGAATATGATATATAAAATATTCACATCCATGTCATCCCTACATAAAATTGAAGAAAATTAATTGCAAAGGACCCTGAAAATTAAAAACACATGTGCTATTATAATTCCTATATATCAACAATAATATGCCTGCTTAATTGTGACCAACATTTAAAAGGCTTATCCCTGTATATGCAATATTGACAAACTTTAAAAAAGGCTAGTATTTACCCTCTTTATACAATAATTTTTTCTATATCAATCATATCAATTCTATAATTTTACATTTACCCTTCATATCAACATAGTTCCATACATGTGTATTTCTTTCCATAAGCTTGATCATAAACTGGATATGTTTTCAAAAAATTTAAAAATCTATTATAAATAATAAATGTCTATGCTTGAAGTAGAACTTGAAGTCTTCGTAAAACTTACTCTTGTGTCAGTATGATGACTACCCGTCCACCTGCACCTCCTCCTCCCTGTCCGCTGCCTGCACCTCCATTAGCCGTCATGGTACCATGACCAGTCAGGTATTTGGATTGAATATACAGTGTCCCACCACTGCCTCCACCAGCATCCGTACCATTTCCTTGATTACCATTAGCACGAATTGATCCTGAAAGTGCAAATTAAGTCTTAATCATCCAAAATCTCTAAATTAATACCATAAATATCCTTAACAGTGATAGAAAATAGTTTCTCTGGCTTGTCTAGCTTTAAGGTAACACACTAACCTTCATTAATGAGGGTATCCTGTACAAGAAGAGTGAGTAGACCTCCACCGCTCCCACCAACTCCACCAGCAGTGCTGCTACCTCCCCCACTTCCGGTTTCATTTACCGAACGCACAAGGCCATATGCAGCACCTCCTGGGACAGACGAGGATATGGAACCTCCTTCAGCACCATGACCTCCACCAGAACCCTGTCAGAAATGTAATGAACTCAAATAAACAAATCACTTACAACCATTTCTTGTCCATCTTTTCTTCCTTAAATTTACAAATCCTGTACTCTGTACCATCCACCGACACAATAATAAGTTGTCTTAATTACTACTGATCCTATACCTAACCTTAACAGGTGGATGTCTTACCATAGATCCTATACCAAGTCCACTCACTAAGATACCTTACTGCTGATCCAATACCTAGCCTATACACTAAGCTGTCTTACTAAACCTGCACACTAAAATATCTTGCATCTGATCCTTTATCAACTTAATACATCAAGACATGGCTTACACTTGATCCTTTATCAAACTTAATACACTAAGACATGGCTTACACTTGATCCTTTATCAAACTTAATACACTAAGACATGGCTTACACTTGATCCTTTATCAAACTTTATACACTAAGACATGGCTTACACTTGATCCTTTATCAAACTTAATACACTAAGACATGGCTTACACTTGATCCTTTATCAAACTTAATACACTAAGACAAGGCTTACATCTGATCCTATATCAGACTTAAAACACTAAGACATGGCTTACACTCGATCCTATATCAAACTTAATACACTAAGACATGGCTTACACTTGATCCTATATCAAACTTAATACACTAAGACATGGCTTACATCTGATCCTATATCAGACTTAATACACTAAGACATGGCTTACACTCGATCCAATATCAGACTTAATACACTAAGACATGGCTTACACTCTATCCTATATCAGACTTAATACACTAAGACATGGCTTACACTTGATCCTATATCAGACTTAATACACTAAGACATGGCTTCCACTCTATCCTATATCAGACTTAATACACTAAGACATGGATTACGCTTGATCCTATATTAGACTTAATACACTAAGACATGTCTTACACTTGATCCTATATCAGACTTAATACACAAAGACAAGGCTTACACTCGATCCTATATCAGACTTAATACACTAAGACATGGCTTCCACTCTATCCTATATCAGACTTAATACACTAAGACATGGATTACACTTGATCCCATATTAGACTTAATACACTAAGACATGGCTTACACTTGATCCTTTATCAAACTTAATACACTAAGACATGGCTTACACTTGATCCTATATCGAACTTAATACACTAAGACATGGCTTACACTTGATCCTAGATCAAACTTAATACACTAAGACATGGCTTACATCTGATCCCATATCAGACTTAATACACTAAGACATGGCTTACACTTGATCCTATATGGAACTTAATACACTAAGACATGGCTTACACTTGATCCTTTATCAAACTTTATACACTAAGACATGGCTTACACTTGATCCTTTATCAAACTTTATACACTAAGACATGGCTTACACTTGATCCTTTATCAAACTTAATACACTAAGACATGGCTTACAGTTGATCCTTTATCAAACTTTATACACTAAGACATGGCTTACACTTGATCCTTTATCAAACTTAATACACTAAGACATGGCTTACATCTGATCCCATATCAGACTTAATACACTAAGACATGGCTTACACTTGATCCTTTATCAGACTTAATACCCTAAGACAAGGCTTACACTTGATCCTATATCAGACTTAATACACTAAGACATGGATTACACTTGATCCTATATTAGACTTAATACACTAAGACATGGCTTACACTTGATCCTATATCAGAATTAATACACTAAGACATGGCTTACACTTGCTAAACCTGCACACTAAAATATCTTGCATCTGATCCTTTAGCAACGTAATACAGCAAGACATGGCTTACACTTGATCCTTTATCAGACTTAATACACTAAGACAGGGCTTACACTCGATCCTATATCAGAATTAATACACTAAGACATGGCTTACACTTGTTCCTATATCAAACTTAATACACTAAGACATGGCATACACTCGATCCTGTATCAGACTTAATACACTAAGACAAGGCTTACACTCGAGCCTATATCAGACTTAATACACTAAGACATGGCTTACACTTGATCCTGCTCCTGAACCTTGATCTGCTCCTGATCCTCCACCACTCAAGTCAATCATTCCTCCTGGATTGATCTCAATGTTATTGCTCTCTAAGTCAAGGTTTTCACCATAAAGCACCCCTCTGTAGTGTATTTCCACTGTGCTCAGCAACAGTCTCTTGCCAGTCATTGGGAAGATCCCTGTCCCATAGCTTTTAATGATGAGAGAACTGAATCGGTAGGCTCCAGGGTCATTGATGTACAAATAGGCACCATTTGAATAACTGGCTGTTTTTGTCTTCGCTGAGAAACTTGCAGTTTGATAAGAGGCAATGATTATATTGAAGATGTTTGTGAGTGTTCCTGGAAAAAAAATGATCACCCATATTATTGACATTATTATCTTATAATAATTACATAATTTATACTGTATGTATATTTAATTCCACATCTGTATCGATGACCGTAGGTGTTAAACCCAGAAATGCAAAGTTGTCGAGGGCATTGTTGTACTTAACCCTTTTAAAAAGTTTCATCAAAATCTGTTGAGAAATTAAGTTGTTACATAATACAGTGATGACATTTTTGAAAAAAATAGTTATGATCACAACATTCTTCACATATCGGCACAAAGTGAAAATTAAATGCCCAGAAAGAGATAACTCCTTAAAACAGGGGATGATAAAGGTGCATATTACTTCCTAGATGAAGGTTTATATGTGTATTTCTAAATCTTCAGCTGACTTGGTAACCTCATCTGAACTGAGCATTTTAATACCAAATCTGATCCCATAATCAAAATGGACAATATTTCATCAGATCTCATTCTCGTCTTAAATAGATTAAAAAGGGGTTGGCTTTATGTTAAGAATTGATTTACAATGGGTGAATTAACAAGTACCTACCATCAAATACATTGCTTGGCCCATTGAATTCTGTTGTGGGCGGTAATCTGGCCTCACCCTGCTCTGTCAGAACAAGACTGCATGTGAGCTGGGTGTATGTCTTGTCCTGATCTGCAGTGAATACGACGTCATCATCAATCTTAAGTGTACTTCTCGTTCCACACACAAGTTCCTTTGCTATGAGATGGAGGTTCGCCGTGGTCACATGAAGTAGCACATCATCTCCTACGGTCAGTTGGTCGACTCTGACCTCCGAGCTTCCTGTGATGTCAATGATGGTTCCTGACAATTCGTCTCCTGTCACACCAGAGTTGTCAGCCATTAGGTGAAGAAATTGGAGGCTACTTTTTATAGTTTTGATGTAGGCAGTACCAGAACCTCCACCGTGACCCCCTGTGGAGGCATTGCCTCCCTGAAGCCTATATTCTCCGGTGAAGTTGTAATCTCCAGTGATGTCGAGGAAGACTCGTCCCCCTCCACCTCCACCACCTCCTGAGGAGTTGGAGCCGCCTCCTTGTACAGACAAAACACCATTTCCAATCAGATTATTGGAACTGATAACAAGAGAACCACCACTACCTCCTCCTCCCCCATCTGCACCAGCCATGCCATTGACAGAGACATTTCCATTTATAGTGAACTGGTTTGTAACAGCAATAGATAGCTGACCACCTCCTTGCCCACCTACACCACCAGAACTAGTGTTACCACCACCAGATCCTATGTCTCCTGCAGTGAACACATTTCCATAAGACTCTGAAACAGGTGAAGCTAGTGAGCTTGAATTTCCACCTGTACCACCGTAGCTTGCCCCTGAACCATCAGATCCTGCTCCTGCCCCTACTTCAGCCAATGCGCCTTGTCCATCTGTGCTGATTGTGCCATCAAAGGCAACTTGCAGGTTACGGGCTTCAACAGACAGGTACTTTCCTAATAAGGTGCCACCATATTTGATGTTAAGGTCAAGGAGTACAGATAGTGTGAATGTATTTGTGGAATCAACACCAACAATTAGCACACCATTGGTAGTTACATCCAGAGTTGTCAGGGATAACTTAGAAGCCACACCAACACTGGCAGATGACAATCCACTTCGACTGGTCGACGAAAAGCTTGCCTTCCCTCCTGATCCAACAATGAGGTTCCGCAGATTAATGACGGTTCCTTGGACAAGGAAATTTATATTGCTATCCTCAGAGTCATCATCCTTTATTAACAGTTTTGCTGGCAGTTTGGCAATTCCTTCAACAACAAGTCTACACTCAAGAGCATATGGATACTGTGTACCATAGGCAGTCGCTATGTCAAAGTCTTGATTCGAGTCGACAAACAAAGTGCCTGAGTAATCGCCCCCTATGATCTCAATTGTGACACTTGTGATGGTGGAAACAAAGGAGGTCAAAGCTTTACCTTTCAGGATCAGCTCTGAAAGTGTTGTGGTGATACCGCTTATCCATGTTTGTCGGAGCGTCTGAAGGCCATTGTTGTCGATACTGACAGTTTTCTTCCTGGCGCTACCAGACTTGGTGTACTCTGAATAAACTGTTCCAGCTCCACCATGTTCAGTTCCTCCTTCACCGCCACTGCTTATGGCTTTTCCGTGGAAGTATGTGATGGAGTTTGCAACAATGGCAATCCTCCCACCGCCGCCACCACCCTGTGTGGCACTGATGCCACCATTGGTGCTGATGACTCCATGACCTTCAAGGGAATTGGCTTTGATGTATATACTACCACCACTGGCGCCACCTTCTGTTGTACCCACATCACCGTTTGCTTCCAATGTTCCATCAATTGTCACTGTGGCTGAGGCATTTATAGTTATGATGCCACCTCCTCTGTTAGTAGAACAGCCACTTCCTTCTACTGTTGGCTGTACAACATTTCCATACTGAATATTTGGGTTACTTCCTCCTTCGCCACCATGACTAGCTCCCTTGGTTGAACTACCAGCACCTTGACCTGTAGTTGATCCTCCTCCAGAAACAGATATCCCTGAGCCATCCTCCATTTTGAAATTATTACCATTAAAGGTAAATTGTTTGGTGTCCATTGCTAAGTACAGCCTGGATTGGGGATACATTTCCAAATCATCTGCCTGGATATTTATCGAGTTCTCATTGTATGTCATGGAGGAGTTGTAGCCAAGTCTTAGCAACGTCAGAGAACTTGCGACTGGATTAAGATTTCCTCCTGCTTTGATTTCACCTGTGGCATATTCCTTGAGAACAAGAGAGGATAACTGCATTACACCAGTATCATACAGCGTAAATGCTCCGTTTTTCCCTATAGTTAATGTAGAAGATGCAAGTGTTCCCCTCACAACCAACTCCGGACTGTCACCAGTCACGTACAAGTCAGCGGTGGCCGTCAGTGTAGCTGTTGCATCGATGATGAATCCACATTGACTCCCGGTCAAGTCATCAAGGAATTTGGTGACGGTGAAGGTCTTCCCAGTGGTTATGTGTACTGTTGCTGTGCCGTCTCCGAGCAGCTCAGTGGCCGTCAGAGTTGTCTCTACTGATAGAGTGTTACCGCTGTCTACCGTCAGCTTGGTAAATGTAGTGCTGGATACACCATTAGCATCGACCAGTCGTGTAGTTCCTCCACCACTGATGGTCAACTCTTTTCCTGTCTGACCACCGGTCAAGGGTTTCACCAAATACACAGTTCCTAAAATAGAAAGCAATTTCACTCATACAGGGTATTGTTATGCACATTGTGAATGTAATTCTAGTAAACCATTTTTTTATTTATTTTTAAATATACACTGGCTGAGATGTAACATTATTTTACTTGTCAGCAGCATCACTTTGTACATTGTGATTAAATACCAAACAAATATCTTACACAAGTCAAACTTCCCCACGCAATAAATATTTATTGCTCCGGGTGCAAATTAGTTATTTTTGCAAGAGATTGATTTTCATGTTATTGCTAGGAGATACATCCAGAAATTAAAATATTTTGTGAACATTAATTTCATAGATAATAACAATTTCAATAGTGAAATATAGCTTTCTCTCAATCTGGAGCTTCAGTATTCACAAATAAAATCTACAGGCACCATCACAAAATAAAATACACACCCAAAATAAAGTGATTAGAGAAATTTTGCGTTGATATACAACGGCATAATCAGCCCATGACTAAGCAGGTATAAACCTATTGACATATATGTTGATAGGATACATAATGTAGCAGTATTGCCAAAGAGAAAATGTCCACACTCGGAATTATTTGAAGATTCATACACAAAAATGTATTCCATAAATTAACTGTCTTTGATGGTGTAGTAGTTATCAACTGTACAAGGCACCACTTAATTGACCAGAAGATCAGGAGACAGTCACTAAAACATTGAAAGATGTCCCAAATACTGACTGTATTCCGAAAAGCTTTTGCTTGAGCGGTTTAACATTCACCTTTTTCACCCTCCATTATGCGGATAAATTTATGATTATAGCCAATATTACTTCACAACATGCTTCACATTGTAATCCATGTGAAAGGCGAAATAAACACTGGGTTAATATGGATTTAATTTAACAGTGAAGGACGAAAGTTTGATTGGGAAAAAGTTCCTGGTACAGAGTATTTAATTATAAAATACCTGGACTGGCATCTGTATCTCCTCCTGAAGCTGTGACTGTCCCCTCAAATGTGTATGTGTTCGAGGTAGTAATGGCTACACGCCCGCCACCGCCACGAACTCCTCCATTGGCCTGTATGACACCATTCCCAGACAGTGTTTGCCCGTTCAGGATGATACTGCCTCCGCTGGCACCGTCCTGGCCATCCATCTTTATGTCACCATCGACAATCATATTGCCAGATACAGTGATTTCTACCTGTCCACCACCACGCTTTGTTGAAGATGACGCCCCATATCCATTACTTCCGTGAGTTCTGGGTGAAATAACATTTCCATAGGGATCTGCGGTGCTGCTCTTTCCTGTACCACCATGTGTAGCTCCATTTGAAGAGGAGGATGCCGCACCAGGACCAGACGTTTGGTAACCTGCCCCAACACCATTGATCTCGCCTCCAAGTTTGATTTCCAAACTACCAGTGTTGATGGTAGTCATGTTGACCCCATCAGGATCACCAACGATATTCAACTTTCCACCAGCCTCTATTGTAATGGAGGTGAAAGTGTGACCAATGGCAGCCAGATTGCATTCCTTGGTCCGGGGAATATACACATCACCAGTGCAGGTGAGATTGTCGGTTTGGCTAATGTACGATGTTGTATATCCGTTCTGAAGACTGTACGAGGATGAAGGAATCGTGAAGGTTGAAACTACATTGTAGTCAGTAATCTGTACAGTGGTTTTCTTACTTCCAGATGATCCTTCGCATTTGGTGGAACGTTGTATATCTCCACCGAAGTCCACAGACAATGAATCTAACAGCAATACGCTCTGTGACGGAGCCAGGTTCGTTCCTGATGTACCAGGGAATGCCATCTTTAGCGTACCACCATCTTTGATGTTAAGGTTCTTGGTATTGAGAAGGAAGGCACCACACAAATCAAAGGTGACATCTCTTTCCACTATAGTGGTCTCGGGCAGCTCTATCTGGGCTCTCTCCTTCACATCAATATTGTTGGGTAGAATAACGAGGTTTCTATTGTTGGCCGATTTGGTGGCGTAGTAAAATTCAGTGTATTCCTCCACTACCAAAGTAGAGCCTGGTACACTTATGATGTCACCAACTCTGGCCTTTAGGATATCCGTGGATACCCTGGCCTGTAAACCATACACGCATTTTGATTGGACCTCGATTGTATCCAGCTCTAGAACGAGGGTATTTTCTGGTACGGTAAGCTGGGATACTACATCTGTCTCTCCACTGTTCTTGATGATTGCCTGCACAAACAAAACAGTAATGATAGTAGTTTGTTTGTTTGTTCAGCACGTGTCAACAAGGGGGGAATAATATAAGTAATCCAGGCAAACTTGAGTAAAGAGAAAGAACAATTTAATACAGACAGACAGAAATATTACTTTTATGTGGAAACATAAGAAAGATTTGAAAAAAACAGAGGGAAATGTCACTTATATGTGTAAACAGAATAAAGATTTGATAAAGATAGAGGGAAATGTCACTATTACACAAAAAAGAATAGAGATTCGATAACGACAGATGGAAATTTCACTTTTGAGACAAAAGGATATGACGAAGTACAAGTACTGAAGAAACGATATGATATAATTTCATGCTACTAAGTACTAGTTACAACACCAGTAACAAACCATATCACATAGGTTACATATCTCTATGTCTATTATTGGAGTAAAGTGGACTCAATTACCACAGTTGAACATGTTACACAGAGCCAATTATATTGAGGTGATTGAAAAAATGGTAGTTTCATTTTAACTGGTTTTCTGTGGTTAAGATGGAAAATGTCAGATTTGAAAAAATACAGAGAAAATATAAGCATTTACTGCAATTCAACAGACTTCAGTATAAATTTCACCGAAGTGTAAAGTTAACTAACAAATGTGTAAAGATAAACATTGTTTTATTCTCAAAGAGTTTAAGAGAAAGGACAAGTAAGTTGTAAACAATGTGGGAAATATATACGACATAACAACACTTACAGTTGTGCTTGGAGAAAAAGCATTATCAAAGTTGAGGTAGAGGATTCCGGCAGCCCCTCGCTGGTGTCCGTCGCCACCGTAGGCTGTAACCCCGTCACCAAGGTTCATAGTGGTAGTGTACGTTATAGCGATGAGACCGCCACCACCTCCGCCTGCACCTCCACCGGACAGTCCACCATCAGATCGGATGATACCTAAAAAAAATATCAGAAGCATAAATTTTATAAATCTTTGCTTTACCAAATAAATACTTGCAAGCTTTATTGACTTAAGTTTTACCTGTGTTATAAAAGGTAAATTAAACATTTAGATGTAACTAATTATAAAACATGTTTCTTAAAAAATATTGACAAAATATATCTGTGTATAGCTGTCACACCTGTGATTACACCTATGTTTGGTTGCCACACCTGCTACATGTATCTGTATATAGCTATCCCCCCTGTGACTAAACCTGTGTTTGGTTGACACACCTGTTACATGTACCTGTATCCAGCTGTCACACCTGTGACTAAACCTGTGTTTGGTTGCCACACCTGTTACATGTACCTGTATACAGCTGTCACACCTGTGACTAAACCTGTGTTTTTAATGTAATAGGGTGTCCAGCAGTCTTACCTGAATTCTGTATGGATGTACAGGTAATGTCGATACTGCCACCAGCTGCACCACCGTAGCCTGTAGTATTTGCATCTTGTCCACTACACAAATAAACAATGCAGCAGCATAACATTCAGTTCTTTGTTCAAATGCCTCAGTATTTTATTTATTTCTAAAAATATATAGTGGCAGCTTATAGTATTTATGTCTATATTGATATTCTAAGAGGTTGTTTATGACCATTCTCATATCAGATCTGAGCTACCTGTATCAGACAGTTAGGGCAGAAGGCCTGTATCTTAATATATGCTTCAAAGGCCAATCTGGCGTGATATGAAAAAGGTAATATTTTACTATTTCTATCACAAGCATTATAAATACAGCAGCACAGCAGCATAGTATTTATTTATGTATACAAATGGCAACAGCATAATATTGACATCAGAATAAGATTAATTACTACACACTTATACAGTTACTTCACATGCTATAATGATTATGAATCATATGTATATTTTGTTACTTACTTTGCAGTAATGGTGCCAGCATTGGTGAGGGTTGCAGTAGAGATCTTGAGGATTCCACCGCCTGCAGCCCTCGAGTTACCTGTACCAGGCAGTGCCGGACTCCGCATGTCATCATTTGTCGGGTCACACACTGTGTCACTTGGTCCTTTGCCTCCTTGGCCTCCGTGACTTGTTCCTAAACTGTCAGACACTGTAAGAAACATCAGATTATATCAAGGATTCAGAAATTTAGTCAACACTTAATGCAGAAAGTAGGTCGAGTATCAATGAAATTCAAGGTCTGTAAGATTTATAGCCGCGTCTTAGTCTGCAAGACTTACCTGAGCTTGATACAGAGGATCCCTGGCCGTCGAGGTCAATAGTTGCACCATCTTCTGTCTCAAAACTAGCAGATGCTTGGATCTCCAGTTTCCTACCAAGAATGGTACCAGTTGCCCCAATGAAGAGGGTGTTGAGTTCGAGTTTGTAGTTCGTGTTGTTGTCTCTCATTGTTAGTGTACTGCCTGCGAGTACGTTCAGGGACGTGATCGTAAAGGAGGCGGGGGTCAGCGTGTTCTGTGTTTTACTGGTTCCCTTTAGCTCTACGTTGGTATTGATCAGGTCCCAGGTAGAAACACCGGACAGTATTCCTTCAAAGACGAAATTGCTCTTGTACATCTTCACATTAGACGGTAACTGCAGAACACCTTCAAAATACACATGTCCATTGAACGGTAGATAGAGATAGGTCTGACTGATTGACACTGACTGGTGATGGCCCACGTGGAGTGTTCCCTTGTTATCTGGGTTATTGATGAAGTCTTCACCGTAGACATTCTGGATGGTCAACGCGTGTGTTGTAGTAGTTGCACTTGGCTCCAAGGCCATATGGGCACCGTTCAGAATATGGAGTTCGTCTAGGGTAATGGTGGCTGTGTCAAAGGGCACCCAGGTACGGCTAGCGTCATCGGCAGTGACGGAGGTTATGTCCATGCTTGAGATTGAAGACTGTTGTGAAGAAATATAATATAAGCACAATTGTACATAATATCTTACACCTGCTTTTTTCCAGAACAACGAAAATAAATACTGAAGCTTTAACCTTGCTGTAACAAAAATCTTGTCCTTTCTTAAGCAACTTGTGTTCATATCAGTAATAGTTATCCATAGTGACCTAATAACAAGGTACAATATATGCTAGGTGACAGTTAAGACATTTTACTGACATGTCTGTGATTTAGGGTACGCTACTTACCTTTATATTGGTACTGGGTGTCTTGTTGTCGATGTAGAGCATCTTCTTGCCAGCGCCCTCTACATAAACTGTTCCTGCCCCTCCATCTCCATTGGCTGCTCGGCCTCCGTAAGCCAGGTGTTTTCCAGTGTACTCAGACATGGTGTAGGTTAGAGAGACTCTACCGCCACCACCTCCTCCACTGACCGTGTCACCTTGTTAAACCAGTCCACATATTAACATGAGATAGCAATATAGTTACGCAGCATTTAGCAGGCTGTATAGCTAGAAAGTTTTTTCACATTTAAAAACTAACTTAACGGAAAAAATAGTATTACTGAAATTCACAAATAAGAAATTATAATGTCACTCAAAAATTTCTATATTACCATCTCCGCCGTTGGCCTGTAGGATGCCAGAACCAGAGAGATGGTTCGTTACCAAGATCAGGGATCCTCCGCTGGCACCTCCAGCACCAGACTTGCCTGCCTCACCATCACAGCTGATAGTACCTGTCAACAAATATCATTATAGGTAGGAATGTACGACACATTGTTACAGGTATGATATATTGTTGTGATACATTTTAAATTTGTTTGATACAACAACAGGTATTTATCATTTTACAGTTTTTAACATGTTATTGTGTCAAACCAGAAAACACTAATTTTCCTATGCAAATACACAAAAAAAAAAATCTTACAGATTAAAGATGGAAAATGGTCTTGTGTTTGGGTATTCTACATAAATAACCAAATTATGTGCAAACTCATTAGTTGACTACATTGAATCTACTGTTTATGAGTTGGCCAATGGAAGAGGTCATTTAATTAAGGTTTTATGTACTGTTACTATTTCATTCACATCATTATCAAACCTGAATCTATATTAGAACTACCATGGATAATAGTACACAATTGTTTGTAAAAATGTTTGCAACAGTATCAACCCCGGAGAATAACTGAAGACCTACCATCAATGGCGGTGTAGTTGGAAGCCTGTATTTTGATAACCCCTCCTCCATATGTCTGCACGCTTGTATTTGTTACACCACTGCTGCCAAAAGACTGGGGCGTTTTTAAGGCTCCGTAGAACAATCCTCCAGCACTAGCAATCGTGCCAGTTCCGCCCATACCACCGTGGCCAGCACCGCTACCATCCTTTCCTGCTCCGTCCCCGTCAACCCCAACAGGTGCCTGCCAATCACATTGGATCACAATTAACTATGATTTTTAGGAGATTTTCACATGCAAAGGAAATGTTAAGCGTCATTAGTTTTGCTGTTTTCTCTTTAAAAAAAGAAAATTTAAACTCAAATTATCTTCATTTAACAAATAAATAGCCATAAATATTCAGTGTTAATGTAACATATTTAAATTTCGTTGTTATATTTTGATATATAAATGGGCAGCCATTCACCATGATTATAGTCCATCAACTCAATTATAATGATCATAATGCGCTACAATTGTAATAACAATTTGTGATCAAAAGTTGGAAGTACGATTTCAAAACTGCAACAGAGTATTGTTGTTTATATTATATAGGGGTTATCAAAGACAAGTGTTTACATATATAATAATTATATAAAATGAACTTTTTTGTGTAATTCCACTAGTTAAGACACTTACATTCTTATCAGTCCGCATGACACCGGAGTCATCTATGATGAGGTTGTCAACTCGGAGTTCTATTTTATCTGCATCCATAATTCCACCACTCTCTACGTGGAATGTGTTTCCAATGAGGACCATGCCCTGAGCCTCACTGTTAATTTTCAGTATTCCGCCTCCCTGTATTGTTATGCTTTGGAACGTGATTTCATTGGTAACTGTGGTGGACACGCTGGTGTTGGTATAGGGCCTAGATATACACAGTAAATGTTAAAATTTCACGTTGTAAATGCAAGGTCAGCGATTCAAAATTTAAAAACTTACCTGATTTTTTCCCATACATTTCAAATGATAGATAAAAATACTAGAGCAAAACCAGAGATCATGTCTTGAATAAAATACGGAAGACGATAAACATAGAATATTAACTCAGTTAATGGCCTTAATTTGTCCAGGCCAGATAACCAAATAATTATTTATATTTCTTAAAACTTACCTGAGAATGATATTTTTCAACAAATTTATGGAAATATTTGTATTTCAATATAAAAAGGAAGGATTAACTTTCTGTCACCAATTTTCATCTGAATTTACCTGTAACATCTTGGGAATGACTATGGTAATTGAGATGGATTTTATCAACATATTAATGAAATAAATAAACCATGCATGAACGTTTTCAGGAACGTCTTTCAATATTTGTCAGGTGTCCATTTATATCCACATGGCTACAAATTCACTAGGTAACAGACAAACTCACCTGAGAATGATCTGTCCACCAGGCCCAATCACAAGATGTTCTGCCCCTTCCAATGTTCCCTGGAGTTCCATGGTGATACCATATACAAGTAACACTTCCTCAGCCTTCATAGTACCACCTTGATAAATTTGCATACTAAAATCCAGTTCAGGGCTATCAACATGTAGTGTAGCTGAAAAGACCTGCAGATTACCGACGTGGAATGTGCCAGTTTTGTCGCCCGTGCCTTTGGTAATGGTGACATACTGCGTGAAGGTGTCAACGTTGCGTCGGTAGACCGCAAGTTGTGCCTTTCCACTGATGGAGACCTCACTGAAGTTGTGCATGTGACTAACGGGAGATGTGTGGTCAAATAGCCATGTCTGACAGCTGTGTTCTCCACGTCTCGTGTCGGACAACAGGCTAAAGTCAATAGAGGCATCAAGAGGTGTGCACACCGCTTTGTTATCAATCTTTAGGACATCTGACGCTGTGAAAGTGTCCCTGAGGAGCACAGTTCCAGCACCGCCACACTCCAATCCACCACTTCCACCGTGAGAGTGGGTTTCCCCATTGAAGTCAAAAGTGCCGTTGTAGTGAATGGCGATACGTCCACCACCGCCACCACCACCATGACAGGAGTTGATGCCACTGGCCACGCTGCCACCCTCCACACTGAGGAGTCCTATTCCAGTCATCTGATTGGTTTTGATTAATATACTACCACCACCTCCACCACCTCCTCTAGGCCCGGATCCTGATGACCCCTTACACAAGATCTCACCATCCAGCACAAAGTCGTTGGTGATGGTCATCTGGACAATTCCACCGCCATTGCCGCCAGTATGTTCATCGTTTGGTACACAGCCGAGATTGAGATTAGAGCCACCACCATCTCCACCAGTGCCACCAAACTCTTTGGGATAGTACATATCACCATAGGACGGAGAAGTTCCGACAACAGTCTGGTTTGTCCCTTGTCCTCCGGAAGCACCGCCTCCACCACCAGATCCACCTGTAATACAGAGCTACACTAATAAACAGCCCTCAGAATCATTATCACAAGGTTCACAATATTCAGTATAACAAAGTGTAACTATGAGAGCAAAAGAAAAACATCTTTTTAAAACATCATCAAAACTAAATTAAAATGTATATATATATAAACTACACCCAAATAAGATTTTGAAAATATAATTTTAAGTAATACTGACCGCCTGTAGGAGCATTAATTCCATCCTGACTGTCCATGGCTGTTTTGACATTTCGTAGTGTGGTGTCAATGACCCCCGCAGGGTCAACCTGTGCCCTGTCTGTTGTTACTTCCAGCCATGGAGCCTGTATTACAGAAACGGACTTCATTACAAGTTTGTTTGTTTTGTGTTTTAAGTTCTATTAACAGCTATGGTCATTTAAGGATATGTCAGGTTTTGGTGGTGAAGAACCCAGAGAATAAAGACTGACCAAAGGCCAGTACCTGGCAACTGTCCCACATAGCCTCAAACCTGTCACTTAGTGGTGGAGCGTCAAGATATGTATATTCAATATTCAACCTGACCTATACAGAAAGCCTGCTCCCAATCCACCAGATTTACTAAACTTGACATGTTTTTCTATATTATTGTAAGTTATTCTGATATAACTATTAGTTACTGATAGCATGTTATCATGATAAGGTCATATATCTGTGAAGTTGAAGAATTTATACACCAGGCAGGAAACCCATCTGATGGACAGACCATTGCCAAATTATACCACATAGTGTTCTGTTGTATCAAACAATTTCTGACAGTTATAGCAACATGCCTAGTTTGATATCAATATTTGTACCTCAATCCTCCCGCCTGCATGAAGCCGCAGAAGACCGGTCAAATTGAGAACCAAGGAAGGAATGTATTCATTTATGAAGTCAGATGACATTTTACCATCAGCATACACTTGCAGGGTATCAAAATGAAACTCCCTGTCTGCACTTCCACTGGTTTTACCCTGAAATCAAAATCAGTGAAATATTTAGGAACTGTTTCATTCTATGTTCTTTAGATTAATTTGATATCATAGAACTTTTAGTTTTTCATGACTTTTAACTTTACTTGATCATACCCAGACATATTAGGAAATACATATAGCAGCAGTATTGCCATCATAAAAAATTTCATCTTGAGAAAAGCCTTTACGGTCAAATTAAAAAAATAAGCGGTTACAAAATCAGTCTTGTTACAGTAGCATCTGTTAGGTATGATAACCACATTTTACGCCAAGCAAAAACTTTTCTTTCTTTTTGCGAAGGAACATTTCTATTAATGGTATACAATTATATCAACAATATACCTGTGTATGCAGAAAAGATATGTTTCCAACTAAGAACCTTGCCTGTAAAATCTACTGATCAAGGGATGGGCTTATTACTGAGCATGATATTATTACTGGTATTATCTATTTACAAGGGGTGGGCTTACTACTGAGCATGATATTATTACTGGTATTATCTATTTACAAGGAGTGGGCTTATTCCTGAGCATGATATTATTACTGGTATTATCTATTTACAAGGGATGGGCTTACTACTGAGCATGATATTATTACTGGTATTATCTATTTACAAGGGATTGGCTTACTACTGAGCATGATATTATTACTGGCATTATCTATTTACAAGGAGTGGGCTTACTACTGAGCATGATAATATTACTGGTAATATCTATTTACAAGGGGTGGGCTTACTACTGAGCATGATATTATTACTGGTAATATCTATTTACAAGGGCTGGGCTTACTACTGAGCATGATATTATTACTGGTATTATCTATTTACAAGGGATGGGCTTATTACTGAGCATGATATTATTACTGGTGATATCTATGAAGAAGGGGTGGACTTATTACTGAGCATGATATTATTACTGGTATTATCTATTTACAAGGAGTAGGCTTATTACTGAGCATGACATTATTACTGGTAATATCTATTTACAAGGGATGGGCTTATTACTGAGCATGATAATATTACTGGTATTATCTATTTACAAGGGATGGGCTTATTACTGAGCATGATATTATTACTGGTGATATCTATGAAGAAGGGGTGGACTTATTACTGAGCATGATATTATTACTGGTAATATCTATTTACAAGGGGTGGGCTTACTACTGAGCATGATATTATTACTGGTATTATCTATTTACAAGGGGTGGTCTTATTCCTGAGCATGATATTATTACTGGTATTATCTATTTACAAGGGGTGGGCTTATTCCTGAGCATGATATTATTACTGGTATTATCTATTTACAAGGGATGGGCTTATTACTGAGCATGATATTATTACTGGTATTATCTATTTACAAGGGGTGGGCTTACTACTGAGCATGACATTATTACTGGTATTATCTATTTACAAGGAGTGGGCTTATTACTGAGCATGACATTATTACTGGTAATATCTATTTACAAGGAATGGGCTTATTACTGAGCATGATATTATTACTGGTAATATCTATTTACAAGGGGTTGGCTTACTACTGAGCATGATATTATTACTGGTATTATCTATTTACAAGGGGTGGTCTTATTCCTGAGCATGATATTATTACTGGTATTATCTATTAACAAGGGATGGGCTTATTACTGAGCATGATATTATTACTGGTATTATCTATTTACAAGAAGTGGGCTTACTACTGAGCATGATATTATTACTGGTATTATCGATTTACAAGGAGTGGGCTTATTACTGAGCATGATATTATTACTGGTAATATCTTTGAACAAGGGGTGGGCTTTTTACTGAGAATGACATTATTACTGGTCATATCTATGAACAAGGGGTGGGCTTTTTACTGAGCATGGTATTTCTATTTACAAGCGATGGGCTTATTACTGAGCTTGATATTTTACTGGTATTATCTTTTTACAATGAGTGGGCTTATTTATGAGCATGATGTTATTACTGGTAATATCTATTTACAAGGGGTGGGCTTTTTACTGAGCATGATATTTCTATTTACAAGCGATGGGCTTATTACTGTGCTTGATATTTTACTGGTAATATCTATCAACAATGAGTGGCCTTATTACTGAGCATGATATTATTATTGGTGATATATATATATTGACAAGGGGTCAGTTTATTACTGAACATCACTGGTAATATCTATTATTAAGGGAATGGTGTATTATGATATAACATAAATGTACTGCGTTAACATTGCTTTCATTTATGGTAATTTTGGTACTCTAATACCGTACTTTCTAGTTAATGTCTTGTCACATGATATCACTTTTCAATTGATATCACTGTACAATTGTAATCAGAATATGATCTTACATGTTCACCGACAAGGACGTTGACATCCTGACCGATGTGGAAGTTATTGGCCCCACTGATAGTACCATCCAGCTTTATTGTTGTGTACTCCAGTCGGATGAGGTGTACCTCTGTAATGTTATTGATTGTACAGGTAAAGAACACATACATGTTATCAAAAATAATATCTTAAATATGTTCAATCATTTACAAAAACAGGAAATGTTGTACAATGCCAAGTTTTATTTTCCATAAGTAGCACATATAATGATATCAATTTCATGGCAGCAATTTTTCAAGTCAATTTAAATATTTTTTTAATTCCTTACATATTCTGTTCAACATATATCAAAGTTTTATATCGTCATTAAACAAGTCAGGTTTTGAACAGCCAGACCAAGGATGCTAATATGAAGGAATCTCTTTGAATACAAGAAATCTACAGTACTGAATGTCTTACCCGCAGGCAATGCCAAGTCAGCATTTTCATATATGGCAAAGGATGCTGGAAATGGGCTTTCGCTGTCATCGACTTTCGTTTCTGGTATGTCTGCCAAGCAGTGAAGCAAGCCTGTCTTGTCACCCTGAAGATTACCTATTCTCACAGGGATTGCTCCAGCCAGTGTGGTATTCTTAAAGACAAGATGTGCAGATCCGTAAATCAGGACATTGTGAATAAAAAGCTCTGAAGCGGGACTTGCCATGGTTACATATGTCTTTCCGCTGTCCTGATCTGCGTTAGTGATGAAGGTGTTGCTCGGCTTTGAACCGTCGTTATCTATTCTGAGGGTGTCCTCATAGCCACCTGTTGAGGCTGGCTGTCTGAAGTAGACAGTACCAGATCCACCATTTTCCGCTCCACTCTTCCCTCCAAAGGTCTCATAATTACCACGGAAGGCATAGCTGTCATTTGCATGAACTGCAACTCTGCCACCACCAGCTCCACCTCCAGATTTCTTGAAAAAAAATATTATTGTATTCATATTTTTATTGGTTCTGTATCAAAAGGATTTTTTTATGGTATTTAGAGTTCATAAATAAAGTCTCATCTTAAGTAAGGTATCAACTCTTCTCTGAAGAGACTCAAGTTATTTTAATGTTTAAGTCCTAAAATGATAAATGTTATAATGACATTGAGTAAAACCCCAGTGAATTTCAAAGGAACAAAGGATAATTGCAGAAAACTGTTTGAGTAACTCATGATTACTTTACGAAAAATATATAAGAAAACAATTGGGACCACGCAAACTTCTGGACAAATGGAGAGTATTAGAGTAATACAAGGTTGAGGAAGTGGGCTTTTGCTCTATACATCTCCCATTTTTAATTCGCTTGACTCAAATAATTGCAAGACATTTAAAATTGCTCTCCACAAGACTAAACATCTATCTCACAAAACATAACAGCTTTATAGTACGCGACATGCAATGAATTTTTGAAAATAATTTCTGCCCGAAGATTCACAGAATTATCAAAACTGACTCTACTGTGTTAATAAGATTGAATTGACCAAATCAACTACCTTTGGTAGAACATTGGTTTCACCAGTGCATGTCCTGCCAACATCATCACAGTAAGCCAGGAAGGTAGTGTTCCCAAGTGAGAATGCACTCTGACAATTCCCGCTGCAGTCTCCCTGGCTGTTGCCGGCAGCAACACAGTTGGCAACAAAGGTAGTCGCATCACAGCAGCGACTGTTTTGGTTCTGACAGTCTGCCACACAATTGTACGCGACCCAGAAATAACCGGAGTTACATTGTAGGCATCGCCGCTCACTGTCGTAGCTGTTACAGTTAGGTACCACTCCACCTGCACCTCCATTTGCAGAAATGGTGCCAGTTCCTGTTGAAAATTAAAATCGTTTTCTCAATTCATGTTGACAAAGTTATCAAAACCTAGACAACGACCCATTTTTTTTAAATTTCAATTATCTTTATTTCACTTTAGTCACTTAGCATTTCCTAAGAGTATATTCTTGATACATATATATATTTTTATCTTTATAAGTACTTTTCATTCACATTACTTCTGCACCACAGGATGCTGTGAAACTTCCTTATGCTGTACACTGTCTACAGCTTACCCAAGAAGTGTAGAGATTCCAGCAGTATACTGCCTCCCGCTCCACCTCCTTGACTACCACTCTCGGCGTCCATGCCGTTAGCCGTCACCGATCCATCAATTTCCATGAGGTTTTGTGCCTTTAGGTGGATAATGCCACCACCAAGAGCTCGACCATCACCAGTTGGTGACACAGAACCACCGCTGCCATAGTTAACTGGCAAAACCATATCACCATATGCCGTACTTGCATACGTTGTTCCTGCCCCAATGCCACCGAGACCTCCATGGGAGGCGCCGGACCCTCCAGTCAGACTGTGTATGCCTGAAGCATCACCGTTACCTGCTGAGTAACCTCTGCCACTACTGTTGACAATACCATCTGCATCTATGGTGATGTTTACAGCTACAAGTACACACAGTAATTAATGGTTATGGCTAGAAGTATCCACATAGTCGGGAGGTTTTTTTGTCCTCATCATCAAATTTTAATTTTCCCATACTAGAAATATCTGTGAGCATATTTACAAGAAAACGTGTGATTGATCATGAGATGTCTGAATATAGAAATACTTATACTTTTATATCAGATACAAACAGTCAGCAGAAATTTTACCTATTAATTTTGTGATCAGAATATTTGTAATAATCAAGCAATTACTTTAATACACCATTAAACTTTCAAGTGATTTTCAGTATTCTATATCAATTTTGTATTATGGCATACATATTTTCCCATTAATGTGCATGGGGTGTCTTGACAGTCACCATTTCGTATATCTGATGAATAGCTAGTCGACCAAAATACCAAGTCTGTCATTATTCTATTTGCAGTAAATAAGTACTTTGAATCACCATTGCAAAGTTAAGTATTCAAGAAAACCAAGTGATGTATTACATTAATGCTCCTATATTATGAAGTGCGAGTACAGATAGGGACAAGTACCTTCCAGGTGTAGGTTGTTGGCCTGCATTTCACCTCCTCCTTGGATGTGAAGTCCCCCGTCCAGTTTAACTTGTAGCACCGAATTATTTTCAGCATTGCCTAAGAAATTGAATAACCCTCCATCTTGGATAACAATGCTGTTGAGCTCAACTGTGTGAGAATATGCAAGCTGAGCAGGCGGGTAGATCGAGAAAGTACCCTCCATGGAGATATTCAGCTTCTCTACGCCCTGTAGTACTCCTCCATATAGGGTGATACGACAGTCGAGCAGGAATGTCTCATAGGGCAGGTTCACAGTGGCATTCTGTAATGGGTTATAGTAAAATGTACTGCATAGGGTAAGGTTAATAAAAACATTCCTAATGGGTAATTGTACAGTGGATTGAGTAGAGTAAGAGGCCACAATGTCACATTGTACAATGGGTTATTGAACAATGTACAGAGTAGGGTAAGGTTCAAAGTGTATGGTAGCATTCTGTAATGGGTTATAGTAAAATGTACTGCATAGGGTAAGGTTAATAGAAACATTCCTTAATGGGTAATTGTACAGTGGATTGAGTAGGGTAAGGGGCCACAATGTGACATTCTGTAATGGGTTATTGTAAAGTTTAAAGAGTAGATTTAGGGTCATAGTAAACATTCTTAGATTTAGGGTCATAGTAAACAATGTATTGCCACATTCTAAGTAATTAAATACTTACCTCATACAATGTGACATCAAATGAGAGGATGGCCGACTCATTGAAGATGATGTTTAAATTATAGCCCGGCTCTATGTGGACAACAGCAGTGTGATCACCGCCCACTTGAGTCAAGTTCTGCATCCTTTCCCCGACAACAGGCATACCATCCGAGTCTACGGCCAGGAAACCAACTTGTGCATACTGGCCCAAGTCAAGCAAATTCAGCTCTTGGTCAGGGATTTGGATTTCGGAAATTGAGATTCTCGATTTGCTGTCCTGTAAAATAATCCATAAAAAACACATATACAACACAGATATGAAAGTGACAGTTTAACTGCATGGTGATCAGCAGTTTTAGCATTTAATATTTATTTTTCTCACTTCACTACTAATTGTTCAACAGTTCTATGTGTGGTACTCACAGTGCAGAGACAAAAGGTTCAAAGCAACATGAAATTCAAAGAACTAACATTTTGAATGTAATCCTTGACAACACAAAGCCATTCGGATTGATATGTCTCGCCTGTGCCCCGCTTTAACCATCAATGCACCTATCAGAGAAACTAACTTAAACGCAAAAACTTAATGTTGATGGAGCTGCTGACAGAGTCAATGGACTATGGAAGGTAGGCCGCATTCAGCATTTTCTGCATGGGTTGAGATGTACTACCTAAGATGCATCTATGGTCCAAGTTTGGTTGGTCTAGCGCTAATGCTTTCAGTGAAACCAACTTAAATGCAAAAACCTAATATTGACGCCGTCATCACCGGGAAAAACAACACCATAGTTTCACTTCCAATTCGTAGAGGCAAGACATTAAAAATGCACCAGTGTGGTCATCATTTTTACCTTTAGATGATCATTTCAAACTGGTTTTCCCTATAAATTTCAATACTTACAGAAAATACTCTAAATTAAAAAGTTGAGTTAATCTAGTCTAGTTAAACATGAAATCAATTGTTTAAATAGAAGGGCTAGTAAAAATTCACCAAAATAAACAATATCTAGTGTTTACCGGTAAGCAATTATTTTGATTCACATATATCTGGGTTTGAAACACTTCGAAGGATTAATGTGAATAAAGTCTAACATGGCCTGCCTATGCTGCTCCAGAACCTACCCCATTGCCTTGCTGATTGTAGATCTGTAGACGTTTGTATTCTGCACCAGAACTGGTAACAGTGTCGCGTGTGTACACAGTGCCAGATGCTCCCATCTCTCCACCTCCCAGTCCTCCTGTAGATGTAATGTCGCCGATGAAGTTGTCCTCTTCGAAGACGATGGCCACACGGCCTCCTCCACCTCCGTTTCTCGCTGCTCCACCTTTAACCTGAACAAGTAGATGGGAGTCCAATTGAAGTTATAAAAATAAATTTCCGTCAGACATTGTTGAGCTTGTATTATCATAGATTTTCATCACATACGCCTTCAACGAAGCTTGCACATGCAAATAGAGGGTTTTATAGTGTCTAGTTGCTTGTTTTCACTGATGATTTAATTTTATTTTTTTGGTGAATTTCGCGCAAGCTTAATTATCGTGAATGCATGTACCTCTAGGGAATAAATTTACAAAAAGTTCAAAATAAAATTGTCGAATTAGTGCTGTTCTGAATCTTCTTGAATTTGACAAAAAATGGCAACAGAAATTATGTATAAAAAAAAATAATAAAAAGTACTTGTGTATAATATGAATTCTATCAATATTCAAATCCGTATTTTATCACTTGCACATTATTCACAAAATTAAAACTTTTAAGAATAAATTTGGAATGATACAAATTTTTAGCACTACAGATATACATGTACGCTGAATTTAATATTGAAGATACAGAATTAGCATTCTCTCAGCTGTAAGCATGAATTTGTTAGGCTATAACCAGGAATAACAAAGAGTTGATAGCCAGGGCATACCTCGATTGTCCCGGTGCCATCAAACTCGGTAGTGTTGATGTATATACTGCCACCAGAACCACCCCCGGCGTAGGTGGCGTCAGCTGACTGTCCATTGGCGGTTAAGTTACCATCAACTTGTAACTTTGTGCTCAAATGGAAATGGAGGATTCCTCCACCACAGCCACCAGCCACAGAATTACCAGCAAGGTTGGTACCAGTTCCTCCCGAGCTGCCGTACTCGTTTGGAAAATTGAAAAAGCCATAACCTGTGGCAGGTGTGTGATCCTCATTTTCTGATCCACCCTCTCCTCCGTAACTGCCTCCTAACCCAATACCAGCAGCAGTAACTCCTTGCCCAGTACCTGAAGAGTACAGATACATTTGTATCAGCTGATCAGTCTACATCATAATTCGCTATTAACTATTCTTCTTAAATTATCATAACATTTTGGCATGTTATTGTGTTTCTTACAAAATGGTCATGGTAATTTTCTGTAACTAAATATTTTTTTTATTATTACTATTATTTATTTTTTATCATCTTATTTTTCAAAAGATTTTTCATATAAATATAGTTATAAAACAAGTATTTTCATTTTCACACTCTCTTGCACAGGTTTTTACAAATACACTCATCATCATCATCATCCTAATCACTATCTCATCATCATCATTGTAACTAAATATACCAGATGATTATACATTCATCATTGTAACTAAACATACCAGATGTTTCTACAATAGTATAATCATTTTTTCGACAGACACAATACTTTTTATGTTGTCATGGGTCTATAATTGCCAGGGCTATTTGTTCATATTACTACTAGTTAACAAACATCCTTGTACGAATTACTAGCACTGCCACTTAAGGAAAACAGCACTGCCTGTTAAAGAGAACTCAATATTTTAGAGAGAAAAAAAGAAAAGATTATTTTCCAATTATAAAAAATGAACAAGATTTTTTTTTTAATTTACAGGTAAAGATAATGCCTGTCAAGAAGGAGACATTCTTTGTTATTTGTACAGTTTCTTTGTTATAACCTGTATATATTGTTTAACTCATTAACCTCTGAAGACAGACACATTTGAACCCTTCCAATTCAAAGGTTGGAGTAGTTCATTATGAAACTTCAGGGGTGAATGAGTTAACTTGTCTGTTAAAAACAGCTGTGCTCTCAATGAGTGACAAGTGACAAGAAATTTAATCAGATACATTTCGCGGAGGACATTTTTCATTGTCTTAACTTAACACAGATCAAATGTTTGCGATCCAGTACCAAGTAATAAGCTATATATGAGAAAGTGAACTTACCTCCAGAACAGTGGCCTTTGTAGTTTGAACTAATTGTACCCAGTACATCAATGATGATTGTGTTTGCCTCCACATAGAGTTTCTTGGACTCCAACAACCCTCCAGGGTACACACGCAGGGTATGACCTTAAAGTTAAGTACAAATAATTTCCATGAGATAATCACTTACAGCAATTTTTCTATCATTACCGCATAATTTTGGGTGTTTAAGTGGGCTAAATTCTTACTTGTGTGATTGACAACGTAATGGTACTTCTGAGTTGGAATCTCTAGGAGGCCCTCATTCTGATCAAATGCTAAATTGAAAACTTACCAATACCACAATACTGTATTCTGGGTCAAACTTTCACCCATCAAAGGTAGAATCAATATTCGCCCAGTTTCGATGTTGTCCCAAACATGTAGATACAATTTATTATACGGTGAATACTAACAGTTGCTGTCATGAAAAAATCACCCTCATTACCGAGGGTGAAAATGCGAAAGTTAAACTGTGACAAACATTTCCCAGTATCAGGATAAGTAAAGATGTGTTTTTCTATTGATTATTTTTGTATTTTCAAGTATTTATGTCATGCTTTTGTTGTTGTAATGAATTAAAAATTGGTTATTAACATACAAACGGTCACTATGTATAAGGATTTCATACGAATGCAAACTGTACAATGTTCGAGACTATCTTATTGTGTTTGACAGGCAATAGGATCTCAAAGGTTGTGAAATCTCACCGATCAAGTTATGGGAATCATCGCCGTTCTGCGTAAACATACTGCCATTATTGCGGACACTCAGAGTGTTGAATACCAGCTGATCGTGACGCACATTAAATATATCTCTCATCTCAAAAATTTTCAAGATACCTGAAATGAAATTACATGAGTATACTTCTTAGACAGGTTGTTCTGAAATGATTCAGTGCAGATGCAAATTCTCATGGAACTTTTGACATGATATTTTAAACTCCATATCTCTCTAGCTCATGAGAGAAGACAGCTGTGACCTTGACCTTAAAATTTAGATGAGAAAAATACAATATGACACACAATGAGTTTAATAATCACTTCATTTAGGTCTTAAAAACTTATAATTACTGGTTATTTATCTTGCAAATATTGAATAGATACATGTGAGGATTGCAATAACTACTGATGCTTTTAAATGAGTTTCCTTGTTTTGTTGGTTATACTGATAAGTTACTTCTACATATGAATAACAGTCAATTTACAACATTTTACACTTTATCACAAACCTCCATCCACAACTGTCAAGTTCTCCACATTATTGATAACACCCTCAATACTGATGGTCACACCGGCGGCCCGGAGCTCTCCTTTCAGAGTTATGCTCCCTCCTTGATAGATAGAAAGGTCATTGGGGAGCTTGCCACTGGCGATGTACTGTGACTGGTTAAAACCAACGTGTAGATGGCCTGATCGGTCCCCTTCGATGATCCCAATACTGATGTCAATAAAGCCATAAGGATCGTCGGGCATCAGGAAAGCCATCTGAGCTCCACGATACAGATGGAGCTCTTCAAGGACAATTTGTGTACTGTTTTTGGTTTCGTTAACAAATTCGGGGTAGTCTGACGGGAGAAGCCAGGCTACAGCACTACCTAAGGTGTAATTACTGTAGGAACTGGTGAGATTGCGGAAAGGGTCAAGTGGTATCCTGTTGTTGTTGTCTAGGTATAGTGTTCTGTTGGATGTAAACGAGGAGAAGGGTTGTTCAAAGTCGGGCATTTTGTGTGCGTAGATTGTTCCAGGGCCACCATTTTCGTAACCACCAGTACCACCAAAACCTTGGAAGGTTCCTGAAAATAAAACAAATTTTGTATGGAATTGATGTTATCTGTCAAATATGTGCAACAAGCATTTAGATTTATAGAACATATTGTTTCTAAATGATACAGTAACATTACAATAACAATGATAGCACCACTGCAGCGTCATAGCGAACACAAACACCTGATCAATATAGCATTTCAGGTTTGTCCAACTCTCATATAATTATTTGAAAGAGAAAACAGGGCTCGATCTGCATGCTTTTTTTTCTAACTTGCTAAAATAAAGATAAAGTTTTGGAAAATGACTACGTACCAACGAAGAAGTTGTGTTGGTAGTACCAAGCCAGCCTGCCTCCGCCTCCTCCACCCCCTTGGGTGGTGTATGATCCATCGTAGCCGTTTCCACCGCTAACATCAAACTTGCCATCACCATCCATTGTGTATGTTAATACCATGATACTGCCACCAGATCCGCCACCACTCCTCACAGAGCTCCAGTTACCTCCGTGGGCAGATATTGTACCGTCTACTGTCAGAGTATGTGTAGCGTTGATGAACAATCGACCGCCACCTTTACCTCCTTTTTGAGGGAATGAGTTGTAGCCACCATCTTTACCGAACGCAGTTGGTGCCACAAAAGACCCGTGACTTGCTCCGACAACTTGTTGACCATTACCTTGACCTCCATTTCCACCATGACCACCACCAGAACAGGCAACTCCACAGTGACCGCTGCCGATACCTGTCAAGTTGAAGTTGTAATACATAATATTTAGATTTCATATTTTGTCTACTAAACATATTTTTCAGTGATGTACAAGTGCACCTATCAAGCAGTGATAAACATGTGGTGTAAAATGGCTTTTTCAACACTAATCCAGTCTGTTGTTAAGACTTGTATTAATTTTTTCCACTAACTAGGCCTAACATTGTTGCCCAATACTTAAAACTCTTATAGTTCTTCTGTTTGAGCCTTTGATATGAAAGAACTTGGGATGTTATCGGTCATTTTTGGCCTCATAAAAAAAATGAAATTCATTCTATTGGTAAATTGGGGCTATCTTTCCAAGTGAATTTGTTTTTCACAATGAATATGTAGATGCCACACCATAGCCAAAACAATTGCCAAAATATGGTGTTATTTGACAATTAGCATGCAGAATAAAAGGGGATCCTTAAAGATAAACCACACGGTCAACCTCATGGTCAACTGTGAAGACTTATGAATTGAGGAAGTACTGTTACCAGTGTTGCGTTCCTGTTTTGGTACTGCTTCGGCTACAGTCAGCTCCCCGTACGGTTCCACTGTGATGTTGGTATACCACAAGGCCAGGTCATTGGAGGACAGCTGTAACAAATACCCCAATATGTTTACATTATAATTAAAGTTATCGCAATATGTCAAAAGACACTTTGTCTCAGGTGACCTAAAAAATAATATTCAATGACAACTCAACCATATTTTGTTCAAGATGCTAGCATTTGACCTCTGTGAATTTAATGTGATGTGGGTCAAGGTGATTTATTTGAAGAAACTTGATAGGATTAAAGCAGAATCAACATAACATATATCATGACTCCTGGCCATGTGGTTCTGTAGAAGATCTCATTTAAAGGAAAAGTCTAAAATCAACAACCTACAGATGACAGCACTGCACCACAGCAAAAACTAACAAAAAAAATCATACCAGGTGGGCTTAACAGGTAATGAAATTTTTCCTAAGGATTGCTCAGCCCATTGTTTAAATCACATAAAAAATCACTGTTCCCCATACAGTCCCTTAATAGCAAGTGTGTACCTTAGCACCACTCCTGACAGTGAGGGAGGTCCCCTTCAGTGTAGTCAGGGCCTCCAGATCAGTGATAACATTTAATTCGGCAAAAGTCTTTACATCCAGGCTGTCTATCTGGTTCACGGTTTCTTGAAAGTGGTCTAGAGACATTCTACAGCCAGAGTTTAATGTCACATTCTCCATCCTATCAAAATCACCTGAAAAGTTATTACAAGATGTGCACTTACATTCAATTGAACATCAGGTTCTTTGTAGAATTTCTATGCATGGTATAGAATGATTCTTGTAAGCAGTAGTGTATGATTTTGATGAAGAATGTCCACATAGGGAATTGTACAAGGTTAATACTGGACCTCTGACAAAGAGGATGTCCTTTTAGTCTAACGTGGGCATTATGTATCTCTGATGAAGAAATTGAGGTGCCTATAATCTCAGTCATCTATATGACGTCTGATGAAGAAGTATTTGTACTGCATACCTGTAAGTTTTCGCCACAGGTAACTTTCACCTTTTTTGCCCTCAGCAATAACGGCAAATTTATCATAAGGAATTGTCAATAGACAATATGCTACATACAGTCAATACATACATGTATGACAGGGATATTAACACTGGGCAAACATTGATTTAAGTAGTGAATGACGAAAGTTCAATGGGGGAAAGTTTTCCAGTACACAATACATGTACTCCTATATTCTCAGGTGAGAAGAGGGGGTCTTACCTCTGATGTAAAAATCAATGTCCCTGCAGTCAATGGTAGGTGGGAGTGTGAGGTGGGAATTCCGTTCTGTTTCAATACTAAACTGTATCAGTGCCCGGTCTGGTGTGGTGGTCATTGTCTGGTTCTGTTTCACTTTTACTTGACCTGAGTTATCCCCGTTCACTTGATGAACCATTAAGTGAGCTTGGCTACCAGACATGGCCAGACTAGCACCTCCCTTCACATGGATCTAGATACATACAAATAATGTGGTGTTTAATATCAAACCTGCAAAGGTTGGTTTTCTGGCATTGCAAACTTAAAATCATTTCAGTACCTGAATATCTACTTGAAAGAGATTTGACTGCATCAAGAATGAAAATCCTGATGTTACTGTATATACCGCAACTTAACTACGATTTGGAAAAGTTTTGAATTATTTTTTCAAAAAAGATTCAGATTATATTTCCAATACATCATTATCAACATCGCTTATACATGAAGCTATCATTAAAGTAAATATTGAATATAAGCTAATGACTTTTCTTTAAATTGGTAATTCACGAAATCTAAATGTAAACGAAATTCATGTTAGATGAGGCCTGAGGTCTCACCTCCTCAAACTCGTAAACAGCCATATTGTCGGTTTCGTGGAGTATGTAGGCAGTTCCCTGGTATCTTGAGTACGGGGTCTGAGTATTGGCTGCAGGATTCTCAATCACAACAAACTCAACCTGGTCAAGGGATGCCTGCTGGTCTGTACTTTGTAATCTGATGGTCACCTAATAGTGGAGGAACAACTCAATTAGCAAACATCTTGTAGAACATATCACACACAAGAATGTTTCAAATACCTGCAGGTATATTAAATTTTTGTTAACTTGCTAGCATTCTCTCCATGTATAATAACGGATTAGTTTCCCCCACCAAAACTCTCATATATACATTGCAGGTGTCAGATTTTATTGACACAAATGTAAAATAAATGTTATTTTCATTCTTAAACATCTGTTATGGTATGTACATCTTTTAGAAGCACATACCAGATAATAAAACTGAGCATAATGAGAGAAATAAGGTCAAAGTCAAGGGATCTTACAACTTTGACCTTTCACATTAAACAACGGTTTTCATACATCGTAAACATAATAATAAGTCTTTAATATAAACCTCATTTCGAGCCACCTTTACGTGTGCCTACCTTGTCGACGTTTCTATAGATGTCCACCTCACCAAATGTTTGGGGCGCATCGGGATACTGACAGCCTTCACTGCTGATGTAGTTTCCAGTATGGTCAACCTCTACTCCTCCCAGCTCACTGACGACCCAGAAATCACTCCGGTATCTTCCATAGGAGCTGAAATAAAGGTCAACCAGAACTCTGTACAACAAGCAGCTTGTAAATGAACACCAAATGTATGTAGGAAAACTGTGTTAAATGTTCTTGTAATTATGTAACTCTGAGACGTTTCATAAACTTGTCATAGAAATGGTAGATTGTGACATAGTCTAATATCAGTGGGTATGTAAGGGCAGACCGTCTATATACTTGTCATTGCAATAGTAGACTGTGACATGGTCTATAAGGGTAGATCGTGACATGGTCTATAAACTTATCACAGTAGGAGAGATGTGATGTGGTCTATATACTTACACGTCACAGTAGGGTAGATTGTGACATGGTCTATATACTTACTCGTCACAGTAGGGTAGATTGTGACATAGCCTATATACTAACTCGTTACAGTAGGGTAGATTGTGACATGGCCTATATACTTACTCGTCACAGTAGGGAAGATTGTGACATGGCCTATATACTTACTCGTCACAGTAGGGGTACACTCGGACTTGTTGTATGTACAGATTATGTGGCAGGGTGAAAGTCACATTGACGTTCCTGGCTGTGCTGATGAAGGGCAGCCCTGTGTTGGTAACTCCTGACAGTGGATGAGAAGTGTTGCAGGGACTTCCAGTCGACTCCACCAGAATGTCACTGTATGTGCTGTACAATCGGTTTGAGCTACTGGAAGGGGAAACTAGGCTCAACATCTCAGAAGAAATTTGTTCACTGCTTGTGTGACCATTGTTGTCAACGATGAATTTGCGGTAAGGGTGCGTCGCGTTTTTAGCATCCTGGAGATAGGCAGTGCCAGATCCTCCGTACTGTTCGTTGCCGTAACCACCATGGATGAGGTACTCCCCTGTGAAGTGGTTCTCTTGACTGTGTTCTATAGAGATTCTCCCTCCAGCTCCCCCTCCTCCATGTATAGAGGCTCCTGTGGACAAGCACAACTTTTTTAAAAAGTGTTAAAAATTAGTGAAAGACTGACATATCATTCCAGGAAGGAGATGCTTTCACTTAATTTGCACCATGAGTTAAGGGTCAATAGGCTTCTAAAGGTAAAATATCATATAGTTGAATTTAAGCAGTTTAGGTCATCTTATTAATAACTTACAATGACAACTTATCAGAAATTTCTATTTTTCAGAGGTACATTATTATACCGAATTTAAGTAGATGAGGTTAATTTAATTACTACTTCTGATGATAACTTCCATATGTTTTTGTGTTCTTGAACATGCTTTTTCATTTATGGTAATGATCTCATTGTCTTTTACTCATTTACGCCTGAAAACACATTTGAACTCTTCCGATTCAATGTTTGGAATAGTTTATTATAAATATGAAGGGGTGAATGAGTTAATGTCTTTTATAATTGATTAAATATTACTACACTGACAAATACAGAAACATCCATATATAAAGGGTCAAATTTTATTTCAGCAAAGTTAAGCAACTTTCTACACAAAAATTAAAATACAGGTGTCTAAGGGCAAAGCAGTGTACGTACAAGGTGTATATAGCTAAAAAAATCTTATTTACACAACACCATACCTGCACCACCTGTGGTCTCAATACTTCCAGCACCGTCAAGGTGTCCAACACTGACGAAGATAGAGCCACCAGCTCCACCTCCAGCCGTAGACCCACCACCACTCTCTCCGTTTGAGTGGAGACGTCCTTCAACTCTCAGCTCGTCGGACACATTCAGATGAATAATACCTAAACAAAGCCATGGGAAATCACAATAAATTTATTTTTTATAAGAAAAAGGCATAATAAAACACTTAACCCCTTTCATAAGGAGTCCCTTACTAAGGAACTTTAATAATGTTTTTTATTATTAATAATAATATGAAACTGGTTAATTTAGAACTGAATGCAGTCTTTCAACAGCACTTGTGTAATTCTGAATTGTGAAACAATGAACGGAAAAAAACAAGGCTACCATGAAGCAATACATACTACACCCTTCATTTACAAAATCTGCCAATCTACCATCATACTATATGCAGCTTGTTGTTAACTGAAGGATATTGTAGGGCCATCAAAAACAGAGAAATGTTTCAGAACAATAAGCTGTACTACCAGGCATTTTGACCAGGTGAGCTTATAACAAACATATTTGCGTTTTTTCACCTTTCAGTTGCCGTCAGATATAAAGAAGAAGAGTTCCATTTAAAGGAGTTTTTTGACATGGAGTAAACTTCCTTCTTTATATAGAAGATGGAGCAACCAAAAAGAGTTTTTCTGTCTAAACTTCCCCATATTATTCCTAGGCTTTGTGGTCTATAAATTTGAGACACATTTTGATGCTGTGAACACAGTTCCCGAAAGGCAACACGGGTAAAGTCTCCACTTCACAATGTACAGGTCTGGAGTTCCACCTCTGCACATTTTTCTGTTTTCTTTTTCATTTGTATTTATTTTCCAACAATCAAATTATGAACAACTGAAATTCTGTAAAATGCATTGCAACATGTGTTTTATAAGGAATAATTCTTTTGATCTTATTTTTGCAACAGTGCCAATCTTTATAGTAGTTTGATTAGGTGGTACTCTATACCACACATCTTAGTCTAAGTCAGATGTATTCCTTTAAATAAACATCTATTTTTTCAATTACTGTATAATTTGGCCCCCAAAATGACTTATATTATCAATGGACTGTTCAACAATACCAAAACAAAACAAACCTCAACAACGAGATTAAATATGCGTTGCTAGTAAAACTTCTATTCATTATTGAAGTTTTACTGTAAATGGTAAGATTCCACTTACCTCCCCCGCGGCCCCCTAGGTCTCCGAGGAGCCCTGCACCTCCTCCACTACCCATATCTATGGGAAATTTGAAGGAGTCGTAAGCTTCACCAGAGAAGTGGCCATATAATGACCGTCCACCCCTGCCTCCGTGCCCTCCACCGGAACCCCCTTTGTGGTTTGTGGCCGAGAGTCCAACACCTGGACCCTGGCCTGAGGAGTAACCGGTGTAGTCTGCATGGAAGTCCCCTGTAAAGAGCAAAACAGACACCATCTCAGCATCCTCAATACTACATAGTATTCTCCTCTAAACTTACATAACAAAGTATACATCTCAACTAATTCTAAATCTTACAACTGTGCAGGATATTGAAGATATAAGGATCTGTTCTGGACTCTATATTTTGTCCATATCAATTGAATCCAACTAACTGCCCATTCATCCAACTAACTGCTTATCCATCCAACTAACTGCCTATCCATCCAACTAACTGCCTATTCATCCAACTAACTGCCTATCTATCATACTAACTACCTATCTATTATATTAACTGCCTATCTATCATAATAACTACCTATCTATTATATTAACTGCCTATCTATCATACTAACTACCTATCTATTATATTAACTGCTTACCCATCATTAGCTGCTTATCCATCTTACTATCTGTCTATCAGCATATTAACGGCCTATCCATCATATAAACTACTTACTTATCATGCTAACTGCCTATTCACTATCATATTATCTGCTTTTCCATCTATTTATTAATTTCTGTTTAACTTAATCCCTGAATGTATCTGAAGACATGTATCAAGCATGTCATTAATGGTTCATAGACTAGTAAGTTTATTAAAGCTAGCGAGTGACTGTGATTAACAGTCACATCTGTAACTATTATACAAACATGAAGGTTTAGGCTTGTTGTACTTACCTGATAGATCCACAGTGATGTTGACGGCGTTCATCTGAAGGCTGTTCGTTCTGATATAGCCTTTGCCGTTCACTATAACCCTGGTGGCTGCCACGGTGATCTGTGAATTATTGGTGGTCAGTGGCTCAAACTTTCCGCCGGCCCGTACAGAAATGTTGGTGACGGCGAATGTTCCGAGCGGCGAGCCCTGAGTGTTGACATATGACCAGATGTACAGCTCTCCGTTATCTTCTATCGCTACATCCTGTAGTCCAATCACTGTCCCGTTGATCTCCGACCAAACCTCACGTAACGTAATCTTCTCCGGAACCTCTATCACACTCAATCTGAATAGCAACAGTAAGTCAAGATATTAGAACAAAACGGAAATTGATGCCGTGCCATTTCACAAGGGGTCAAAAAACTATTTTTCTGCTTTTCCGGTTGATTCAGAAAACAAAATAAGTAGTGGACCCACAACCCTTATTAATAAAATATGATATAAGCAAATTAAGAAATTCACTGAAGTTTTCATAGTCATTAAACTGTTAAGATACATGTAATGATTATAGTGATGTTCTTAACAACAGTTAGATCTATACAACTGCAGTAACCACCGGTAGTGCCAGGAGTTATGTATGTATACCCTGGAGTTACGACTTATCATACAGGAGTTATGTATACCCTGGAGTTACGACTGATCATACAGGAGTTATGTATACCCTGGAGTTAGGACTGATCATACAGGAGTTATGTATACCCTGGCGTTAGGACTGATCATACAGGAGTTATGTATACCCTGGAGTTACGACTGATCATACAGGAGTTATGTATACCTGCATTATAGACGAAGTTGAAATAATTTTTAGTCAAACCTGTAAGATTGTATTCCGAAAGTCCAAAAAGTGGTTGCTTTACAAAGGGGGTCTCTTAATACGGTTCAATTCACAATAAAATCACTACAATGGGTAACATTAGAAGTGGTCTCTTAACAGGTGGTCTCTTATATTAATGGAGGTGGTTGCATGAGCAGGCTTGAAGGTACTATATTACGATTACCCAATTGTAGGATAAATCGGATGAACAACAGATTTGAAAATGAAAAACAAACATTTAGACGAAGCTTACACACAATATCAATCACAAACTTTTATTAAACAATTTTCAGATAACGTTTCAAATGATAAACCTGTATATGGCACAGTACGTAGTATATCAACAAATGTATTTATCTGTTCAAAGAGATTAAGGAAGTGCAATGAGCTACAAACCTGTATGCCTGAAGGTTGAATGGTAAATATTCGTTCAACTTCAAAAACTTGCACGTCTGATATACCCCACAATGCAGCACAGCACTCCTATCGCCACTAATGACATCCAGGTCAATGACTGCTGAAGCTGGGGGCACCGACAGGATAGCAACATGGGCGTTTCCACTGATGGACATCGTGTCGAATTGGTAGGTCCCCACATCTTGGTACAGCCAGGTGATCCCGCCAGCTTCAGTCCGGTCGGTGTAATTACCATCGTTTAAGTTTCGTCGATCGCCCTGAATAAACTGATATCCCTTTGGATAGGCATGGCCATTGTTGTCGATGTACAGGGCACGGTTGGTGATGTTTCCAGTAGCTTTGTCAAATGTTTCAACATATATGGTCCCAGCCCCACCCGTCTCTGCAGAACTTGTACCTAAAATATTACAATACAAATCTGTATGTCTGAAGAATCTCATTGAAATTAAATTACTACATTATTTATACCAATACCAAGTATGTGTTCAATATCGTACATGTGAAATAAGTTTACACCTTTTCTTAAGCAGACAGACATACAGACAGACAGACTGATAAGTTCAATTAATGCTGTGATTCCTATATATAAGGCATACACCCGCATCTCTAATGCAAGCCCTAAGAATATGCATGCTCAAAGATCAATTCCAAATCTAATTTTCCGTTACAGTTTCAGAAATCCAGAATAAAAGCATTGAAATGAAGCCCTGAAACTTGGAGCTGAAAAACAACACAGAATTATTGCAAACCTCCATATGCCTTCATGGTGATGTTCATCTTGATGATGTTGCCGCTCTGCACAGAGATACGCCCTCCTCCTCCTCCACCACCGTGGACAGAGTTATATGACAGGCCATTCCCTCCGTTTGCGTTCATCAAACCATGACCAACAATTTCGTCACACACAATCCATATGCTTCCTCCTGCACCTCCACCTGATCAAACATGAAGATAAAATATCACAGAAATCATTAAACTTGTGAAAGTAAAAAAAAAAAAAAAATCGTTTATTAAAAGATCTTCAAAATGTGATTGCTTATTATCATATTTATCTGGATCAAGTTAGTTGACTTTCAAAAACGTCTAATGTAGCTTTTGAAAATTAACAAATGAGAATCCAATATATACGACATAATGAGTTAAAGAATCTATTTATCATATAACCTTTTTCTCAGAAATGTCATTTTTTATAGGTTATTTTCTGTTAGCTGCATCTCCTGACTTTGTTCCTTTCAGCATTCTCTTATACAATCATACTAGTTTGATAAACATAGATGAAATGAGAAGGAAGTTATGCTCAAGACATACTTTGGTAACAAAAGTTAACGGACAGTCATAACTGTTTATACATGTAGTAAAGAGCAAGTCCCAAATAAAGTGTGTGACATACAACCTCCCCCAGACACAACAGTATAGTTAATTCAGTGAATGTGATAAATAAAATAGTGTTGACCTCTAGCCAGACAGCCAGCCATAATACATTCTGTTGCAGGTATGTATGTACACAGAACAATTCTAATCAGTGATCAAATTGATATAACCTAACTCCACCCTAGCCAGACCTATCCCCTCCTTCAGAAAGGAGGAGGGAAAATCATTAACATCATTTCAGCCACACGAGAATATTGTACTGGACAGTCCAAGGTGAAGGTTTGAAACAAAAACCCAAACTATACACGTGGACTGCATACTATAACTGATGTGTTGCTGATGTAGACTTACCTGCTCCCAATCCAAATGTACTGTGTGCCTTGTCACCATTAGAACGTATTTCACCATCAATATCGACATGGCGACTTTTTATGTACAAAAGTCCACCACCTTTGCCTCCGACATCACCAGTCACCAGATCATTGCGCAAAGCATTATCCCCAAAGTACAGAGAAGCTGTAACAGCGAAAAAATATCATTAATAAAAAAAATCATGTGCAACTTCCAATTTTTTTTTTTCGCAAACCGAGTCAGACTAGCTGTGCTGTGATTTAAAATCATTTTGACTGAGCAAATTTTCAAAGTCACTGTTTTGGGAAATATTTCTTTATTAACGGTTTTACATTCAACTGACTTACCACCATAGTATCCATAGCCCCCAGCACTGCCGTAATGGTCGGGGCTATAAATAGAGCCATGTCCTTGACCTGTGGTGCTCTGTGATGCACCTCGGCCACCACTGCCACCATGACCACCACCACTGCCACCCGAGGTCGAGCCTGCAACAGATGTTCAGGGTTTCCACTCATCATCCTGTTTCATTTTCTTAATATTACCTCAATGGGTCTTCACACAAATTCAATATGAACTACCTGCGGTCTCAAGACCTTTTGAGGTTTATACCTCATAAAACCCATCAGAACAGGGTTCAATAAATAAAAAATAAAAAACAGTTCTGATACAATGTTATATTACTATCACTATTAACTCCATACTGTTATTAACTTACCCAAACACTGTACCACATCACTAGTAATTTGATAACAAACACAATTAATATCAAGAGATAAAACAATCGGAGCTGAGAGTTAAATCAATCGTCACTGATGGTGGTAAACAGTACATTTATTGGATTCTACAACAATTATTTTTGCACATAATATTGTTAACAATGACAACATTAATGTCAGTACTACAAAATATAATGATACTGAATAGATTACCTGTACCGCCGCCTACTCCGTCCGGCCTACGCTGTCCGGCTGCAGACAAGTCGATCAGACCACCGGAGTAGATAGCCAGCAGATGATGAGAGGTGAAATTTACACCTGTGTTGGCATTGAATTCTCCTCCACCATAAATCTACAGAGACAATCACATTTGATGCTACAGACACATGAAGTAAGGAACTGGTGTTATGGGAGAGATGGTATACATATCATGAATACATTTTTTAACATTATGTTTTATTCTGGTGAAGAGGATCATAACCGATCAGGTACCACAAATAAACTTAACACTTTAAACTGAAACAAATTGTTAACAAATATTAACTTAAAACTGAAATTAGAAAATATCTTTAAGGCATGAATGTCCCTGCTCTCATGTAAATTAGTGTCATTGTTTGACATTTTTTTTATAAATAGTAACAGTGATCATGATCCTGACTTTGGGTTTCTTTGTAAAAATGTTGATCAAAATTTGATAACAAGTCATGAAGTTGCCGTGCAATCACTGTTTTGGTAAACAATATTTTTTAATAAATAGTAACACCGACCTTAATCTTGACCTTGAAACACTGGAATACAAACACCTTTGAGGTGTGCTTTAACATTCTGTTTAGTAATGAAGTGGTTAGCATGATGACACTGAATTGGAACAGGAAGGACATGGTTCATATTATTAACACTATCCGTCCCCCACTCTACCCCTCTCCCCCTCCCCTACTAGACCCTATGTTGGAGTATACTCACTGTGACGTTGGTGATAAAGACATTGAACATGTGGTTCTCATCATACGACTTCATGGCAAATGTTCCCTTGTCCTGGACATGTAGTGTGTTGGCAGATATGTGGGCAGGAGTGGCCACACCAATACTGCCGTTACTGTCTACTCGCACAGAACCGCCATCAAATACATAGATATCCTCCATACCTTGTACCTGTGATCATATGCATACAGATAATACTCACATGTATGTCCCACACGCAAAAATTTGCATTAAAACTTGAACAGACCTTCCGTTAAGCACATAAATATCCCTACGACATACCAAAAATTTCCTTGTTTTGCATAATATGTAATTAGGCACTTCTTTACACTAAGTCTAATCGTATTTTGAAAAACCTGTCAATTATTTATTCACATTTATTAAACAACAAATATAAATGGTTGATTAGTCATTCCCTGACATTGAATAATCACAAATAGGTGAACTGAAACTCAAAAGCAACAAGCCATTCGGATTGATATGCCTCGCCTATGCCCCGCTTTGACCATCAATGCACATATCAGAGAAACTAAGTTAAACGCAAAAACTCAATTCCACTACTTTGTGGTGGCGAGAAAAGTGATTTACAGTACCGGTAACTCATATATCGATACGTTATAGGTGCACTATAGTTACCTCTCCTGATGTATGCAGGTGTGTCTTGTAGAAGAACGCCCGAGGAGGAAATAAAGCAAAGCCAGTCTCATACACGTGGGTGTTGAATGGAATATCTGAGTCTGATTGATTGATGTACATCTCCTGACTGAATCCAACATGGATGTAGCCTGTTTATCGAGTGAAAAGGGAATCTATTCATTCACATATTACTTCATACTGACATTCAGACCACATCTTTTTCTACTGAGATCACAACTTTATATTGACATTAACATTGGGTATAGATCATAACTTTATACTCGCATTGTTAACAAATCCAAAATTTATACAGACCTATCTTAACTTCAAAAGACATAATTGAAATTTCAAAAGAGTTCAATTTCAAACTTACCTGTTTTGTCACCATGAAACTCTCCAATTTTCAAAACAGTAGACGAGAACAATGGATCAGTCATGAATGCTAGATGAGCATTACCCAAGATCTGTACCACATCAAAGTCGAAGGTTTGAGTGCCATCAAATATCCAGGTGGAGGCTCCACTGAGATCAAGGTGATCGTATCTGTCAAACAGTGTCATTAAAAGAATTAATAAGTTGACCTCTGAATAATGTCTGAATTTTAACTTTTATCTAAAAATAAATGATATCTCTTACACAAAATATCAACAAAATTTATCATAATTTTCAATTCTGAAACGTAAGCAAGCATATAAGACTCTTTGAGAGGTTTTCTATTAGGAAGGCCTGTTTGCAGAACTATATAATCAGAAAAGTCTCTCTGGGAACTTACATGTTTGGAAAGGCCTCTAGGGAAATCTATCAGGCTCAGGAGCGCCTGTAGACTAACAGGCTGGGAAAAGCTTTTATACTGTACCTACCTGTTAGTTAACTGTTGTCCATCTGTAAAGATCTCAACCTCAGTCAGACCAGCGTAAGAGTTACACAGTCCCGTGTTAGTACCAGTCACTGCAATTTCAAATTTGGTAGCTGGTCGCATCAATGGGAGCACCAGGTATGAGCCTTGTATCACAGGGCTCCTCAAGGTCACGGGGGTGGAGGTCACTGGGTAGGAGTTCCCAGCACCGTCATATCCAGTCACCTGTTTATGGGTAATACATTGATGCCATTAAATGCTTCCAATCTTTCCTTAGAAATAACTTGACAAGAAGCAAGATATACATATTGCGACATGTTAAACAAACAAATTATAATAGAGAATATTTCATGGATTTTATGCAATATTTTCCTTCATGACCTGATAATATTTCAGAGATTTTCATTATTGCCAGCACATGTTATCAAAGTCACACATACATACAGCACAACAATGAAAACAAGGTCTCAGTTCTACTGGCCGTACAATACAAACCATCGTGGTTTACATGGATAGCCATGCAGCAACCAATTTCAGAAGTGTTTAGAACTCAGAATCATTCAGAAGCCATCCAAAGGAATAAATAACAGGTTCAAAAATAATATATACCCGATAACCATGAAAGATGTCCATGATACATGTAATCTAGACAATTGGTTGAAAGTGTACATCTCCCCATATTGCTCATTAAAAACAGTGGCCCAGAAACATTAATCAAAGTAAATGTAATATAGAGAGGCAAAGTGGTTCCTTGTTACGGCACAAGTAGCTTTCTTCAAAACATTCTGAAAGAAAAGGCCCAAGGGGCCTGTTTTTGTTCACCTAGATATTAAAGTCTGTTTGCAAATATGGGGTATGCTGAATCTCACTGACAGATTTGTTTACATCAAGAAAGCTCTGAAGAAAAGTTCATCTATCAAAATGGGGGCCAGTCCAAATGCATTTTCATGGTTTCTGAGCTTACTCTGGGAGTTGAAATGAGAGAAAAATACTCTTTCATGCCCAAGGGTGTAGGATAAGGAAATTCCACCCTCAAAAGTTTCAAATTTTATAATACACTTGGCAAAGCCTCAGGTTTTACCAAATTTGAAAAAAACTTTCGGGTGGAATTTTCCTGTCCTACACACTATGGACATGAAAGAGTCTTATATTATCGATGAGGAGTCAATGTATCATAGGGTGCAACTTTCCTGCTATATTAACCCATACAGATCACACATGTACCGCATGTCTTAACACCACTCACCTGGAACTTTGATGGGTAGGTGCTACTTGGAAAGATCTTGATGTGATTTACAAATTGAGTGCTGGCTAGTGTAATGGTCAGAGTAAATGATCCGGCTTGTGCGAGGTAACTCTGGTAGCGGTTACTGTCCAACGTCTGATCAAACAGGTTCATCAGGGAGTAAGACGTGGCATCATTGGAGTAGTAACAGTAGGAGTTGTGTGACGACCAGTAATGGCTGTGGTAGTTGAATGTAGCAGCACTGGACGCCACTGTGTGGCCCCCCACTGATGTGAACGAAGTACCCTTAGAGTATGCACCTGCGAAAGGGAAATAGAACCTTCAAGTAAGTCAATATACCTTGTACTCTTATGTTGATATCAATCTACCTACATTTAAATGTCTATCAATATATAGTGATTTCCTTTTATGTAAACTGAACCTTATTCCTCATATTCACAAGAATTGATAGTGATTTTCCTCATATTCATTTAAATTGATTGTGATTTCCTTATAATTCTAATTTCGTCCAGCACACTCATTAAATTTAAAGGTATTTTTTTTCCAGTGTAGAAATAAAAATAGCGGTTAATCCACATTTTGATGATGACAAAGTACATAAGGTACAATCTTGTTATAATGCTATTCATTTCATTTATATATATAAATATATATGTTTTAGCTCACTTGGCTTGGCTGGTCAGCAAAATGTATGTAAAAGAATTACCTTTAGATTTAATGAGTGTGCTTGGAGAGGTTATCATTATTGCATTAATAAACGTAAATAAATCGCAACTCGTACCAGAGTAACTTAGATCAAGGCGTTGCCCTTCATTTTGGATACTGGTCTCTTCCTGTACTTGTGTCTGGCCTGCATTGTCTACTCGGAGCGTAGTATGCCCAGAGGTCGAGTTTTGGATGAAAACTGTCCCTGAGGCACCGGATTCTGACCCGGTGGCCGAGTCGCCTGCTCCACCCTGAACATGGTAGTACCCACGATAAGGTGGTATGTTGAAACTAGAGGAGTGATACAGAGCTATTCTTCCTCCTGATCCGCCGCCTCCCTTTGTCTTATCGGCACGACCACCCTTGGCCATGATCTTTCCTGTGTGGCTTCCTGGTAAAGCAAGTGTAAAAATGTACTTAAATTAGTGAAAGTCAAATCATAGAGTAACAAAAATATAAACACAACTGGTAACATCTTTGCAAATGATCTACTTTAATTTATTGTCTCATTAAAATAATAGAAGAAAGAAATGACACAGATTTTGTTGGTATTTAGTACTTGTGTAGAGCCTAGTTTACCTGTGAAGTTAATGACACAGCTTGTGATTGTATTTAGTACTTGTGTTGAGCCTACCTGTGAAGTAAATGACACAGATTTTGTTTGTATTTAGTACTTGTGTAGAGCCTAGTTTACCTGTGAAGTTGATGACACAGATTGTGATTGTGTTTAGTGCTTGTGTTGAGCCTACCTGTGAAGTTAATGGCACAGATTGTGATTGTATTTAGTGCTTGTGTTGAGCCTACCTGTGAAGTTAATGACACAGATTGTGATAGAGCCTTGTTTACCTGAAGTTAATGACACAGATTGTGATTGTATTTAGTGCTTGTGTTGAGCCTACCTGTGAAGTTAATGACACAGATTGTGATAGAGCCTAGTTTACCTGTGAAGTTAATGGCACAGATTGTGATTGTATTTAGTGCTTGTGTTGAGCCTACCTGTGAAGTTAATGACACAGATTGTGATAGTATTTAGTGTTTGTGTTGAGCCTACCTGTGAAGTTAATGACACAGATTGTGATTGTATTCAGTACTTGTGTTGAGCCTACCTGTGAAGTTAACAGTGTTGATAAGGATACTGCCACCACTCCCACCACTGGACAGGTCTGTCGGATTACCAGACACATCCTCACTATTGGATATGATGTAGCCCTCTACTGCCAGAGTATGAGTCACGTCTATCTTCAGACGACCTCCACCTGTCCACATAAATAAAATCTTCTTCAAAACAAATCATGTATTGAGGAACCAAGAGATTCATGCTTTGGAAATATTTTACACAGTTTTTACACTTACATTCTAATATTCTCTAAATGTAAACACTGTCAACCTCAACAAACCAAAGGTTCATACACAGCACAATATCGGGGGAAAATAAATGAGGAAAATATACAAATATCTGTAAAGTATATAGGTGATTCTTATCAATACTGGCTCACTCATCCATTGTGTAAGATGAAAGATTAAAGACTTCATAATGGATGAACTGTTAAAATATGATAACCTAAGGAAATAAAGTTCTTTCGAACAAATCACCTTCTATTTGAATGGCTGTTGTGAGCACACTATCTCCTATATGAAGTTATGAGTTAGCTTGACCAAAATGGACTTATTTTTTATGGAAATTAATTCATTTTTTAAACTAGTACTGACTTTTGTTAAAAAAATTACCAAACAAGCTATAAGTTTAGTTAAAATTAGTTTCCAATACAGGAGCCGATAGAGCTCCTCTACACTGGACTTAAAATTAAATAATTGTATAATATAAAGTTAAAGTTCATTGTTAATAACATTTGCCCTAAAGTAACAATAAAGTTCTTCATTCTGCTAAATTTTATCTACTTTATTCTTAAAAGTATTGATATTTGGATTGGATAAAAAGTCCTCTGGACAGGAAGAAGTAGTAATGTACAGAGTTTCAGTTTAAACCTAACAGACAGGAAGAAGTAGTAATGTACAGAGTTTCAGTTTAAACTTAACAGAATCCAAATTATTGTGTGTAAACAAACATTCAAATGAACAGAAGTAAAGCAGCTCAGACGGACTACATTTTGTTGTCCTGTCTGAACTTCAATGTGATTAGACACAGTGCATGAGTAAACCTACAATATTATTGTAAAGGATTGCTGAGTAGGAACTCCTCTTCAAGACTTTTGGCAACTAGAGATAAAAAAAAACAAATTTTCCTTGACAAGAAATATATAATAGTACTTGTCTCACAGTTCAATCTGTACTCACCTGAGCCGCCATTACTTCCAGCTCCTCCACTACCATATTCCAGAGGTTGATAAAGACTCCCATATGGATCGTTCCGTTTCAGTCGACAGGCCATGTAGTTGTCACAAGCCCCACGACCTCCCAAGCCACCGTGAGAAGCCCCACTAGATCCAAGTCTGTGTAACTCCCCCTTGCCTACAGCAGAGATGATTTTTGTGCATGATCTTCCCAACATTATTGAAAGCTTACAACCAGTACCATTTATTACTATATCTATAATCTTAAATATACAATATTTACCAGGCACCCGATATAACTAATAAAATTACTTTATATTGTATAGTCTTTTAACTTTGTGGGATTAATATTTCCCTGTTGTCCCAATCAGAACTTACTTACAGGGATCGGCAGTGAAAGAGCGAACAGGTCTTGTCGTTAACCTCTGAATATTCATGATATCAATATTTGCTGGGTATTTAATTTCTACATTTGTAGCTATCTATGGTGACCATAATTAGTAGCAAAATTAAATCCCCACAAAAATTACCGTCTATACAGTAACTCTTTAGAGCAAATGAGTAATAAATGTTCTAGAATATCACTATTATTTATGAATATCTATTAAAGCAAGTTAATCTATAGAATTTGCACACTTGTTTCATTTGTATGAATATGGGGAGACAATATTATAAAAAAAAAAGTTCATTAAACACAATTTAGAGAATTTCAATCTTCCCAGCATCGTTACTATGGACCAACAGATACAAAACAAAAATGCTATGTTAAAATTGTAAATGAAATTTCTGGTATTAAATTTGTCTTCCATCTACATATATCAGTTTGAAAACAGAAAAAAAAACCAAGTAAAATTTAATTGGACTCACCGGATCCCTGTTCTGGGGAGTTGCCACCGTTGCTGACAGAAACATTGCCACCATCATCAATGATGAAATCCTCGGCTTTAATGTACATATAGCTACCCGTGATGGCGCCACCTCCTTCTACCTGGACATAGTTAAACTCCAGATGGTACTCATCGCTGCTAGCCCGTGGATTGGAACAGTTGACGAGGGCTCTTGCCTTAATGATGGTTGTTCCATTGATGTGGTACTGACGAGCAGCTCTGCTATTGGTTGAACCAGTCAGTTGAAGAAGCAGCTGAGCATCTCCAATCATAGTCAGATTGATTACATGGTCCATGGTTCCTTCCAGATAAACGAAAACATGTTCAATATTGGTGTCTGGGGCGAGTCCTAAGTACCCGTGCTCGTACACGTAGGAGTTAAATGGTGTGTCCACAAATTGGCGATTCAGATCCATGACCTGCTGTGGACCAACATGAACAGTGCCGGTTCTGTCTCCAATCATGTTCATAAAGTGAAGATTGGCTCCGTTAGACACAGGTTCAGGTAATATGGCCAGATTTGCATAACCATATATAGCGAGCTCATCAAACCGGTAATCAAAGTTGCCTAAGGCCAACGCATGCGTTCCAGCACTTGGCATGATCCAGGCCTTGCAGCTGTCTTCACTGATATCATTGTAGTCTGTGATGTAGTCACTTTTCTTGCTGATCAGTCCGTCATTGTTGACATACAGGGTGATATGTCCGTGTACCTGGTGGTACAGAAGTGTAGTGCCAGGACCTCCAGGGTTAGCGCTTGATGATACCTGTACCTCACCACCATGGTTGTCATAGGAACCGAGATACGTATCATTGACGGTGAAGTAGATAGCAATCCTGCCCCCTGATCCGGCTCCCCCTGTACCAGTTACGGGATAAGGGTCTCCTCCATTGGCTGTGATGTTGCCTAAACCTCGGAACAAATAGCAGTACATCCAAATACTGCCGCCTGACCCGCCACCATCTTGGACGGCACCAGCTGCCCCGCCATTCACACGCATCTCTCCATCCACCTCAATGCGGTTAGTGATATTAAGCCATAGCAAACCTCCTCCTGATCCACCATTGCTGCCTCCCCCTGCACTACCAATGGCATAGGGCTGGTACAAGTGTCCATACGGCTGCCCAGTCAGGGCCGTACCGGAACCGTATCCACCTGTTCCACCATGACCACCACCAGAACCCCCGTTCCCGCTTGCCACACCCTTTCCAATATTGTAGTCTTGTGTCGTTGCATCTGTTGGTCTGTAACCACGTCCGTCAGCATGTAGGGTTCCACCATCATCAATTGTGAAATTGTAGGCCAATATAGTGATGTTTGTACCCATAAATGTACCACCTCCTTCAATATATATGCTTTCATGTGCAGTAAAGATAATACCAGGCTCAGTGACAGGGTCCATAATCGATTCAATGTAAGAATCATCCTGGATTCTTACAAACTGAAACTCATACTCATTAGACGGCTTATTTTCGGTATGTCCACCATACTTAAGTGTCAGTTTTCCTCGTTGGTGCATGGTAACATTCCAAATGTTGGCCAGTGTTCCCTCAAGCCATATGTGCACATCATGGATGATGGTGAAGTTACCAAGACCTAGGTAGGCGTCAGTGTACACTCTGGCACTGAAAGGTAGGTCTATCTCATACCTTAGCAAGTCCAGCTCCTGGTTCTGACCAAGATGCACGGTCCCAGTCCGATCTCCTATCATGTATAAGAAGAACACATCTATCTTCTCACCGACCGGGTCAGTCAGAAATGCTAGGTGAGCTTCTCTATACATTTGTAACTCTTCAAAGTGGTACTCATTATTTTGGTTGGCGAACGAATGGGTACCAGACTCTTGCGTGATCCAGGTGCGACAGGAGTCTGTTGTGAGGTCACTGTAATCAGCGATTACATTATAGGTATTACACTTGCGACCACCATTGTCGATGAGTAAAGTCCTGTGGTCCTCCAGCATGTGGTAGATAAACACTGTCCCTCCTCCTCCATTCTGTGAATCAACTTCATTCCCAGCAAGGCCTCCAAAGGTTTCATAACTGAAGCTCATCATGGTCAGATTAACCTTGAGGTAAATGGCTATACGACCTCCAGCACCCCCGCCGCCTGTGCTAGTAGAATTTGTAGAACCTTGACCCCCATGTGCAGTGATTTTGCCGAAGCCTCTGATTATGTTACAGTACATCCATATGCTCCCTCCACTACCACCACCCCCACCGAAGGAATCTGCATCACCGCCATTAGCAGTTACCTCTCCATCAATGTCAATCATCTTTGTCACATTCATCCAAATGACTCCGCCTCCAGTTCCACCCCGATGACTCTGAGGACCGGGACCACCAGAACTTCCAATGGCATCTGGTTCGTACATATTTCCATAAGCAAAGCCTGTTGTTTGTCCGGTTGTTTTTCCATGACCGCCTGTGCCACCATGCCCGCCTCCTACTCCTGTGCCTTGAGGGAGTCCTAAGTTCACTGGCCTGCCACCATAAGACTGAGAACCATGAGTGGCCTGTGTATGCTGTCCCTGGTATCCAAGTCCTTCAGCAGTGATTTTCCCACCACCATCAACAGTGATGTTTTCTGTATGGAATGTGATGTATGTTCCGTGAAGAACACCACCTCCTTCAACACTTATAGCTCTCGTGTCAAACTCAATACCAGGGTCAGTTACAGGATCTGTAGTGGCATTCAAAACACCTTGGTCTTGTATTCTAACAAAGTCAAACACATATTTACTCAGAGAAGAATTGAGGGTTCTTCCGCCATGTTGCAGCCACAGGTATCCACCATGATGGATTGTTATATTTTCAATATTTGCAAGAATACCTTTTAGATGTATTTCAACTCCATGAACATAGGTCATTGGTGCCAGACCTAGATAGCCACCATTGTATACATAGCAATTGAATGGAAGGTCGATCTCCTCTCTGTGCAGGTCCAATACCTGTCCCCCACCCAGGTGCACTGCTCCTGTCCTGTCCCCTATCATGTATTTAAAGAACAAGGTCATGTTATAATTGTCTGAGGTGTATGAGTTGAGGTTCACAGATCCGTGGCCAGGGATGAACACAGTTGAGGAAGGATTTGTTTGTGGTGGGTAGAATGCTAAATCTCCATTGCCAGCAATCTGTAATTCCTCAAACATATATCTGTAGCTATTTCCTGCAAAGTCATGATCTCCAGACAGTGGCAGAATCCAGGCACGTCCACCATCTTTTGTTGGGTCATCCCAGTTGACATACAGGGTTCTTGGCCTTGGAGCACCATCATTGTCAATGATGAGCGTTCGGTGTTCATAACCTTCATGGAAGACGAAGATTGTGCCTGGCCCACCAGCTTCACAGTCATCGCAAACTCTGCCAGGCAGACCACCATTAGCTAGGAAGCGGAACTCATTGTAGGTAGTGTTGACGTGGAAATACATGGCTATGCGCCCTCCAGCTCCCCCTCCTCCGGTCCTGTCAGTGATATAATGGTTGGAGTACGTAGAACCTTCGCCACCAGCAGCTTTCACAGTTCCAAAGCCAGTAATGCGATAGGTATGGATAAGGATACTGCCACCACTTCCTCCGCCACTGACAGAGGAGCCAGATATTGCCCCATTCCCGCCATTAGAAGAGACAGTACCGTCGATCCAGAGTGTATCAGTGACATTGAACCAAAGACGCCCACCTCCTTTACCACCAAGTACACCTCCTCCAGCACTCCCCGGAAGACTAGGTTCATACACATCATCATACGGCTCTCCCCCTCCTTGACTAGAACCTTAAAAAAATATATATATATGTAACACATGTATATCAAATATCTTTTTAAACAAAGCTTTTTAAAGGTATTACTAATTTTCATCTTTAAATGAGGTCTTTTTACAACAAGTCAACAATTTGGTTTGAGTATTTTTCAAAAGTTGTTTAGAAGGTTTTTTACTTGTGATTGGTAGGGTATTCTCGATTCAGTTTATATATTTCACAAATCTCTAAAAGTAACATGAAAATATCTTTACAGTATTAACTCTAAAACCTCACTATATCAGCAACTGAGCGTCCAACTGATCACAGGTTTAACACCATAACCCCTGAACTATATTACCTGAAGAAATTTTAATATCTTTGTTAAAAAATAGGAAAGAAAGCTACATTCTCTTTCTTCATTTTGAAATCCTCCTGAAAACAGGTTGTAAATGAGCTAACTGGATTGTTTAATTCATTGAAAACCAGAAATGTTGACCTACAGTAGCAGCAAAGTTATTGTTTCATCAGCTTGAATGTGAACATCCTTATTAATGTCCTTTCTGAAAAATTGCTACGCTATTTTTTTATAAAGCATACAATATTCATGTATCTTAAAATTCAACATGGAATGCTGCTTAAATATTAAATTATAAACTATAAAAGCATTTCAAAGCTAAATATTTACCCAGTTGAATATACAACGTATCTAGTACTTAATATAATGATTAAGAAAGCATATTACAAGGTATCTTTTTTATTAAACTGTCTAGACTAAAGAGATGACAATGTTAATATTATAGATTTACTTTCCGCTCGCCCACCACTTCCTCCGTGACCAGCACCACTTCCTTTGACAGAGTCTGTGATTCCCCGTCCAGGGTTGATGATACCGTTGGTTCCCACACGGTCAGCACCGCTATTGTCAGTGCTGAAACCATTAGCCATTTCATACCCAAGTTCATTGGCACTCAGGACACCGCCAGCATCAACAGTGATGTTAGTGGAGAAGTAGGACACAGATGTCCCTCTCACAAGTCCTCCTCCGTCAATCTGTAGGTCAATCGTGGTGAAGTTGATACCAATTTGGTAAACAATGTCAGTGATCATGTGAATATAGCCGTTAGTTTTCACATGTACCCACTCGTAAACATAGTTACTGGGATCACTGCCTGTCGTTCTACCGTCCCTATACAACCATACCTTTCCTTCGCGATAGATGGTCAGGTTCTTGACGTGCGACATGGTACCATTCATGTATATATCAATACCATGAACGTGAGTGTCAGGCGCTAATCCAAGATGGCCGCCGTTGTAAATGTGGACACTGAACGGCAGATCAATTTTCTGCCGCTCCAAGTCCATTTCCTGCTGGTCCCCTATATGGAGTACCCCTGTCCTGTCACCTATCATGTTGTCAAAGTAGATGGTTGCATTCGTGTTGACAGGATCAGTGAGGATGGCGAGGTGGGCTTTACCATAGATCTGTAGCTCTTGGAAGTGGAAGGCAGAGTTTTGTGCTGTTTAGAAAAAACGCAAGAAGAACAATCATTAACTTTCATTGGGTTAACTTTGTCTAATTTCACTTAAGTTGGTTTTATTTTTTTTAATTAGAATGGCACTGTCATTGGTTTATGTAAACATAAAGTGATGTTTGATTCAGTATATATAAAACTAAAATATATAATATAATTTTCTTTCATGACATTTCTAGTTATTTTTTAAGCCCATATTCATTAACAAATGCCATTAGGTATATAAAATTGATGTACATGCGAAGATGTAAGAATTTTTATTATCACATGAAAATCAATTGTTTCTGAGCAGAAAATGGGAAATGAATCCTTAAAATATAGTACCTGTAATTTTAAATAAAACGAGAATACAATAAATCTCTGAGAAACTAAAAATGCTTTGATGACACTGAAAAGTATGAGTTTCAAGTCATGTCATAAATACCCAGTAGTTACTACATGTATATTACAAACCATATTTGTGGTTTCCATGTTCTGGTAAGAACCAGGCACGACCTTCATCCTCACTGAGGTCACTGTAATCAACAATAGCATCGCTTTCGTCTGGACCTCTGTTGTTGTTATTCAGCAGCAAAGTAGAATGACTGTACCCTGAAAAGAGTCAAATTCAAAAAGTGAAACCTTCTGGGTTCTAAAACTTTAGTTTTCAGTAACCTTAGTTTCAGTAACCTTAGTTTCAGTAAAATATCATGAAACTTTTTATTTTAATGACAGAAAAATTTGGCAAGGAAGATTTGGACTGTTGTTAACCTGATCAGCTCAACCAAGCATACCAGAAAATTTTTAAAAATATTTTCTGTTAGTCAATAGATAATCAATGGAAATCCTTAAACATTCTTTTAAAATTTCGATATTTTTGAAATGCAATGGTTTCAAATTTTGTGTGTAATTATTGTTAAGGTAATCATGGTTGTAAGAACTGGGCCCTGATATGCTGTTTATGACACCTGGGCCCTGTGTATTAACACTGTGCATTTCTAGATCTTAAAATACTATTTTTTACAAAGTATTTAATGTCAATAAACCTGATATGCCTATTTCACATAGTACTTTACTTTACTGTCAATAAACCCAATGTGCCTAGTGATGTGATGATTTTTTTATTTTCAACTGGTGTAATTTTGTTACCTGTGTGAAAGAAGAAGATGGTCCCTGGACTGCCATTGCCCACACTGTTACCACCAAGACCGCCATACGCATCAAACTTCCCGGTGAATGTCTTGTTCTCAGCTAAGTATACAGCAATACGGCCTCCTGATCCTGCTCCACCTGTGTAGGACGAGTATACATCGCCATCTCCACCTATTACCTGGAACTCCCCGAAGCCCTGAAATACCAAGACACACAGACAAGTGATCATCTGTTTAACAACTACCCAAAGTATACGTACACAATACCCATACAACTATTTTGAGACCCAGTTTAGTGATTCGACATAAGTTTTCCCTGATGCCGGCAGTTGAACTTGCAACTACCGACAAAATGGATTTACCTGTTGTCAAACACTATAGGCCTTAATGGCTGTCACCTGGTTGGATTAAGAGACTCTCTTTCATAAACGTATGTAAAAGTTAGAGAAATGCCACTTTGATTGTCTCAAATCAGTTGTAATACCAGTGGCTCATTACTCTTCGTTGTTATTTCCTACAGTCTGTACAAATGAGGTGTCCGTAAATGCAACGAGACAATGCCCAGAATTTGCTTTGGTACCTTGATGTTGTTGACTTTCATGTGAATAGATCCTCCACTACCACCACCAGCAGCATAGCTCGTGGCAGTCTCCCCGTTACAGCTGATAGTGCCGTCGTTCTGGAGAGTGGTGTTCACCCGTATATACAGGGTGCCACCACCTCTTCCTCCTGTTGTGCCACTTGTTCCTGAGCCACCACGACAACCGAGGTCAGCAGGTTCAAAAAGTGATCCATAGGGCAGACCAACCCGAGCTTGGCCCCTTCCATGCCCTCCTGAGCCTCCGTGCCCAGCACCTAGAGGGTCAAATTTCTTCTTCTATTAGCCTTTCAGAATGTCTTTACATTAAAAAAGTAAACGACTTAGCACAAAATCTTGACAATATTATTCAAAACTTGTTTAATAGGCTTGTAGCCTAAAATTTGAACCTTTTACCTCAAACTAAATTAGAACCGTTTTCCTGAGCCCGCATTAAGCCCATGATTTATATATTAACTCCTTATTTGATATAGAATAAGGGCACTTTCTCTAAGAAATGTTCCTCCCACAGCCCTGGAAACTTTGAAAATATAATTGTAACACCTATCGTGACATTCTGTATTTTTATTCCAGACTTTCATAATTTTTCGGCAGTCACCCAGTTGGTTTTGTTAGTTAGAAAACTTTAACCTCTTAAATGGTGCTATCACAGTATTGAACTAAAATGAAGTTGCCGCGGAGCACCATCTGCTGAAACAGTGACTCATGCACACTTTTCAGAACGATAAGCAGCTTAATTTATGGGGAGTTAAACTTCAGATAGGAATGCAGTGGAGCAAGAGTAAAAATAGACGGTATGGTTTTTGGGAGGAAGTGTGTAGAAGGAAGTGTATATTGAAGCCTATGACTGAACCCTTAACCTTAGTCACAATACCTAAACCTATATTGAAGCCTATGACTGAACTCTTGACCTTAGTCACAAAACCTAAACCTATATTGAAGCCTATGACTGAAATCTTGACCTTAGTCACAAAACCTAAACCTATATTAAAGCCTGACTGAAATCTTGACCTTAGTCACAATACCTTAACCTATATTGAAGCCTATGACTGAAATCTTGACCTTAGACACAATACCTAAACCTATATTGAAGCCTATGACTGATCTCTTGACCTTAGTCGCAATACCTTAACCTTTAGGAACTCATTACCTGATCCTCCGTAGCCTTGGTAACCTTGACCTACAGTACAGGTTTTGGTGTGAACATCTCCTGTGACCTGCCCAAGGTCATCCACAATCATTGTGTCAGCATCTATGTTGAGTTTGACAGCATGTAACAGACCACCACCCTGTACCCAAAGCTTGTTGGCCTGTTTAAGTAAAACATCATATTTTTACAAAACATTCTATTATTTGGTAGGACATGAAGATATTGCAAAATGGTAGCTATAATTTCCTGACAACAAAATGACATATAGCTTACATGGTTTTGACTTAACTTTTAGCTGCTTCTAAGACTACAACAAAATATTTGTGGCTGAATATAGTGTTAGCAATATTTTTTATGAAAACACATATAATAATGGACCTAACTATCATCCAGAAGAAGAATTTCTGTATCATTTTTATTTTTGTACAAATAGTTCATTTTTTTCAATTTTCCCAAACTTAATAGTAAGATATTCAGGTATCTTTTTGAAAGAAAACAATTGCAATTGCAAAATAAAATATTAAGACAGAATGTCAAGTCCTATGAATAAATAGTTTTTTATCTGAAATCATCAATACTGAACATACCACGATGTTAAGTTGACTTTGGTCATTGGTGAGGTCATCAGTAACCGTGACCTCTCCATCTGCTGCCACGGTAAGGGAGGTGAACGTATACTCGCCAACAGTGCCGGGCTGGGTGATTGCTGTTCGTGTTGTACCTGTCGATCCAAGCTTCAACTTGCACCCACTGCTCACTATCACATCTTCTACACCAAGTATACCCCTATTGTAAAAAATGTAATATTATATTGAAGTATACATCAAGTACTAAACAGTTCCTGTATAAGGTTATTTATGTACAGGTATAATTTTGCAATGAGACAAAAAATTAAGGAATGTTTTCCTAAGTTAACATTATACTGACGTAATTAAAATAAGTATGATGAAAGAATGCATAATATCAATTTTGTAAATTTGACAAAAAATCTATTTGGTTTTTCCCATCAATCTCAAATTACAACATTTGGACAACTGTCGAACAGGGGATCATACAAGTCTTTGATAGACGTATGGAAACCTCAGATATTGTCCAGTAACATCAGTTTAATATTTGGGTCATTTAGATCATGTTACCTTATACTAGTTATAGGCACTGAGGTAAACACAAAAACACATTCTTTTACATTTTGATGTGGTAGAATAGATATAATCATTATATGTTTGTATTTTATGGTGGAATACATACCTCAGGTTTCAAAAATGTCCAAAAATTTGATGAAAAGAGGCAAAAAGGATTGTCAGTGATTAATTTTTCCAACATTTTCTCACTCTTGTTTTATATTCCACAATAGGACACCTTTACACATGCAGATGTTGTTAAATATTCAAAACCCCAAACTATTATACAGTTTCATATTCCCTACAACTGATATAAACCAGTTTTACTTCAACATAATTCACTGGTGTAAGAGAAGTGACATGTAAAGTAACTGACTTACCAGACGATGATGTTGATGTCGTTACACTGGAAGGTGGGAGGGAGAATGAGGGTGCCGCCCTCATATACGTAAACATTGACTAGGAATTCCCCGTCGTTAGAGTGATCCACAACAAGCCGCTGGCCTGGTCCAATGTGTACAGTTCCGGTGTGGTCTCCCACATATTGGAGGGAAGCCATCTCAACAGGGCTGAAAAGGAAAGTTTTCAATCTCTAAATTTTTTACTGTAAGGTGTTTGTTTTATATGATATGGGGCATGGCCTGCCTCAAATTGGTCAAAACAGAAGATCATCAACAAATATTTTCATAAAATTTCATCCAAGTGACCTTCTACCCTTCAGCCAAAGCAGCTACATTTGGCTTCTTCTTAATGCATTTGTGAATACAAGAAGCAAGTTTGATGACAATCAATTTATCATCTATATTGTTTTTTAAGAAATTGATGTAACCAACTGCATGAGATGGCACAAATAGGAGCAGGGTGAAGGAAGAATGAAGAAGGGCACATGGAGAGATGAAATGGCGGAGGAATAAAGGATGGCACATCGAGGGATGAAATGGCGGAGGAATAAAGGATGGCACATCGAGGGATGAAAGGATGGAGGATAAAGGATGTAATGTTGGAGGGATGAAGAATAGCATGTGGATGGATGAAATGATAGAAGGATGAAGGATCACACATTGAGGAATGAAATGATGGAGGAATAAAGAATGGCACATGGAGGAATGCAATGATGGAGGGATGAAGGATCACACATGGAGGAATAAAATGAAGAAGAAATGAAGGAATGAAGGAATAAAGGATGATACAGGGATTGATTGATAAAGTAATGGGTAGAGTGATGGAGGAATGAACGATGGGGAGATAAGGGATGGCACATTGAATAATAGAGCTAATGTCTTACTAGATAATATCTGGGTAGACTGCCAGGTGGGCGTTGCCTATGAGGGTAATCCTATCAAATTTTTCTGTGGTGTTGAGCCAGGTACGGCCAGCATCACGACTGTATACGGTGGATGTGTAGGTGGAAGTCACAGTGGAGGTGGGAGGTGTGTTAGCACTGTTGTCTATGTAAAGAGTTGTGTTCCCATCCGTCATCAACGTGTCCTACAACAGGCAATTCCAATAGAGTTGTTATAGGAAACAACAGGTTAACAAATAGTTGCAACAAGGTCGCATTCGCGTTTCCCGTTTGAAACGATTCAGGCCTAGGTGGCACAGAAATATTCCTCGATAAACAAACGCACTTGGACCGAACTGTAGGCATAGCTAAAAAAATGCACAATTTCGGAGAAAAAATAACGTGACAAATAAATTATATAAAGTATATTAAAATCTACATGTGCATTGACCTTGTTTTGAAAAGAAATAATGCAAACCAGCAATAGTCAGCATTTTAGTTTCAGTCAGGCACATCTGGACCCCTCAATCTACATGTGTCAAGTATTTCTGAGGTCAGCCTCGGTTCAGATCTGTGCCTGTTGTTTTCTTTCAGGTTCAACCATTTCAACTGGTTGAACCGGATATGTGAAAGGGGCATTTAAAAACAAACTGCTATTCGTGAGCTTTCTTTACCATTAACAATATAAGTTAATTACATTTCTTGTATGTCTGACTTACCTCCCTTCCTACCTTTACCTGTTCGTAACCTGACTTCTTTTCCTGTTCCACATGGATAGTTTATCTATCTTTGTATGCTACCTGTGTATATAGGTTACCTCCCTTTCTACCCTACCATTTCCACCATCCCCTGTGTATATCCTCCTTTTTCACAATCACATGTATACATAACATATACTGTAACCCGCTACTCTCCCCTGTAGGGTTAACTAACCTTCAGGTATACTGTCCCTGCTCCTCCACTCCCAGCTCCTCCGGTACCACCATAAGCCTGAAGCTGTCCATGCCAAAACTGAATCCGTTTGTAAGAAACAGCCATCCTTCCTCCTCCACCAGACCCCCGCGAGGACACACCATTAGCTCCATTGACCTAGGAAAATAACTCGGTCAGTAGAAATATCTGTGTCTATTCTACAGTGAACCCTATATATACTGGACGTTCAAGTGTGTTATGAGACGTTTATAGATAACATCAGTTCTATGTAAAAGAGACAAGCCATAAATATTGGTTTGTATAGCCAAATTATGTTAATTTTTGTACATACCGCTTATAAATTACACAAAGTAACCAAATAAAAATTATCCCAGGAAATATCTGGAGAATATATATATATGACAGATGTCAGAAATACTATTCCAGCATATTTTTGCTTAAATTACCTGATTTTTGTGGTTAGGTAAATAAATATCAAACCACTCATGATCATTCAACATAAAAGAATGTTCCTTGAACAGAATAATGCATAATCTCAACCTCAAAACTGCAAATCCAACAGTGCCTAATTGAGAAAAGACAGCAGCTTTAAAACCATTAAAGAGATATTTTTATATTTCTATACCCAGACAATATAAAATGTACAATGGTTATTTTCAAGACATTCATATTCCGTAACAAAAGCTGTCCTTCAAACCTTCATATTCTGTAACCGAAAATGTCTCATCTTACTAGAAATACTTTTAGGATCTAAAACTGACATCTTATCAGGATATACTTCTATCTCTGAATTAGTTTTTTTCTCAAATCCTTACGATTTCTTGATAAAGATATTTAGCTGAATCTATAAGGGTTAGGATTTGTTCCTACCTGGACTGACCCGGAGCCCTCTAAGTAGTCGGTGGTGATCATAATACTGCCCCCACTGCCTCCGGGGATAGAGGATGAGCCGACTTTACCATTGGCCTGAATAATTCCCTCTATCCACGTACTCTTGGTCGCCACTAAGTCCAAAATCCCACCACCTAGAAACAGGTTTAAATCATAAAACTACTTAGTAACAACCATCATTTATGTTCCTGGCATTCCAAATACAATGATTATAATGTGGACACTTTAATATCAACAGTTTGAATTTATGCTTTATTGGTGTTAGAGCTAAGTTTCTACTGTTAAATTGGAGTTTAACATTAAGAAATGTGCCATAAAGTATGAATGACATTAGTACGTCACAAAAATACATTGCATTAATATAAAGGTGTCATATGCTGCCATACCACACAACACGTCATTCCACACAGATACATTGTCATGTCACATGAATATACTGCAATGCTACATGAATACATGGCCATCCTTCATCAATACAATATCACACCACATGAATACATGTACACTTCCATACCGCATAAATATGATGTCATTCCACATGAATATATTGTCATGCTGCATGAATATGTTGCCATACCAAATGAATACACTCCAATACCCCATGGATACACTGCCATGCCACACACATTATTAACATGATATATGAATAATTGGAAAACCTACATTTATACAAGCCTTGTCTATTAAAAACAAGATTATCTTGATCTTCAAAGACAATATTGTCATAAAAAGTAATTGCCCTTCCAAAACAACCCCTTATTCCTTCCCCCTACTTATCACAGTCACAAGAAAAGGAAGCAACTAAGAATTTGATTTCTTAATTGACCATGATCATAGGAGGTGGTAATTACTGTGGATCTGATATCTACTTACCACGGCCGTAGGTGGTTGAAGCTACACTGGATCCGCTACCAAACGCCCGAGGCTCCAGGTAGGATCCATAGGTCTCGCCAGGATAGTACGCTGAAAGGTTCAACATAAAACATGAGTTTATTTGATGTCAAAATGTACCAAGTAGTATGATACAGTAATACAGCACAGGGTATTTACCAGTGACGTACTCCTGTGTAATAACTATCAGACATGCTATATAAAGCAATCTCAATCATTACACTCAGCAAGTCATACTTTTTCATGCTACAAGTCAATTTTACAGTGACATCAGTGTAATGGGACTTTAGTTGCTTCAAGTGAAGCATAGAGGTAATCTGTATAAGTCTGTGTTGGAGTATGTCGTGTAGTTGTGTACCTGTTGCAGATGAAGCTCCACCACGCCCACCATAACCCCCTCCAGCAGGGGATGTACCCATTCCATCACCTTGTCTCAGACCCAAACCCTCAGCAGTGATCAAACCATTCTTGTCAACTTTCAAAATGTTTGTCTCCAAGTGAAAGTTCTTGGCATTGACCTCACCACCGCCCTCTACCAGGAACTGTGCAACACGACCAAGTCTCTTCACCTACAATACCAAAACAGAGCATGAAAAACAGTGCTATTTAATGGAAACATGTTAAAGACTTACAATCAAAAGTTAAGACTTCAGTGATATTATGGAACAGCCAGCTTTGTAATCATGAAAGGCCAAGACTTAATCATAAGACACTGTTTGTACCTTTAATCATAATCATCAAAAGTTAAGACTCAATCATCACTTAGTAAAGTTAATTCTGATTGCTATAAATCCACAGTAGTACCTAGACCGTTTACAACTTTACACTGGTAATTATAACAGTTTATGAGATATAGGAATTTTACATAATTAGTGAAAGTAAGTCAATAATGAAATAAAATCTTTCACACATATTTAGTAAGTCATATCTTACGAAATATATAAAATGTAAAAATAAATACAAATGTATTAACACAAATTTTCGTTGTGCGACTCACAGTAATGATTTTGACATGAATAAAACTATCAAAATTTAACACTGAGAGAAATACTGATCTTTTATCCACTGCACACAAACAGAACTCCCTTTGAAATCACTTGTATATTAATCATTTACCTTCGAGAAATATCAGAATTGAACTGTTATCTTACAAAGCTCATAATAAAGAATTACCTACAAACACCAAAAAGAAAACAATTATTTAGTTAGATCACACTGCTTACCTCAAAGTTCCAAGAATCAGTCTCATCATCAGTAGTGTCAGTTAAGTCTAGAACTCCATCTTTCTGTACCGTGACATTGGAAAACTTAAGGCTGCGTTCAGCCGAGTCCTCAAACGACAGGGTTGCTCCTGATAACATTTAACATTGTTGACAGATTATATAAATAGTGCCAGGTCATATAAATAGTGCCAGGCCATATAAACAGTGCCAGAGTGCCAGGTTATATATACAGTGCCAGGCCATATAAACAGTGCAAGGCCATATAAATAGTGCCAGGTTATATATACAGTGCCAGGCCATATAAACATTGCCAGGGTATTAGTGATAGCCTGATGATCGATTACAATCAAAAATTGAACCATTTGCTTTTACCATTCCGATTATTGATTATAGATTACATAATCTATATAATTGGTTCATTAGTGAAATCAAAGTGTCAAATTATACAATAAAAAATATGCATTGAAAGTCATTTATTCTTCTGAAATTTACTGTATGACTTAACAAAACTGCATAAACATTAAGTTGCTTGAAATCCATTCATTTGTAAAAGAAGAAACACGATGTATAATTAAAAACTCTGTCTACTGATGTAACAGTAGTGTTCTCACTTCATTTAGGTATTCAGTCCCATAAACTTATATAAACTGCTTAAAATTGTAATCAGTCATCAATCAGTTTACTATTTCTAATTACAAAACGATTATTGATTAGGATTTTAAATGGAATTGCCAATCACTAAAGGGTATAAAAGAGTTACACGAAACGAAACAATAACTAAACAGGTTTTATAACTACAACATTGACTATTAATGCATTTCACCCGTTTAACCCTTTCACCCCTATGAAACTTTAGTAGGATCTACAATGCATTGATCTGGATGAGTCCATCATGGTCTACAATAGTGAGAGGGTTAAATAAAGACAACAGACTGCCGACTATAATGCTCCTATGTACAAACACTATACTGTAGATCATCCCTACAGGTAAGCCTACCTGACGACACCAAGATGTTTGCCTTGTCCCCGACGACTGTACCCCAGATTTTTATTGTGTTGCTATTGAGGTAGGAAGAAGAACAGGCTGATGAACTGATTCCCTGGGTCACTTCATTCAGAGATTCGCGAAACTCCAACGTAGCGTCCGGCAATATCCAGGTGGCATTCTTGTACAGGAATGGTAGGTAGCTTACATTGGCTCGTTGATGAACCGTACTTTCCATTAGCTCTAAGGTATGGGTGGGAGGAATATGGAAATGGCCAGTGTCATCTCCTACAACCTTGATTGCCTTAATAGTGGTCCTGTTACCAATGGTTGTCAGGTGGGCACCTCCGTATATCTCAACAGTCGTGAAGTCGTAGACAAAGTCATCCGATGGTGGATACAGGAATGCAATGGCACCTGTTGGTAAAATCATCTTTTGTTAACAAACGTTGTCCGGCTCTATAAAGTGTTATTTCTTTCAATGAACTTTTTTTTAAGATGTTTCAATGCAACTTCACTTATTCTGATTCTATATTATTTCATATATGGACACAGGTTTTTCCCAGTAAACTAAATACAATCATTTTCACATAGCTGTCTACCTCTGAAACCTCCCCAGAGTACTTCTAAGCACATCTCCAATGCATAAAGACTTACAGTCATTTAAAAGTGATTTGGAGAATGATTTGGTAGTGTGGCAACGCATTTGAAGCATATAGGTCGGTTTTTGAATAACAGACTTGATAATAATGAAAACTAATTTTAAAAAAATCGTTTACTTTGAGCATGCACATTTGACTTATAAAATCACTTTTAAAAATTTCAGGTAATACTTCAATGCTACAATTATGCACATATTGGATTATACCAACCCAGTTTACCTAGATTTTACAAAAATACATTCATCACTTCCTCAATTTTTTCGAAGTTTCTAAACATTTTCTTCATTATAGACAGTATAGATTGTTTACAGGTTCATATCGCACATCCAGTGAAAGGTTTATGTGCGATGATTCAATGATTGTTACGGAAAGTACCCTGAAGGTGAGATAGTATATATCGTACTTATTATCGAAACAATGTCACTGGTTGTGCTATATAACCTGTACACAAACCTTTCAAAGTACCGTGTAACGGTGCTAATCTCAAGGTCAGAACTACTGATGCTTACCCGTATTTATATATGTGTTAAAATGAGACGCCTCTGCTGTGGTGCCTGTAGGTTCTGTAACCTGTACAAGTAAAATAGTTAATGCATTAATTACCAAACTGACATTTATGTCACCAATTTAAATCTATAACCAGACATCCCAGTGGAGCTTGGTATTACACAGTTTCACTTGTTCTTTTACGTATCCAATCAAATGCAACACGTACCCTCGACTCGGTAGATACTCACCGTGGGTTTTTGACATTTGTTGTCTACTCTGAGATTGCGAGACTCGTCTCCCTCAAAGTATATCATTCCTGGACCTCCAGGCTCATAACCCACTCCACCTAGATGTAAGTAAAAAAAAAAAGTTTTTGATATTTGATAATGAACCATGAAATTGACACTGTATTGCAATGAAATTGGGCCACAACTATTAAATATAACATTATTCATTTTACAACAATTATGATACAAGTTGTCTAACTTATATTGATTACTCTTGCAGGCACAAAAGGAAGTGTGAAAAGGTTTTAATGTGGAAGCAAACCGGAACATCAAGAAAAAACTCATATGGTTGGGAAGGTGATCCCCAAAAATATATCTGATTAAAACATGTATTGATTAAGTTGTCACCTATAATGACACACATACAGCAATCAGTAAACATAAACTAATCTATATTACTGTTACAACACCAACATTTACCATTCAGGCAAATGACCCTGCTGATATTTTTTCACCATTAAGCTTGGTGTTTATCAATTGAATTTCGACAATGATATATCAAACAAATCATTCAAATTAATTTTGAACCAAAATAGTTCTAATTTGTCAATATTCATATATATACGGTGAAAGTTATTTTTGGAGAGTCTGATTGTTTGCATATTTCAAAATTGATAGGTTTTTACCATACAGTATTTACTGCATAATGTTTTAACATTAACTTTCCAGGAATTAAGTTTTTGTGGTCAATGGAAAGCACAAAAATAGCGAAGATTAGATCCTTACAAAGATTTTACAATCTTCAGAGCAGAATCTCCTTATTATTGAGAGATGGACAAAGATTACCTTTAGCTGTGACCAGACCACTGGTGTATGTTCCTGTCTCAAACTTAACGTAAACCCTGCCACCGGCACCACCTCCACTGCCACTCGTGTGGCCAGCACCTCCATTGACAGTCATTTGTCCAAGCATGTCCAGTGTCTTACAGGTGATGGAGATAGACCCTCCACTGCCACCACCACCGTAGTTACCCTATAAACACGTACAAATATTTACATCCGCCTTTTACTTTGTCCTGGGTTCAAAATCCCTTCTTCATACATTTTGTAAAATAATTTAGTCATTTTGAAAAATAAAATATTTTTAAGCTTGCATTCAGAAACATTACCTTGACAACAATTAGACATAAAAAAAAACCAGAAAACTAGTTCAAAATCATCAAATGTGTACATCAGTAAAGTTGCCCTGGTAACAAGTAAACAACTATCAACCAGATCAGGTGAAGGGCTCTAAAATTACCAAAAAAAATGTTTTACCTTAATAAAAAAATAGATTAACTAAATCCTATAGACACACTGTGTATAGCCCTTGTGTCTGCTTTAGTCATCAGTAAAATCTAATGATTGTGATATTTACATAGAACACGTTTTACCGTACGATCACAGATCAAGTCTTACCGTACGATCACCACCGTTGGAGCTCATCGAACCCGTCGCATTCATGGTGAAAGTCTGGGTCACTTTGATTAAAATTCTTCCTCCACCACGCCCTCCCTTGTAGCTACTGGAGTCTCCGCCACCACTTCCCCAGGTACCTGTAGTATAGATCGTGCCGTAGGAATCCGAGGCAGAAGCATGTGTAGATTTACCTCCCCTGGCACCATAGCTTCCTCCACTCCCTCTACTGGAGGAGGATTGTCCAGCACCTACAACCATGAGCAATATGTCTGTCAAACAGGAGCAACAATGGCTAACAATATGTCTGTCAAATATTTTTTTGTAGACAAAAAAAAATCAAAATCAAAAATCTTTGGAAAAAGTGTCAACTTTTGGCCCCAAATACATTTAGGCAGAAAAAAACCCACTGTTTTTTGATAATCAAGGGAACAATGAATGTTCATAACCAGTGAATTATACGATATCTTTTACCTTATACTAAATACATTTTGAAATATATTTAAATGTTACATTGCTTAATTTGAAATACCAATGCTTTGTCCATTCATAGAAACATCAAAATCAGCAATAAGGATATCCAATAGTACTTATATGTATATAATTTTAAATTTGAAAATCTTAAATATAGATCTGAGTTTGTGAAATGAAAAATTATTTACTTTGTCTTCACAGACGTAAATATGTTTTTCATAAAGTATGTAAGGTCCAGTCGGCTAAACATGAAATATAAATTATTTTTAGTATTCCTACATCCATGATTTTTACCTGGTCCCTGTTCAGACTTGTAGCCACCTTCGGACACATCCACAGTTCCAGACACCGTCATATAAGTACTGGACATCTTGAGGGACCCTGCCTGTAGTGTTCCATCAACAGTTACGGACTGGTAGTTGATGTTACTGTTAGGGTTTCCCTCGAGTGGGTCATCTGGTTCCAGTTTATAGTCGACCTCCAATGTGCCTCCACTTTGTATGTCCATGGTATTTCCGTTAAACACAACATCGGTTGGGAAGAAGCCGTGGCCGTTGGATTGTACAGTCAGGTAGGTCACATCTACAGAGGCGGTGGGCATACAGTACAGTGTACCGTCGAGCTCTAGTGATACTGTGTGTATGTTGGTGTCACCAAGGTAAGTGTTACTGCCCGTCTTCGTCCTAAACATGTTGGCCGAGATGTTGGACACACCATTGAATGGACCGTTGGGATGCGATGAATCAGCATCTAGTTTAAATCTGGCATTATTTCCGACGACCAGGTTTAAGGACATGGATGTCTTGCCCTGCATTTGAATGGTATTGTAGACGTCTATAATGCCATTGTCTTCAACTGTATTACAAATAAAATCCGATCCAATATCAGATGTAAATTTTACATCACCTGCAGTTCCGACTAATAAATAGTCCCATCCATTAGTCACCGAGTCCACATGTGTCCTCATTTGGCCAGCATATAGCTTACCGCTCACATACAGGTTAGTGAAAGCTAACGTGGAAGGGCCCGTCCACGATTTCGTAGACTGAACTGTAGAATCAAGAGTAAACACACCAGATTCTCCGACATAAAGTTCATGGGCATTTGAGACAGTTATTCCCCTTATGACTATTGGTGTTTTAGCAGTAAAGGATCCGTCGATAAAAGCATCCGACAGCAACAGATCATTAATATATGGTGTGAATTCCATATTCCCCGCAGACCCAACCCACAAGGTGTCAATACCAGGTGACATGTCTAGAATGTCACCGTTCATACTGCCATTCACATACAGGTACCGGGCTCTCAGAAGGCTGTTGTTGGTACTGACCTAAAAGTAACAAAAAAGAAAATTGAATCAGAAAAAATAATCCCTTTTATCGAAATATTTTACACAAAACATACTACATGTACCTTTTTTATTTCTGCATGGTGATTGAGCTTCATTTTGAAGGGGGAATCTTTTGCAGTTTTTGTTCCCTAAGCAAATTTGTAGGGGTAAAATTTCATGCAACACTGCTGACAATTCAAACCCTAATCTGTCAGAAAGGCAAAAAAATAAAATCTCTGGGGTTTATATTAAATAATTTAATAAATTTTAGACTAAGCTTCCATATTTAACAGTAAACTACTTCGTACTCAAAGCATATTTTAGGATGCTGGTTTTTTATTTATAGCATATATTTTTTAAGAGCCCTGTGAACATATGATCTTAACAGTAATACCAAGTGAATAGAACAAAGCCCTGTAGAAAGCGTTTTAATTTTGATTTTGATTAACCCAAGGAAGCTCTAAACTACTTTAATATGCTTCATCACAAAACATCCTCCAACCTTTTGTGCTAGCCATTTGAGCTACATAAAATGCATTTCAACTTTATTACATTAAGTGTAGAGCTGATCATCCATCTCCAATAGATTAAACAATTTGTATTTAAGGTTTTTGTGACATATTTACCAAGATCAGTTGTTTATACTTGACATTACATTAGCTGAGGGTGCTGCTGGGGATTTTAAAAATAGAACTTGATTTCTTACTGGACATTCTCTTATATCATTCTGAATTTTACAATTTCCAAAAAATGGCCTGGTTGTTTAGATATTAGATAGTTAGAAAACTTAGCGTCCACCCCCAACAAGTGTAACATTAGTGTATTGAATGGGAATGAAGCTGCCACGGCACATTCTTCAAAACAAATGCATATTTTATGAGTTATTTACCAATTGATTTAAGAGGAAGTCAACATGGAAGTTGGATAAAGAGAGTTGTCATATTAAGAGATATATATGTTGTTCAAGGAAAAAATGTGCTTAAATAAAGGTGCCCCATTCATCATTTATCTGTGTTGACACCCTTGTTATGTAAATTTAGGTCACAGCCTTACCGGAGCTCCGCCGACGATCTTCGGGAGCGAGTCCATGTTCAGTTTGAGGTTTCCGGTGGGCTGTATAATCACAAGTTCAATTCTCTCATCTGTTCTGTTGAAAGATTTAAATTCTACAACGTTGCTCACAAACATTTCACCTGCAACTTCTAAAGCATTTGTTAAAACTGGTCCGTAGGATTCGAGGTAAAATTTCCCTGTAGGTCCAACTTCCAGTGATCCAATTCCATTTCTAAAATTAACACTACCTGCATCAAATTCTCCATTGATTGTGACGACGTCACATTCCAATATAATGGTAGTTCCATTGGGCCATGTAATCTTTCCACCACTGACGGTAAACTCTTCACAAACTTGTGTTATAGAGACTGGCTTCAGCAAATTCAGCTCACCAAGTACTTGTATTTTTTTACCCATGTACATATCATTAGTCATTGGTTCAAATGTTGCATTTCCTGCCGTCCCTACGTAGAACTCTTCCAAACCTGTCATGTTCACTATTCCAGCAGTGAAGTTACCATACGACTGGAATTTGGGTGTGGAAACTTTAAAGGTGTTGTTGCCAATCACGACCATTGATGCGTCTGTGTCGATTTTGAGTAAACCCACATCAATATCCTGGCTCTCCAAAGAGAAGTTACCACTAATTGTAATTTCTGCTAATGCGTCATATAGCAATGTACCCTTAACAAAAACCCACTTTGGAATGTCCACAGAACTTCCAGACGGCAGTCTGAGCGTAGCTCCGGTTGAAATGTACATATTGGCAGTCACAGCCGCTGCAAGTGTCAGGGTTCTAGTGTCGTTCAAATGGACCACACCGTAGTCATCCCCACTGATCTCGACGGTCAAATCTGTGTCCAGCACGAGGTGACCGCCATTGGTTAAAACAATCTCATCCAGGTCCACACTTGTGTCAGTGACCCAAGCAGCAGCACCTAGTAGGCAAATCAACACAATTATTGGTAAATCCAAACAATCTGGATTGTCATTTTTCTACCTATCCTAATTTTAAGTTCCTACCTTCAGCTACTTTTGGTTACCAAGTAAAATCTTAAAACACTTTTTCTCGAAAATATTCATGATTCTTAGTACTCATTGAAAAATGTTTTGCAAAATGAAAATGTTTGCCTATCCTTACATTATGAGAAATGAAAGAGGCGAAACAACAACATAGAGGCAAAAAAAAACTTGAACTTCACACAATTTTGTGTGTGTGGCATATTTAGGAATTCCTGTCCCACTGCACAGATTTTTCTTAATGCAGTTATCTCCCCTTAATTTGGTTTTCGCTAAAACTTTTGGTTTAGTATTGTTTAACGTCCTATCAACAGCTATGGTCATTTAAGAACTGATGGCACTTCCATTGACCCGGTAGCTTAATTGCTTAGAGCAATAGTATTACAATCTGAAGTCCAAGGTTCAAATCTCCGCCTCAGTTTTACATTCAGAACACTGGTTTAACTTATATTTATTGTTTCATTTATTATTTTTTGATAAAAGTCCTGCAAGGTATGGTTTTCTTTTCACCAATGATTTATTTAAGAGATAGTTATGCTGAAAAAAATAGGTTCCTGTGATTAGTGTTTTCTAGTGGTTCAGGGACCCTTATATGGCAACAAAGATAAACAGATGATTGTAATGAAATGATTGTACTGGTATTTTTTCAGAACCATGTACTGATCCGTTCTACCAAGTTTCAGTAAAATTAGTTCATTAGAACTTGATTCTCATTTTTAAAAAGATGGTGGTCATATTGAATTTTAACAAATAGGTCAGGACAATGCCCTTATCATTCCAACCAGGTTTCATCTTATTCTGTTCTGCAAAATTGGAGTATTAGTTCAAAACAGATTTTCAAGATGGCTGCCAATGGTGATCAAATTGGATATCAAATCTGCTCCAAAATACCAAACATTGGTCAGGTATCATACACTGGTCATTTCCATTACATTTGAGTGAAATCACTTCAGTAGAATTTGCATTTAAATTCAAAATATAGTACAATATGACATTAGGAAAAATAACATCCAGTGGAATTCATCTGATCTGAGTATTGTTTTTTTAATCATTGTGAGAGAATCAATGAATCTTATAAACAATTGTATGAAGGAATCAATGATCCATCCAACCCGAAAAATTGCTTTCTAAATGTTCACACATGTATTACAAAGATAAATATTGTCACTTTGACAATGAAATAACAAAATCTTAACATCTGTGCAGGGTTTTCAATAAAAACAGATAGCAGGCCAAAATGACCGGTTCAGTTCCTTATTTGGCCTCCTCAAATCACCTTTTTCTTATATATCTCGTATGTAATTTTACAAAAGTTGGCCAGTTAAAATTATCATTTCGTCGATCGTCTGTTCAATTAGAAGTTATAGCAGGGTTGCCAACCTCTTAGGAATTCAGTGTGGGAGATCTCCCTCCACTGGGTTTTACAATGTGTGAGACTTTTAACGGCGTCGCTGCGTAACGTTTTGCAATAAGAGTTATTCCCCTTTGTATGACCCAAGCTAAAAATTGCCGATTTATGGCTTCGCACGGGATAGAGGGAGAATATTTTTGAATGCGTGATATTTATGGCTCATGTGGCGTGAGACATGATTATGCGTGAGTAAGGTCGTCTCAGCGTCGTGACGAATGCGTGAGATTTTGTCTCACACCGTGAGAGTTGGCAACCCTGCTAGGGTAATTATGGGAGAAAGACATGTATGAATATTTTGAGATAATTATAATCTCTCACTTTTACAGCAAAATTCATTAACATTGACACAAGAGAAAATATTATAACTAAAACGAATACATTTCATAGAATCCAGGCTTCAGGAGTTGCTTCCCTTCCTTCTTCATTTAAGAAAGAGAAATAAGTTTGCATTGGTCAAAGTCTAGATAACTACCCATGATAAATATATCAAACAAGACTGAATCTGACTTTATCTCACCTGATGTCCCTGCGTCAAACTCCAAACAGTCTGCATCCATCTTGACCATAGGGTTCTTACCCCTGTTGTCTATGGTCAGTTTAGCAATCCCAGTGCCCGGCTGTCCCACAAACACAGTGCCAGGCCCCCCTGCACCAGCTGTTACACAAATAATTTAAATACTGAAGTCAAATTTAAACACGATGTGAATACACAGATATTTTTACAGAGCATGATTCAGAACATTTTAAGATGAGGTCTGTGGGCCTGTATCACTCACCTGTTTCTATCCAAGGTAAACAAGAAAATGCCAATGTTTCCACTAACCTTAACCTGAAATTATGGTGGCTATCTCAATCTTTTTTATTGACCCAAACACTTACAATAGTAATGCTTGGTCAGGAAAATTCGTTCTAATTTTCAACACTTTTTACCACCATGACCTCAAATCTGGATCCAGGTGATCTATTTAGACAGACTTTTACCATGGGATGCCCAAGCCCAACTATGATCTCAGACCTTGTAGTTCTACATATTAAGAAGTTATTTGAAGTTTTCAACAGATTTGACCCCTGTGACCTTGAATCTAGGTTTATTGAACAGTCCCTTCACTCCAGGAAGTTAAAGGCTGATTACTCTACACATTACAGCAGTTAACAAATTTGAAACAAATTTGACCTCTGTGACTGTGAAGGAACGTAAAGGTCATTTATTTGGAAGTCATACTGTATATGAAAAGTTTAACACAATTGAAGTTTGACCTTGAATATAAGCAGAGCCATTAATTTCACCAAATTTAATAGCCCTTTATCTTAGCAAGCTACAGACCCAATGTCTTTTACCTTAGTATCATGGAACATCAGAAGATGCTATTTGAAAGTGACCTTGAATATATGTGAAGGTGTTTATTTGAACAAATGATAACACTGAACACAAGCAGGCTACATGATAACTGTTGTAAACTTTTGCCCACCCTCATTGAAATTTATGTGATGAAATATATTTAAACTAAAAGATATATATCAGGTATTATAACCCTTAGCATTGTAGTTCTAAAGAATTTTTTTCAGTTCTTGATAAAAGAAGGGAAGATGCCATGACATGGCAGAAATACTTCCTACTACACAGACTCGAGATAGACATGTTATCATTTACAAATGTAGAACAGCTGGGGATATGTAAACACCGACTACACCAACTAGTGTCGTGTCGTAAGGATAACCAATTCTGTACATATAGATGTGAGGTCCTTTAACAAAAAGCATTCAGTAATAAGTCAGAAAATACCAAAGATAGCTTTGTCATTTCAATGTATCAATAAAATGTTTTCCAAGTTACAATCGGTTGATTATCGACTGACCGAGCACAGCAGCTTGACTCAAGAATCAATGTGCATATTAATTATTTATTGTTAGCGAAGTTATTTTGTCTGGCTGACGTGGCATTGATTTATTTCTTGATTTGATCATTGTTTTCTTACCGTTGGTGTTGCTTGTACAGAACTCTGGGGGCAAATTATAATCTGAAACAAGATAACAGTTGAGTTAGCTTCTTATGGTTTATATATATATGCATACATGCATCTATACTTGCTTCCCTTTATATAGTATAAATGGGCTGATGACTAAATTTATTACATTTCTAACCAGTACATATATAACACAACTTTCAATCAGAAAAAAACAATACTAATAAAATATTAAATTACAATTCTTACAAAATTCATCAGTTTTGAAACTTGATAAGTTAACATGACAACTGCAACAAAAACATGGTATTTAATTTCATTTATATTATCATTACACTTTCACAAAAAAATTGAAATATAATCAGATTAAAAATCAATAATTTCCTGACTTTTACTGGTTTATACACCAAAACTAAATGCTTTATATGCATGTTTTTATCATTAATGTTGCTTTTGTTAAGGTGGTATAATATAGGGTAGTATACATGTCAGTCATGTTTATTGATCACAGATACACTGTATAGGTAACTGTGGGCAGGCTGACAGTGACATCATGCATGGATTATTGTGGGTGGTGGTCGAATTGCCACGAATTAAAAATAAATATTACTGGTTTTCTACATCTATAGTCAGATGACCGATTATAATGTCACCTCCTCTCAGACCGAGTGTTTTGCGCGTGCATGCTTTTTGTCAAGGTCAGTCTGTTCTGAGAGCTAGTGTACAGTGTGTTTTTTAGGTAAAACATTAATTTGTCACATATATGTTAACACCGTCACAATCTCAATACAGTTATTTCTCAATTTGCCAACATTTTGGTTGCTATTTGTTTGGGGTTTACCCCAAGTTTGACAATCATGATGATATTGCTAATTTCTTTTTCAACCCAAAACCATTTTACTCCAAATGCTATATATATATTGCCACAAAATAGTTATATAATAATTGTGATAGCTTAACATTGTTGCACTATGGTAATATTTTCACCCATTTGGGTGGAATAAGTGACAAACTACAAAAAAAACTTTCACCAATGGTCAATGATTGCATTAAATATTGTCCTTTATATAAGACCCTGTATTACCAAACTGCTTCTTACTTTCTACACTTTGAGGGGGAATATCAGATGATGAACCAACCTACAACAAATTGCCTACACTGGCATGAGCCAGGGCGAAATACTACAGCTGACCAGACACGTCTAAAACAAATTTTGTCAATTTGAGTCAAGTTTCTGCATTTCTAGCTATTTCAAACCAAATATGACTTCACTATTTGGTAGAAACAGCCTACAGTATCGGTAACGTCACACTACCACAATTGGTACAGTTTTGACAGTTTTTCAGTGATGTTTAAAAATTCAGATCATGTACCTGGAATGTTTCTTGATTCTTGACAAAGACTAGCTACCCATGGTGGTTCATTTTCAGAAAAAGTTTTGATTCTAAGTGATTTTTTTCTGAAAATAGATCGCTAAACTCGCAATGAGATTTTGTCCGTTTTTCGGCCATGATTAGTTCCTAAATTGGTTTATCATATCACAGGCTTTGAAACTTGTTTTTATTTCTATTAATTGTTGTGCCGATCGCAACAAAATGTATTGCTTTTATAAATACCATACTGAACTACAATTGTATACACTTTCAATATTTTCCGGTTATGAAAAACCAGAAATCAACATTTAAACATGCGCTTATAATTAACCCCTTCAAATCCTCCGAAACTTCGTTGACATACGTCGTTTTTAGTGGTTTTCTGATATAGCCCTATTCACTTTGAAATCAACGTGTACTGTACATGTACTCTTAAAATTTTCATGAAAACAAAACTATTCGGTGGAAATGCTGATAAATATCTCTCTGGTTACACTGGCAGAGGAAAATGCTCAAATTAAATTTTAAGTACTATTCGAACCATTTTCTGACCGTGAACCAAATTCGGGTAGTGTACCAAAATTGTGGTAGCCTGACGTTACTGTAGTCTGTAGCCTACAGTAGCTGTTGGACCCCATTTGTTATTTGAACAGTTACTGTACATGTAGAGAAATGACTCTTGTTACGCTGATCTACTTGCCTGCAAGTACAACAGTACAATTGAATCCAATTAGGACACGTCTTTGTGAATAATTATGTGCTTAATAAGGGCCAATAAATATATATATATATTATCAAGCATAAATAGTCGTAAGTAGCCTAAACTTGGTCGTGTTGACATTTTCCAGTCTCATCACATCAATCTAGGTCACAGTCATGTTTGTAAAACAATTTGAAACGTTTCCAAGACATAGATTTTAGTGGAGATAAGACTCGAATGCAAAACACNGTAATCGGTTTTTTTTTTTTTTTTTTTTTTGTTGTTATCGGACCATCCGATAACAAGAAAAAGAAAAAGAAAAAAGATCGGGCCTAGAAGCTACGGTTCCCGCAGCTAGCAAAATACAAGGTACAAGGTGTGTCAAGATTTAATACATGGTATGTCCAATATGATTAATTATATTCAGTATTGTTTAAATTTTGATAGCATCGTTAAGGTCCATTAATTCATTTAAATCTGTTTAGTACCTGCTTTGTGACCGTATATGCGCACGGCCATTCCGATACCAAGGTACCAAGTCTGCGGGTAGAATCTCAGCTTAGAGGTTACGATAGGTACTGTCAGCGTCTGGGAGACGATTGAGTTCCTGTTAGTGTTACCGGTGATTCCTTGGTATGGATAGGACATCTCTTTCTGTAACCATGACAATAACAAAAATAAATGTCTTTGTCAATTTGTTTTTGTTTTGTGTTTGCACGGATTGGATGGACTAAGTGTCAACTTACCAGAGTAGCCCGATAGCAAACTGTTACCTTGACTGCCCAGTCTCTTATGGTACTAAGATAACCCAAGTATCATGCTTTTACATTATTATGAATAGCACTCGCTAAACTGATCTTGAAAAGAAAACACTCGGAAGGTTGAAATAGAATTTATGACGTTGAGCGCGAAGAAAGGAGTCGAGTATGCCTCGTTTGTGATGAGGGTTTGTTCGCATTTTAATTCTTACGGTAAATAATACCACCGCATCAGTAATATATCGTCCAGCTAAGAAGAGTTTTCGACACTTTAATTTTCTCTGATTGGAGTTACCTCCCCTTGTAAAGATATTCATCTCTCAGTTTGACGCTGTAGCTTTGCTATAGTGTAGGGTCGATAGTGTACAAGTTCGAATCCATTTGTATTATATATATTTTTTCTTCAAATTATCTTTGCTTTCAAATACTCAAAATCACTTAAACAGCTACAAATCTGTAATATGTTGGTTTGATTTGTTTGTGATTCACGTCCTAATAACAGCTATGGTCATTAAAGGACTAGCCAAGTTTTGGTAGTGTAGGAAAACCGGAGTACCCAGAGAAAAACCATCGACCTGCGAAAAGAAAACTGGTAACTTCGCGTAGGCTTCGAACCTACGACCCAGCTAATGATCATAGGTGGTAGGACACTTTAACCACTCGGCCACCGCGGACTTTCGAAAGATATGCCTTGTATATGGAATACTTATGTTGAAAATTACTTGAACAGCTATTTATGATAGTGGGAAAATGATAGGATATTCTAAGTCACGATGATATGCTTTACCTTAAATAGCAATTTGCCATTGCTATCTACTTTAACTGTTACCCAAACATGATCGACATCATGTCACTCGAGTGACGTCAAACTTACCCAGGAACTGAGGGCGTCATTGTAGTACTGGAGCTTGTATTTGGTGACCCACTTGTTGGTACCGTAGTCGCCTCTGGTATCTATGGAGTAGACGACACTGGCGCTTGTCAGTGTCACCTCCAGGTATTGCCCCACAGTGTTGGAGCTGGCGACCCAGGACTTGGATGAGTGGGTGTCGATGTTCCCATACGACGCGTAGTAGCTGGAGTAATACGATGTCGCCGTCAAAGAGCTTAGACTAAGCTTGGCAATGTCGGAAGCTGCAATTCGAGGAGAAGTGAAATAAGAACACGTTTTGACACTATGACTGATACTTTCAACTCAGATAAAAAAATAAAAATAAAAAGATAAAGAAACAAAAAAACATACATTCCCGCAAGTGTAGGATTTTACAAACTTAGCTGCTATTTGTAAATGTTGACAATTTTATAGATTGTTTGCAAAACAACGCACCTCCTGCACCTCCGTCCGCTAATACAAAGCCAGAAAAGACACTACTGTCCGAGAGAACCACGACACGCCCGCCGCCTCCGGAGCCCCCGGTCCCAAGTCCGACACCCCCACGGGCACAGATTGTCCCTACGCCCTGGATGAATGCTGTGGTGATGTGGATACTTCCTCCACTTCCGCCACCACTGTTGGTGCTGCTGGCGTCTTCGCCATTGGCAGAGATAAGACCGTCCATCTCGATTTTCGTACTAGCGACGAGCTTCACGTATCCACCGCCACTTCCTCCACCAGATCCGCCACCACCACTGCCAACATCTGTGGGAGTGAAGGTGCTGCCATAGGTCTTGGATTGAGTGGCACTACTTAGGAAAGACCCAGCTACTGATCCACCACGTCCACCGTATCCACCTAGAAGTAATAAGGACATATGTTAATAAGCTACGTCACTGACAAAGGTGATGTGTTTAGCTCAAGTAGCATGCTCGAAACCACACAGGTGCAGGTTTTGGGGGGAGGGGGCGTTGTGATTGATGTCTCTGAACCCCTACCCCACCCACCAGTAAATATGTATGTTTAATCTTCCCATTGTGATATAATTCTCCTAGGCTCGTGCAGTTTTGGGAAAAGAATAGACATGCTGTATTCCACTGCATGATCGCAAGAGGCGACTAATGTGGGGACCTTTCATAATCGGAGGTTTTCCTCAATGTCCGCAGAAGAGACCATTATTGACATGCTGCCCACATTACAAACCCTTCAGAATTTGTATGGTTTTTGAGGGTGTTCTGGTCTTTCCTGTCTTCTTTCTTTTATGAGTTTTTAAATATCTCTCTAAACTGCACGTAAAATAGCCGACACTTTGTCTCTTGTAAATGATACATGTTATTAGCGACATGCTCACACGTAATGTATAGATACATTCTATATATCGGAAGTAATCGTTTCTCAGCAGGTGCGACACCTTTATAACCTCACTCTCGCTGTCCTCACAGGTTTTAGAGGATCTGACGAGGAGACTAATGTGTAGGGATCCAAACCTGCAGATAGGTAGACGTGTTACGTCATACTTAACAGCCTCAATCTAGATATATAGCCATTATTGTGATAGGTGTTTTGGGGTTGCTCGTCGACACCATCAGCACTGATGTTACAGTAGTATAAATAACTGTTCGCAAGTCACTAGTAACTTGTGTCAAAGCGGGTCGTAACCTGTTTAGCAGGGATTCGACGCTCAACGGGAACAACAAGTAAGTTTATTTTATTGTATCATTTTTCATTCGATGCTGTTTATAATACCAGACAATGTATCAAAGAACAATGTCTAGCACGCACGGCAGCGCATTTTCTCTTTTTATTACTATTATTTAAAACGAAATACTTCATAACATCACGGACTTAGATAACTAATCTAATTCCGTGATAACATAACGATTTCCGTAGTCATTGTCATAAACATTGCTATTTCTAACAGTTATCAATTATACATATTTTGCTCTGGTAGATAAGTTAGATTAAGACCGTGACTTCACAGGTATGATAAAACATAAACCGAATTCTTAACTTATACCAAATATGGATAAAAAGCTTAGAGTTTTATGTTATCTACAGTAAAACCTCGATGTAATGCCCCTCGTTTCATTTGCCACCTTATTTAGCGCCAACATATTTCAATGTCTCCTTTTCTCTTATTTCCTGAACCCTTTCACCACTGTATACCATAATGGACTCATCCATATCAATGCTTGGTAGAGTCTACTAAAGTTACATAAGGGTGAAAGGGTTAAGAATTCCTCTATATATTTCCTTCAATTTATCGTCAAACCCTTTATATCGCCAAAATCTGTCTGGACAAAATGTGGCAGTATAATGAGGATTCTCGCTGAATGATTTATGACGTACAGTATGTATTAGATATCAACCTATATCGATATTGTTATACTCTTCGATAAGTTTAGCTTGTGTTAATTACAAAGTATTAAAGACAGCAAGCATATATCGCTAACGTTTAACTTCTGGTGTTTCAACGAGTACTTTATTTGTTGACGACCTCCGATTAAAATTTGATATCGCCACATCCTTTGAACTTAAGACGTCTTATAGTACACAATTAACAAAATATTTGTTCCACTTTCTTTTAACAAGGACAGAGGTACACAATCTCTCTTATTGGCGTAGGGCTGTTTTCTGTAAAAGATTAATTATCTTTGACAGTTTATAGATTAATATGGATTTCTTGGGTGATTGCGGGACAAAATGTCGTCCTTTTTTCTCTTTCTAGTCTTTGTTCTGTGTTCATTTATAGATATTTTATCGCCCTTACAGCTCAAAAAATTCAATTTGTTTCTCAATGAAATCAGCAAGACCACAAAACAATTGATCGATTTACACAGTAAGACATTTTTATCAGATCCACGTTGTTAATAATGAGAGTTCTGTGACATTCACACTCTCCGTGCTTGACACCTTTTTATTGTGATTAACGGAAAATTAGGACACTTCTGAATGATTACAGATAATGTTGCAATCAATTCAAAACTCCTTCTTGTACTTATACAAAACTCCTTCTTGTAATTATACAAAGTTCCTTCTTGTAATTATACAAAATTCCCTCTTGTACTTATACAAAATTCCTTCTTGTAATTTACAAAATTCCTTCTTGTACTTATACAAAATTCCTTCTTGTAATTATACAAAATTCCCTCTTGTAATTATACAAAATTCCCTCTTGTAATTATACAAAATTCCTTCTTGTAATTATACATAGTTCCTTCTTGTAATTATACAAAATTCCTTCTTGTAATTATACAAAGTTCCTTCTTGTAATTATACAAAATTCCCTCTTGTAATTTTACAAAGTTCCCTCTTGTAATTTTACAAAATTCCTTCTTGTAATTATACAAAGTTCCTTCTTGTAATTATACAAAATTCCTTCTTGTAATTATACAAAATTAGCTAAATATATCTGTTTATTACACTATTTATTCACGTTTTATTACTGAAAATTACCATCAGTCATTTTAGATAAAACGTTTCGACGGTTGTCATAAAACATACAAAATGGCCTTGAAGTGATACTTCACGTATTTTACTATACAAGCACGTGCCCTTGAAAATAACAGGTTGTTCACAGAAACACGTGACCTTGAAGAATTACAATTTGTCCACACAAACGCGTGACTTTAAGAGAAACGGTTTGTCCACACAAACACGTGACCTTAAGAGAAACGGTTTGCCCACACAAACCCGTGACCTTGAGAGAAACGGTTTGTCCACACAAACACGTGACCTTGAAGTGAAACGGTTTGTCCACACAAACACGTGACCTTGAGAGAAACGGTTTGTCCACACAAACACGTGACCTTGAAGTGAAACGGTTTGTCCACACAAACACGTGACCTTGAGAGAAACGGTTTGTCCACACAAACACGTGACCTTGAAGTGAAACGGTTTGTCCACACAAACACGTGACCTTGAGAGAAACGGTTTGTCCACACAAACACGTGACCTTGAAGTGAAACGGTTTGTCCACACAAACACGTGACCTTGAGAGAAACGGTTTGTCCACACAAACACGTGACCTTGAGAGAAACGGTTTGTCCAAACAAACACGTGACCTTGAAGTGAAACGGTTTGTCCACACAAACACGTGACCTTGAGAGAAACGGTTTGTCCACACAAACACGTGACCTTGAGAGAAACGGTTTGTCCACACAACAATATATCTTGATATCAGGTTTGGCTGTACATCAAAATGTTTGATGACACAGCGACGATATCAGATGTAGACGATGGCACTGTGCCAGGGAACACGTCTTTTTAACATTTACCTTGTGTGTTCCGGTTCTTTATCTTGTTTGTCTGATATTACAGTTTTTAATAAGATACCTATTTTATAGGTCAAATAGTTGTAAAGAAAGTTGACGTCAAAAGCTACGCGCTACCCGATACGTTTACATACACTTTGTGCCAGACAAGATGAATGTATGGATATCAAAAACGAAATACACTGGAAGAATTGGAATTTGATAAATGTATGTTGCAATAGCGACAAAGAATAAATAGAGCGAAACACATGCACACGCGACTCCAGTCAGACATGTGAAAACTGACAAAATGCCAACCAAAGTCATCGACTGAAATGGAGCCGGCTTTTGTCACGTGAGGTGATTGTTTTACGTCATAATTACAACCGATTATGTCATTTTTACGACAATGGTAACTCATAATTACGATTGAAATCGAAATTGCGACATCATAATCTCGTAATAACAATATAGTTTTGTCATTTTGCCATTCTCTGGTATTGATGTAACTCTTGTCTTAAAGTATGGCCTTGACCTTGACATGGTCATTTTTACTACGATGAATTTTAACGACCGCCGAAAATGCATACATGTGAAAGAGTTTTTTTCATCTCAGAAATTAATATATTCTAATTATTCGTTACATAAGGCATCCATCCACATCCAATTTCAGCAATTGTGTATTGTTTTACATCATACCGTAAATTTAAAAAAAAATGAAATAAAGTTTATATGGTGAGAGAAGACCACACATTTTTTAAATATCGTTTCCTGTGACCTTTAACCTACCGACATAATAAATGTCAAATAAACACACTGAAATATTTCTAGTAATGTAATTGTTATCTTTTTGTCTTTTATTTTGATATGTATTACTTTTAAAGCAAGAAGTAAGTAGTACTTATCACCTCAATCCCGGTTCCGTTAACTTCAGCATGTTTTCTATTTTTATTGATTTTATGTTTTTATTTTCATATATTTAATTATTTTAATTTCATTCGATTTAAATTTTAATTTCAGTTTGAAAGCAAAGTCATAATATCAGCTTTGAAATTAACTAAGTGGTTTTTTTTATCCGTATCCGCTATGTAGATATATGGGATTGACAGGGTTTTTTTTATCCGTATCCGCTATGTAGATATATGGGATGGACAATATTTGTTTATCGTTTGTGGACTATAATCACGGAATTATGTTATCTAAGTCCATGCTATAATACATTATTCGTCTACGGTGGAGCAACATGTCTTTTGTCCCCAGGGGTGAAATTGTAACGCAAGAACTAAAACATGTCAGGTGCCTGTCAAAAAAAAGACTAATGATAGGCCATAAATCATAATGCATTAGCCGTGCCTATGTTACTTCCAATTATGTGCAAATAATCTTAAAATGATAAAAATATTTCAATAACTACTTATGTTAATAGTGACGCCGTTCAGTGCTATATTGCCGAGACGCTTTATTTGATTTAAATCCTAATTTACATAAAGATAGAACTAGGATAGGAATTTTACAATGATAAAACCTGACTTGAAAATTTGGCTATAAACTTGAATTTATAAGATCCATGTTCACTTTTTGTATTCTTCATTCAGCCTGCAGAAT